CGATGGCCCTTGTGGTCTCTTCCAACTCTATGATTCTATGATTCTATGATTCTATGATCTAGTCCAACCTCCTGCTATGCAGGAATCCTGCCCACAGCCATCCCTGGGTAGGGGTAGCCTGGGTAGGGTAGCCTAGGTAGGCTTGAACCACCAAGCTTCTACAGTGGTACCTTGGTTCATGAACTGAATCCATTCCCAGAAGTCCGTTCGACTCCCAAAACTGTTCGAAAACCAAGACACAGCTTCCGATTGGCTGCAGGAACTTCCTGCACTCAAGCAGAAGCCACGTCGGAAATTCGGCTTCCAAAAAACGTTTGCAAATCGGAACACTTACTTCCGGTTTGCAGCGTTCAGGAGCCGATTTTTCGGCAACTAAGCCATTCGAGAATCAAGGTACCTGTCAGGTTTAGCACTTCTCCCACACAAGACACGACACGCTGGCAGTTCGACTCGTTGAGGTTTATTATCAACAACAGACTTTCAGCAATCTGAGCTTCCCACAACTCATACCTCACTGTCAGAATCAGTTGACTCGACTGGCTTCTGGGCCCCTTCCAAAGCCAGATATACTCTAAGCCTGCCCCCGCTTCCTGCTGGTCTTCCTTTGTTCTAATCGCTTGCTCCGCCTCCTACTTCTTGGAGACCCAGGTGCAGCCAATTCCTCCTCCTCTGGAGTTGAATCCAACCACCTACTTCCACCTGCATCCTGCTCCTTCATCTCTGTGCTGCTGCGAAAACTTACAGGCAGCAATCCAGAGCGAGAAGGGCTTATCTCACTTTTGTGGTCTGAATGAACCAAGTTCCTGTTTTCCTCTGCCTTTTCCTCCCCTTCTGCAGAGTCCTCTCTGCCGGCCATGTCTCAGACAGTACCACTGTAGTTACTAGCCAGACACACTGACCCATTGTGATGTGCTGTGCTGGAATGTAAACAGGCATGTGACATACAACAGTCATGCCTGTTCCTCTTAAGGTGGAACAGAATATCTTAACATGCGGCACAATTTAACTTATGAAATTATATATTTTCATATATCCATGTATTCTTGTCATTCATTGGTTTGTGATTCCTTTATTACACATGTTTTATTGAATGATTTTGTTCCTTATTTTGGTTTTTGGAGAATAATGACCAGCCACCTCACCTAAATAACATTTTAGATGACGCTAGTATTATTTAGTAGCAGGAGCAGCAATTATTTATTTATGCATCATTCAATACTAGAATTGGCTTATAGCCAGTATAAAAAAACAGTTGTACAAATACTAAAACAGAAATAAAAAAATCCTTCCAGTAGCACCTTAAAGACCAACTAAGTTAGTTCTTGGTATGAGCTTTCGTGTGCATGCACACTTCTTCAGATACACTGAAACAGAAGTTGCCAGATCCTTCTATATAGTGAGAAGGTGGGGAGGGGTATTACTCAGAAGGGTGGTGGGAATGGGAGATTGGCAGATAGCTGAGATGAGCCTGTTGACGACTCTTAACGACTGCAATAGGTCTTACAGGAAAAGGCAAGGGTGAGAAGGTGAAAAATGGCTTAGTCATGTATAATGAGATAAGAATCCAATGTCTTTGTTCAGACCAGGTCTCTCCATGGTTTTAAGTTTGGTAATGAGTTGCAATTCAGCTATCTGCCAATCTCCCATTCCCACCACCCTTCTGAGTAATACCCCTCCCCACCTTCTCACTATATAGAAGGATCTGGCAACTTCTGTTTCAGTGTATCTGAAGAAGTGTGCATGCACACGAAAGCTCATACCAAGAACTAACTTAGTTGGTCTTTAAGGTGCTACTGGAAGGAATTTTTTTATTTTGACTATGGCAGACCAACACGGCTACCTATCTGTAACTAAAACAGAAATGTCCATCACTACAATAAACAATGAAGCAACCCCATTGAAATCTGAGGAGACATCCCATTGCTACCACCAAAGTACCAGGTATCTCAGGTCCCTCAGCCTCACTTGTACACATACACAAGTTTATGTGCTTGTATGTAATGTTTTTTTCTGCTCGCAGTGCTTTCAAACCGTCTGATATTTGATAGGCTTGGATGTGAGGTGGACTCTGACACTAAAGATGATCAGTTTAAACTAATTTATTAGGGGCATTTTATATTCAAAAGGGGGAACTGTAAGCTGTTGACCTCCAACTGATCATTCACTGACTGTCCAACTGATGGGAGCCTCCAGCCAATCAGATTTTAATTAGCCTGCTCCAAGCCCCACCTACTAAAATATAAGGCAGCCTCCCTCCCTCTCTGCCCATTGCTGTCACCTAGCAACCCCTACTAAACAGGCTTGTAATATTATAATTCTTTAAGGCAGGGCCGGATTAAGAGCTTTAGAAGCTCTAAGCCCTTAAAAGATTTTGGTTTCCCCCCCCCCCATATATATCTAAATCAAAATATAAACAATAGTAAACCATAAAACAATTTCTTATTTTTTGAAATGAATCAAAACCTACAGTAAGATGGAAAATAATGTTTATTTTTGTATGCTTCCACTTTATTTATACTTGAGAGGAAAATTCCCTACTTTTTCTAATTGCAAAAATCATGGTAAATGCGACAATGGAAATTTCCCCCCCTTTCTTCCATGCCCTAAGGACGTGCTTATTTTGCTTAATGGTTAATCTAGCTCTGATTTGAGGTGCCATGGCAGTCACGGGTTATATCTTCTCCTAAAACATAGACATAGGTAAAATTTTATCCACAGTAGTAGTAGATAACTTTTGTGCTATCTTTGAGGAGGAGGAAATGTTTCTTTTTCCTTGCAGGGTCCTGTGACCTTTGAAGATGTGGCTGTGTATTTCACGGACGAAGAGTGGGCGCTGCTAGATTCCAGCCAGAGAGCTCTGCATAACAAGGTCATGGAGGAGAACTGTGGGATCATGACCTCTCTCAGTAAGGCTCCTATATTGCGGTGTAATATCTATTTTGAAAACCAGAAGCTTGAACTGGGGTACATTATTGAGACCTGAGTGGGGGAGTTGGCTGGGCCACTTTTGATTCAGCTTTGCCCACCCAAATACTTGGTGTGATATCAGCCCAGACTGGAGGGGCAGGGAGATGTTTCTGTAGTTCACAGGAGTTCATTTACTACCAAATCCCTCTCTCTTGGAGTGTGGGACTGGACGTAAGGTTACCAGATTTTTTTCAATGAATCCAGGGACACTTTTCAACTTCAATAGGAATGATAGGATTTTGTCAGGGAACTGATTTGTAAATCCGGGGACTGTCCCCGGGAAACAGGGATGTCTGGTAACCTTAGACTGGAGGCCCTTCATGTGGTGCTGGGTCAAAGAGATAGGCTAGAGATGTTGTTGTTCATCAGCCTCCCTGACCAAGCTGGCTGAGGTTGTTTCGGGTGTGATGCTGGAGGATTCCGAACTGTGGATTTGGGTGACTTCAATATCCATGCTGAGAATGCTTCAGGATCGGCTTGGGAGTTCATGGCCTCCATGGGCAACCACAGACCAGAGGTTCTCCATGCAAAGTACATCCTCTGCCAGTGAATTATGGGGGCTATCCTTTTTATTTTTTATTCTATGATGTTTGTATCATTATGCATGTGCTTTTGTTCCATATACCTGCACAACAACCTTGTGACACAGGCTGAGAGAAAGAAAGAGAGAGAGTCTAATTCAGCCCATCAAATGAGCTCCATCCCTGAGATGGAATCAAAACCCGGGTCCAAATCAAACATTCTGTAGTACAGCAGATGTCAGCAACAGAGGCAGTAAGGTCTGCCTCTCATCTAAGTCCCTTCAGTTCTTCATCACAAATGTTTATTAGCATTGTTCAGTAATTTGAGTCTCCATTTCCTCCTAAGGCTCTAATGAGTGTCTGTCTTCTTTGCAGAAGGTGATGAACTGGAAATGAAGAATAAGGAAGACTACAACAAACTCCTCACAGTGGAGAAGCCATGTAAATATCTAGAGAGTGGAGGGAGCTTTGGCCAGAGTCTCCATCTTCACAGAGGGGAGAAACCATATAAGTGTTTGGAATGTGGAAGGAGTTTCACTTGGAAGAAAAGCCTCACCTCTCATCAAAGAATTCATGCGGGGGAGAAACCACATCAGTGCTTGGAATGTGGAAAGAAGTTTTATACAAGCACAAGCTTTCATCGTCACAGAAGAATTCACAGTGCGGAGAAACCATTTCAGTGTTTGGAGTGTGGAAAGAGCTTTAACAGAAGCACAAACTTCTATCGCCACCGTGTTATTCACAGTGGGGAGAAACCATTTCAGTGTTTGGAGTGTGGAAAGAGCTTTGTTCGGAAGAGCGATATCACTTCCCATCAAAGAATTCACACCGGGGAGAAACCATATAAATGTTCGGAATGTGGAAAGAGCTTTATTCAGAACTCCCAGCTCACTTCCCATTTAAGAATTCATACAGGGGAGAAACCATATCAATGTCTAGAATGTGGAAAGAGCTTCAACAAAAGCACAAACTTCCATTCTCATCAAAAAATCCACAGCGGGGAGAAGCCCTATCAGTGCTTGGAATGTGGAAACACATTCCGCCAGAAGAAAAATCTCACTTCCCATCAAAGAATTCACAGTGGGGACAAACCATATCACTGCCTGGAATGTGGAAAGAGTTTCCGTCACAACATTGGCCTTACTATACATCAGAGAAGCCACACAGGAGAGAAACCATATAAATGCTTGGAATGTGGAAAGAGCTTCTGCAATAGCTTAAGCTTTATTATACATCAGAGAAGCCACACAGGAGAGAAACCATATAAATGCTTGGAATGTGGAAAGAGCTTCAGTCAAAGCTCCAAACTCACTTCCCATCAAAGAATTCACACAGGGGAGAAACCCTATAAGTGCTTGGAATGTGGGAAGTGCTTCCATCAGAAGTCAAATCTTACTTCCCATCAAAGGATTCATACTGGGGAGAAACCATATAAATGCTTAGAATGTGGAAAAGGCTTTAGCTGCAAGAAAAGCCTCACTTCCCATCAAAGAATCCATGTACAAGAGGAATCATAAAAGTATTTGCCTTCAAGTTTTTAATATGCAGTTGGATGCAGACTGTGTTGTTGGAAAAAGTTTTGTACAATTGGAAAGCTGACAATATGCTGTTTAAAAAATAGGGGAGGGGGATTAGAGACAATAGACATTTGTGTGTATTAAGCACTTAAATGACAGGCAACATCAGGGACAACATGTTCACAAATTATGTAAGTGTTGAAACAAATCGCCCAAAGTGTCCCCAAGACGTGTTACTATTTTCTCCAGATTGGCCAAGTTATTAATTTTATCTCGTGTGTGCCCTCCCTCTCAGTCATTACTGAATGTGGATGTATCTATTGTAACACAAGTATATGTTGTAAAACATATTCTGATTATATTTACTGTTATTTACACTATGGAGGTAATGGAGGCTTGAATCTTCATAACATGGCTACTCAAAAACTGCAGTCGTTGAACCTAATAAGGAACTATAAAGCAGCGTTTTTAGGTCACAAGGATCAAATTGCAGTGGAACTGCAAGAAAACGTCCTAGAAGATTTCCCAACATGTTTAATATTATCTGTTATTGTTTTTCTGCAGTTCAACTTTTTGAAGCTGGGGTGTGTGTTATACTGAGAAGTGCTTTATATTCTGGCAAATGTGGTGATTAGTGCATTGATTATATTCCGTGTTACTGTATTGTATTGGTATTTTAATTTTGTACCAGTATTGTAGTAGTACAGAAACATGGCCTCAACAAAGTTCTTCATCAGTGGAAACAGTTTTTCCCTTTAATTTTGCTTTCTTGAAGGAGTGTTACATTCACCATTTCCCCAGATCTTTTTTCCACACACACATGAGAAACAGAAAAGGAATTTCAGCTGGGTATGAGAGACGATCCAGTTAGCGAGCCAGACCAGTGAACTGCTGCTAATCTATTAATCCCTTTTGGCCTTGCCTTACTAAACTCCGCCATCTCCTAGTCAGGCCTTTCCCAGCTGAGGCTGAAACCACATTCACCCAACAGTTTATTCCATTTTCCTGTTTCCCTAACTGTTAATTTCCACCGTATAGCCGAACATTCACATGATGTAAAATCAACTTCCGAAAATATAGTGCAATGTAATGTTCATTTCTGAGTGATTGGCAAACAGATTGTTTTTCCTGGAGCCAGTAACATGGAAATGATCACCACACTTGCCCTATATTCTGCTATATTCCTGAAAGTGGATTTTGTGACATGTGAAAGCTTAAATACAGTGCGGAAATTAACAGTATAAACTGTTGTGTGCATGCAGCCTGAGATTATCCAGAAATCCTCTGCAAAAGCTTCTTTTTTTGTAATCAGCAGAGAATACAAAATGCCATCTTGCGGATTGTCAGGGACTGGCAGGGCTCAGAGGCGTGTGATGGGGCCCAGGGGGTGACCCAGGAGAGGTGACCAACGATTTGTGGATTTGGTGGTGCCCACAAGGCAAGAGTCAAAGCAGGAAAAGGAGGAAGAGTCAGGGCAGTTCGAAACAGTGGTGGAAGACGAGGCTGCTCAATGACAAGACTGGTCAGTAGACTCCCCAGCTTCCATGCAGGAGAAGTCTCAGGTTGCAGGCACGTAATCCCTTGGGAGGGTATATATTTCTTCAGGTTCTACGTTTTTAAAGCCCCAAAGTAAAAGCCCAAACTAAACTTACTTCAGTTTCCCCTGAACTACAGAAATGCAGCTTGATTCTCCTCTCCAAATATTCTATTATTATTTTCACAAATGTATACAAGAAGCAGCTATCAATACTGGGTGGGTGGGATGGTTGAATATTAAAATGCAACTTAATTTTCATACATGTAGGCAGTTTATTAACCCACTGAACTCTCTTAAGCAAAAAAACAACAACAAAAAACCCAAAACCCTACATTTGCATAACTTTCCCCCCCTTAATTCAGGCACAATTTAATTGTTCAATGGAAAAGCACAGTAACTTCTCTGTGCGGCATTTGCTATCCAATATGCTTCCTCTACACATGGAGGTTCCTGTTGCACCCAAGAGCTATCTCACTGCAGTAAATCAGATCCATAGGGATTACAGTCATACCTCAGGTTACAGATGCTTCAGGTTGCGTTTTTTCGGGTTGCAGACCGCCGAAACTCGGAAGTACTGGAACGGGTTACTTCCAGGTTTCAGCGGTCGTGCATGCGCAGAAGCTCTAAAACGCATTTTGCGCATGCACAGAAACGCCGAATCGCAACCTGCGCGTGTGCAGATGCACCACTGAGCGTCCACTGTATTTTGCTTTGATTCCTGCACAGAAGGGAGTTGGAACTTAAGATGGCCCTTGGGGTCACTTCCAGCATTGTAATTCTATATGGGGCGGCAACATCCTCTTCCCAAGTGACGAGCTTTTTCTTGGCGACCAACTGGAACTTGGATCCACTAGCTCTGCTCTGCAAATGTATTTTGGGGGAGGGATCCCCCTAAACCTTAGAAATTAATAAACGGTAGCATTTTGATAACTTGGAACACTGAAGGAGAGATTGCAGGCCAGTGGAACAATACAGGCTAAGCTTCCTTTCCAAGCCAGCGCTTCACCTTGGATAGAGGCAAAAAGGTGTTGATGACCCAACTGAAAAGGAATTGCAGTGGTACCTCGGGTTAAGAACTTAGTAATTCATTCTGGAGGTCTGTTCTTAACCTGAAACTGCTCTTAACCTGAAGCACCACTTTAGCTAATGGGGCTTCCTGCTGCCGCCACGCCGCCACTGCCCGATTTCTGTTCTCATCCTGAAGCAAAGTTCTTAACCCGAGATACTATTTCTGGGTTAGCGGAGTCTGTAACCTGAAGCATCTTTAACTCAAGGTATCACTGTACTGGGCTTGGACAGGAGGTTGCCAAGGTGATGGGCTTCCATAATAATAGTAATAGTAATAATAATTTATTATTTATACCCCACCCACCTGGCTGGGTTTCCCCAGCCACGATGGGCGGCTTCCAACAAAATATTAAAATACAATAGTCTGTTAAACATTAAAAGCTTCCCTAAACAGGGCTGCCTCCACATGTCTTCTAAAAGTCTGGTAGTTGTTTTCTCTTTGACATCTGGTGGGAGGGCGTTCCACAGGGTGGGTGCCACTACTGAGAAGGCCCTCTGCCTGGTTCCCTGTAACTTGGCTATGTTATACCAGAGCTGCCTCACCCAAAGGCTTCCTTCATCATTATCATCATTACTTATCAGAACCAGAGGGGAAAGGAAAATAGTGTTTTGAGCAACGTGTGTTGGAAAAATGAAGAGGAGAGAAAAAGGTGGAGATCCATCTTTTGATAGGCTGGCTGAAGGCAGGCTGGGAGAGATGCCCTGGACTCCATTGCTGCACCTCTTAAGATGACCGTGCTGTAAGATCTGGACTCCCTCCATCCAAACTCAGGTGTTAATATGTGAATAAATCATATTTATTAATTTTGCAATGTATTTTATTATGCCCAGCTCCCCACCCTTAAAAAAAAAATCGCTTGGCACCTCTTGAACCCACTTTCCTCCTTAAATAAGCTTCCTCTCTGCTCAGGGTTTGGCCACGTCAAAACCACACAGACTGGCATTGTGGGGATGAGGGGTGGGTGTCCTTTCAATGGGAAACTTCCCCAACTTTCCAATTAGAAACACCACCCCCTTTTCTCCCTTTCCCAGGCTCTGTTTCTGTAACCGCCTGACTCCCCTTCACCCCACAGCACAACAGGGAGCTCACCCCATCTTAGAAGGGGGTGTCCCAAAAGCTGCCTCCGCAGCAAAAGAAGTCCAGCCACTTTCTCTCCCCAACAAGGCAGGACCTACGGCCAAGCATCTACCTCAGGATTCAGCAACCTTTTTCAGCCGTGGGGCAGTCCACCATCCCTCAGACCATGTGGTGGGCCAGACTATATTTTTTGGGGGGGAATGAACAAATTCCTATGCCCCATAAATAACCCAGAGATGCATTTTAAATAAAAGGACACATTCTACTCAAGTAAAAACACGCTGATTCCCGGACCATCTGCTGGCTGGATTGAGAAGGCGATTGGGCCACATCCGGCCCACGGGCCTTAGGTTGCCTACTCCTGATCTTGCATTCTCTCTCAAGGAATCCTGCATTGCCTCCTCTGTGTGGACCTGAGGAAGCTGGCTGGGGAAGCTCAACAGTTGTGTTGCTTTCTCCACCCCGATCATCATAATCACCAACTTCATCTTAACAACAGCAACAACAATTTTATTGTTCGTATCTCGCCCATCTGACTGGGTTGCTCCAGACACTCTGGGCGGCTTCCAGCATATACAATATAAAGGTAAAGGTACCCCTGCCCGTACGGGCCAGTCTTGCCAGACTCTAGGGTTGTGCGCCCATCTCACTCTATAGGCCGGGGGCCAGCGCTGTCCGAAGACACTTCCGGGTCACGTGACCAGCGTGACAAGCTGCATCTGGCGAGCCAGCGCAGCACACGGAACGCCGTTTACCTTCCCGCCAGTAAGCGGTCCCTATTTATCTACTTGCACCCGGGGGTGCTTTCGAACTGCTAGGTTGGCAGGCGCTGGGACCGAGCAGCGGGAGCGCACCCCACCGCGGGGATTCGAACCGCCGACCTTTCGATCGGCAAGCCCTAGGCGCTGAGGCTTTTACCCACAGCGCCACCCGCGTCCCTATATACAATATATATATACATAATAAAACATTAAACATGAAAAGATGTACATAATTGCAAATGTAATAAAAGAAGTCGTTATGGTTAAATAAAGGACATCTAAAGGCACAAAACAAAACTGAACAATTTCCACGTTAGATCTAAAAAGATACAAACAATTATTATAAATAACAGCAACAAAACAAAACAAAACAATACCCCAGCTCACACCTCACTTTTTCCACCACGCCAAAACCTTTATTCTTTATGTACTTATTGTGTTGTGGAGGGTTGGACAAGGACATGGGAGAAAAGGGTTCAAATCCCTGGGTGACCTTGGGCCAGTCACTGCCCAAAATTCACATTTTATATGAATACATTTGAAGATAATCTGAAGGCGTTTCCAGTCGAGTACCTGAGGGTGCCCATACACTGAGCATTTTTTTGGTCTAGTCTTGGGAATGGACTGGCCAGGAGAGCCAAAAAGCAAACCTTAATCCAAATAAGACTGAGGCACTGTTTATGGATAGTTCATGAGATACACCACCTTGAGCTCCTTGGAGGAAAGGTGGAGTATGTATTAAATATTTTTAAAGGCATTGAGCAAGGATATATTACATAATTAGACAATTCTTTATTTACTTAGCTACCTAAATAATTTTACAGTGGTACCTCAGGTTACATACGCTTCAGGTTACAGACTCCGCTAACCCAGAAATAGTACCTCGGGTTAAGAACTTTGCTTCAGCATGAGAACAGAAATCGCGCTGCGGAGGCCCCATTAGCTAAAGTGGTGCTTCAGGTTAAGAACAGTTTCAGGTTAAGAACGGACCTCTGGAACGAATTAAGTACTTAACCCGAGGTACTACTGTACTATGTTTTTTGGCAATTGCCGTTTTTATTTCACGTTTCTGTTCACGTTATAGTTCACGTTTCTGTTTTGAAGGGGGAAATATTCTGTGACTAAAGGTTTGAGGCCTTGTGTTGTTATAATGCTGCAAAGCCTGCATAGCAGTAGTTTTCCATGGCAGGTTCTGAGAGAGGATTGCTTTTGAGAATTCAGTCTGATTGGTTGGTTTGGGTGTCAGCAGAATCTGATTGGTTGGAGGTTCCTGTCAGTTGGAAGCTAACTATCAGCGTTTAGTCAGTTGGGGGGAGTTCAGTTGGGAGATAGGGAGTTTATAAGGAAAGTGTGAGGAATAGACCAGAGAGAATAGCTGAGGAGAATGGCTAAGGCCTAAATATTAATACACAATATGTTAATATGTGGAAAATCAGGAGAAGGGAGCTGGGGACTAAGCTAGTCTGAGAGGCTGCCCTGTGTAAGAGGGCCAGATTTGATGAGGGCCAACCAAAGTTGCTGAGCTTTTTTTAACCCAGGATATATACTGCCATGGGGGCTGGATTAAATCGACCGGCAGGCAGGATTAGGCCCCTGAAACAGATATAATAATAATAATAATAATAATAATAATAATAATAATAATAATAATAATAAATTTTATTTATATTCCGCCCTCCCCAGCTGAAGCCGGGCTCAGGGCGGCTAACAACAATAAAATAATGCAACATTCTAAAAACATTTCATTATAAAAATTAATTAAAATCCTCTGGTACATGCCTGTACCAGAGGAAGGTGACCCAAGGGTGTTTGTGACAGTTGGACAAAATGTCCAAGCATCGAGGATAATAATAATAATAATAATAATAATAATAATAATAATAATAATATCTTTATTGTCATTGCCCCCTCTCGGGGACAACTAGAGGAGATTTGGGGTACCAAGGCAGATTGTCCCTAGGAGGTAGACTGCGTTGTGGGTGAATTTGGCTGGGATGGAGGTTTAGGGTCACTGCTGTGGATACACAACCTGACTATCTCTAGGCTATCCCACATGCAGGGTTAATGTTGCCAGCCTTCATGTCACGTTTGCAGACGTCTCTGTAACACAGAGTTGGTCTGCCAACAGGCCCGGTGCCTGAAGCCAGCTCCCCATAGAGCATGTCCTTGGGGATCCTGACATCTTCCATTATGCAGACATGACCAAGCCAGGGTAGTCGTCGCTGAGACAGGAGTGCACGCATGCTGGGAATGTGGGCTTGCGAGGGCACATATTTGTTTGAGCCTCTGTGATGCCTTCCTGGTGCAAGCCAGGGAACCAAAGCAGCAGACAGGTAATGTTAGACCCCTGAATTAATGTTCTTACACTGCTCTTTTTAGACAGACAAGAGTATTACATCAGTAGTGTTGCATTTTTCTTCCCCCTCTATCCCCCCACCCCACATTTCCATCCATAAAGGTAAAGGTACCCTTGACCATTAGGTCCAGTCGTGGACGACTCGGGGGTTGCATGCTCATCTCACTCTATAGGCCGAGGGAGCGGGCGTTTGTCCACAGACAGCTTCCGGGTCATATGGCCAGCATGACTAAGCCATTTCTGGCGAACCAGAGCAGCGCATGGAAATGTTGTTTACCTTCCCGCTGGAGCGGTACCTATTTATCTACAGTGGTGCCTCTGGATGCGAAAGGGACCCGTTCCGGAGCCCCGTTCGCATCCTGAAGCGAACACAACCCGCGTCTGCACATGCACGGGTCATGATTCGACACTTCCGCGCATGCGCGTGATGTCATTTTGAGTATGTGAGCATGCGCAAGTGGCGAAACCCGGAAGTAATGCATTCCGTTACTTCGGGTCACCGTGGAGCATAACCTGAAAACACTCAACCTGAAGTATATTTAACCCAAGGTATGACTGTACTTGCACTTTGACGTGCTTTCGAACTGCTAGGTGGGCAGGAGCTCAACAAGAACTAGGGGGCCACAGGTCCCTTATCCCTGGTTTAGTCATATGTGTGGTGGTGGCAGGATCTCAGGAGGTAACCATGGCACCCCAGGCCTAAAACTACCATGCTGCCACGACCACTCACCAGCTGCCCTCCTTTCCTTCAAGGACACACAGATGTTCAAAACAGCAGGAAGGCCGATGGTGGACACATTTAAACTGTGGAATTCACCCCTACCCACAAGAAGTATTGAAAGCCATCAACTCATATGTTTGTAAAAGGGGATTGGATAAATTCATGGAGGAGGCTGTCAATGACTACTTGCAGCACACCTCTGTTACTTCTTAGCAGCCCTGCCAGGTCCACTGACTCCCAGCTTCTACAGCTTCTATGGTTTCTCTCCTGCATGAATTCTTTGATGTGAAGTGAGACTTTCCTTCCAGCGGAAGCTCTTCCCACATTCCAAGCACTGATATGGTTTCTCTCCTGTATGAATCATCTGATGGGACATGAGATGGCTGCTCCGACTGAAGCTCTTTCCACATTCCAAGCAGTGAAATGGTTTCTCCTTGCTGTGAATTCTTTGATGGGTTATGAGATGGGAACTCTGACTGAAGTTCTTTCCACATTCCAAGCAGTGATAGGGCTTCTCCCCACTGTGAATCATTTGGTGGGAGGTGAGGTGATCTCTCCGACTGAAACATTTTCCACATTCTAAGCACTGATACGGTTTCTCCCCTGTATGAATTTTTAGGTGGGAAGTGAGAGTTTCCTTCTGGATGAAGCTTTTCCCACATTCTAAGCATTCGTATGGCTTCTCTCCTGTATGAATTCCTTGATGGCAAGTGAGACTTTTCTTCCAGCGGAAGCTCTCCCCACACTCCAAGCACTGATATGGTTTCCTCCCTGTATGAATTCTTTGGTGGGAAGTGAGATTATGTTTCAAGCTAAAGCTTTTTCCACATTCCAGACATTGATATGGTCTGTTGCCTGTATGAATTATTTGATGGGAAGTGAGATGGTCACTCCGACTGAAGGTCTTTCCACATTCCAAGCACTGATATTGTTTCTCCCCTTTATGAATTCCTTGAAGGGAGCTCTGGTGGAAACTCTGTCCACACTCCCAATATTTACATGGCGCCCCTACTGTATAGATTTTGTAGTAGTCTCCCTTAGTCTTGCTTTCCAATTCACCACCTTCTGCAATGAAGACAGAAACTGATTAGAGCCTTTGGAGGAAATGGAGTCTCAAATTATGTAAAAATGCAATTTTTCAAGCCTTGTGAGGAACAGTTGAGAGGAGATATGAGAACCTTCAAATATCTCAAGGGCTGTCACATGGTAGATTGAGGAAGCTTGTTTTCTCCTGCTCCAGAGGGTAGGACCCAGACCAGTGGGTCCAGTTATAAGAAAGGAGATTCTAACTAAACATGAGGAATAATTTTCGATTTACTACCCCGCTTCTCTCTCCCCTGCTCTCTCCCTACCTTTCTTCTTCCCCAGCCTTCTAGAATTTTTTTATAAAAACAATTTAAAAAATCAGGAATAACTTTCCAAAGGTAAGAGCTGTTGGAAAGTTGAACAGTAGACTCCCTTTTATTTGTTGGAAGAGTTTAAGCAGATGTTGAATGGCCATCTGTCATGGATGCTTTAGTAGAGATTCCTGCATTGCAGGGGGTTGGACTAGATGACCCTCAGGGAACATTCCAACTCTACAACTCTATGATTCCTGTTTTGCAAAGAAAAGATCGTGTCGTGTGTCTCAAGTACATGCATAACCTTCTGAACTTATAAGAACAATGGAAAGATACAAACATGATTAAATAAAAACTTAGGCTCCAACATTCACTGTCAGTGACTTCCCTGGCCATCTGCTGATCAGCCCCACTGCGATCAGCTGCATTCTCCATCCTGATAATTAATTCTCCATCCTGATCTGCAGACTGATGTTGACAGTGGGCCATCGGGGGGGGGTTGTTTGCTCCTTTCAAATTATCACATCATGTGATAATGATGGTAGGTGATTGACGGATGGTCATCCCTGCTCACCTATCCAAGTTGGCCCATGTGTAGGGGTGCTGGTTGACTCACAGGTCTGCAGGCCAGATCCAGCTTACTACTAGGGCAGTAAAAACCAGTCAGGCAATTGCTTAAATGGGCATAACTGGAGGATGCATCTTGAAAGGCAATACAGTACACAGATGCCCATTCAATGTTAACTACAGGGAGTCTGAATCCCAGCTGTTGTAGGCGACTGCTGAACTACATCAGAATATAGGGGTTCATCAAATTTATCTGCAATTGATCGTGGTTAAGAATTCATAATTCACGACAGATATTATCAAGCCACTGAGAGCCTCACCAAGTAAGGCCAGGATCCCACAGGTCTCCTCCATGACTTCCGTATGTAGAGCTCTCTGGTCAGGATCCAGCAGTGCCCATTCTTCGTCCATGAAATGCACAGCCACATCCTCGAAGGATGCGGGACCCTAAAAGAAAAAAAGAAGCCTTTCCTGATTGGATCATCGTGTTGCACTTTTTAATAACAGGTGTTTATTTTAAGGTTTTAATAGAACTGTGTATTCGGGCCCAGGGAGGTTAGGAGGAGACAGAAATATGTTGGATGCTCCCAGCCTCTTTCCCCCCACCGATCTACCTGTTTCGGTGCCACAGAAGCTGCTTCCCCTCCACTGTGAAGAGGAGATGGCTGAGGAGGTTCTGCCAGCATTATCCAGTCACCTGCGAGAAAAAAATATGTGGTGGGTAGCCAGGAGCACTTCCTTGTTTCAGGGGTGAAGTACATTTAGCTACCAATGGGTCTTTTAAAAAGTATTTTGAGCATTGACAAATATATACATTCTATATACAGTATCAGCTGTGTAAAAACATCAAAGGGAAATTGGGAGCAGTGAAAAAGGCTGCAGGGAAGTCTCGTCTGCCGCCAAAGATTAAAAGAGCCTGAAGATTTATTTCACACTCAACAGAGGGCGACCAAACTGAGATGCATCCCAACCATCCTTACCTAGTGGCCTCTGTCTGCTGTCCAATGGAATCATCTCCATCTCAGCGAAATCAGTGTCCATTTTTGCAAGCAGATCGTGTCCCTGAAACAGTAATAAGGAGTCAAAACAGGGATCGAGAAGAAGGAAGGATGGAGGTTTTCGGAAAACCTTCATCTGGATGCTTTCCAAAAAAAGTTGGGATAGTAGCCGAGAATTTTGAGATACCCTCCCTCACATTCTGAATGCCTTGGGAACCATCATGGTGAAACATTCTCACCTGTTGCTGTTCCTGCTTCCTGTCCTCTGCCTGGCTCAGGAGGAAACCTTCAGCCAGGGCCACCGCCTGGGAGCTGGTCTCTGCCCCACACTCCCTCACCCAGCTCTGCATCTCCAGGGGGAGGACAGCCAGGAACTGCTCCAGGATGACCAGGTCAAGCATCTGATTCTTTGTGTGTTGCTCTGGCTTCAGCCACTGGCGGCAAAGATGGTGGAGTTGGTTGCAAACCTCTCGGGGTCCTTTGGCTCCGTGGTAGCAGAAATGTCTGAACTGCTGTCGCTGCACATCAGAACTGAGGGTATCCTCACCCAGGACCTCCTGCACTGAGGTTTTCCAGAATACTTCAGAGTTCCCTGGTTTGATGGCACTGTGGCCTCTTCCTGCTTCAGGGCCAGCTGAGTTTTGCTCATCCATCTGTGCCCCAAGAAAGCCTCCAAGATGTCCAAAGGAGTTCCTTGGTCTTCTGTCAATTTCAGTCTGTCCTAATTAGAAGTGATGCCAACCCCTACAAAACAAAGACACTGCTGTGTTACGGGATTGCTACATAGCTGTCAAGTGTCCCTTATTTGGCGGGACAGTCCCTTATTCCAGCGCTATGTCCCGCTGCTGTCCCTTATTGATGGATGTCCCTTAAATGTCCCTTAAATGATGCCCCTTAAATTTCAAAGGAAGCAGCTCCTCTCCCTCACTCCCTGCCGGCCAGGGAGGAGGGAGGCTCCAACTGTGTTGCTTGGCTGTGTTGCTCACCCAATAAGAAGTCTAAGAACGACTGGGGGGGGTGGAGCTTGCATGCCTTGTGTGTGGCTAGTTAATGCAAGCTGAGGGGGTTTTCGAATGCTGGATGCCATTTTGTTGCACATGCTGCTGCAAACTTTGCAGTGCAAAGCCAGGCCGTCTTAAGTTGAGGCTGCATAGGCCTTGTGGTGCATGTGGTTCAGAATCTATTCAGTTGAACCTCTGGTTACAAAGTTGGTTGGACAGTGTTCTCGAAACTACCAGCATGAGTTTGACCAGACTGCAGGAGGACAGGAAGACTGGAGTGCCTGGAACAGGTGAGGCTGCTGGTCCCTTATTTTCAAGGCTGCTGGTCCCTTATTTTCAAATCTGTAAGTTGACAGCTATGGATTGCTACACTGTCAGGAAAGGGAAAATATTCTCCGAGCAGGCCTGGATGAGTTTCGCTAAAACCCAGGGCCAGATTATAGTGGTGCAGTAGGAGTCTCCAGCTCTCCTAGAAAGAAACTTAAAAAGCAAAAATATGCAGACTACCTTCTATGCCAGCATTTCTCAAAGCGTAAGCCAAGAATTACTACTGGATCTCAGCGTCCTTATAGATGGATCTCACAGCCTCTTCACTTCCCCTTCTCACCCTGTGATATGAAACAGGCTCCGTATTACAATGCCAGAGAAGTCAGCCTGACTCCTCCCCTTTTCCCACACGTTTGAAAACAATGAGGGACTGTCAGAGCTGTGATTGACATCTGGCAATAGCAATGTGGGGTAGATTCAGCAGAGCATTAGTGACTGGACCAAGGCCGTTGATGAGCAAAATGAAGCAGGAGTAAAGTAGGTTTAAAATGTGAAACTGCACAGAAACAATATGTGCTGCTCTTTTTCTAGGTTGGCAAACTGGTGGGAAGATGCTTTGTATTACAGCTGTTCAGTTTTGAATTTAAATGTAATTTTTTTAAAAAAATGACATTTAAATACTGTCTCCTTCAACTGATTCCTCTCCAATGGTTCTGAGCAGTGCTTTGTATTCACTCCCAAATGATCCTCTCCATCACTCAGGAGTTGCACCCGTCCGAATGGGCACATGTCTGCCAACCAGAAGCCTTGGTAACGCCACTGCCTGATTAACGGGGAGGGGATGTTAATTCTAAGCAAAGCTCACTTGGAGATACACTTGCACCGGGAGCAACTTTTAATCCTCCCCTCCCCCCAATATTTCAGATAGCATCTCCTGCCTTTGCACAGGGGGGGGGGGGAGGAGGCTGCCCTCCCTGTTTTGGGGGTAGCGTCCTGGATGGATCAGGTCCCCTTTGCACCCTCTCCTTCCTGCAGCCCTGGGACTCCCCTTCGCCCAAATGCACAAAATAAAGGGGGAACAACAACTCACCGGTTCCCAGAAGGGTCCCCCCAGTGCAGCGCTGGGAGAGACAAAGAGCAATTCGTCCCCCCCCCCCCCCCAGGGAGAAGCCAGGCAAGAAGGGGCTTTGGAGGGAAGGGCTTTCTCTCCTGGAGGACTCCGCACTCCTCCCCTCCTGGTCCCCATCCTCTCTAGGAATGCAAATCGGTTCGCTTTAACCCTTACAAAGCCAAAAGGCGAGAAGGGCTGTCTGTAATGCAGAGGCAGGGCAGCTGCTCTTCTCCTGTCATTGTGGAGCCAGCTATCAAACTTGCTAAGGGGGAAGATGGCGAGATGTCTGTTGGGGAATCTTAACAATTCTCCAATTGTTTCTCTTTGGGCACTTCTCCTCAGTCCTCTAGAGCAGCTGTTAGAATTCCTGCTCCATGATTGCAGTCATGGGAATTTTGTCTATCACATGACAATGTATGTTTTGACTCCAGAGAGTGGGAAGTGACAGAGACAGGATGTTTGTGTTACTGTGTTCTGTGAAGTGGGACTACAGTGGTACCTTGGGTTACATACACTTCAGGTTACAGACTCCGCTAACCCAGAAATAGTGCTTCAGGTTAAGAGCTTTGCTTCAGGATGAGAACAGAAATTGTGCTCTGGCGGCAGCAGGAGGCCCCATTAGCTAAAGTGGTGCTTCAGATTAAGAACAGTTTCAGGTTAAGAACAGACCTCCAGAACGAATTAAGTACTTAACCCGAGGTACCACTGTATTGTCCTTTGTTCTCTCTTTGCTGTCTGACTCTAGAGAGGGAGTCATGTTGCAGTGCTCCGTGTGTGTTAAAATGTAAGTAAAGTAGATTAGCCAAAATGCTGAGTTGCTGAGTTCTGTTACACGGACTGCACAAACTCTGCAGATGCCTAAGTGTGCCGATGTGATGTTCGGGCAGAAGAAAGCTTTTGAAGCTCCCGAACAACCAGGAGGGAGAGAACATGCCAGTTGGGCATGTGTCTCTGCCAGGGTCCTATTCGAGTGTAGGACAAGCTCATGACAGCAGCTCCCCCCCCCACATGGGTCTCCATCTGTTTTTGGACTACAACTCGCATCATCGCTAGCTAACAGGACCAGCGGTCAGGGTTGATGGGGATTGTAGTCCGAAAGAAAACAGATGGAGACCCAAGTTTTTGGAAACCGTGATCTAGTGGATTTTCTCCACCTTTTCCCTTCCCCTCTCTTCCAGAAAAGCACTAGAATTGAAGGATCCAAACAATTCTCTCTTGCCCCCCCCTCTCTCGAGGCCTTGGAGGGTCAGGGGATTTTCTCCAGTGTACCCGAAGGAGCGTCTCCACCCCCCATTGTTCTGCCTGGACACTGAGGTCCAGCGCCGAGGGCCTTCTGGCAGTTCCCTCACTGCGAGAAGCGAAGTTACAGGGAACCAGGGAGAGGGCCTTCTCAGTGGTGGCTCCCTCCCTGTGGAAAACTCTCCCATCAGATGTCAAGGAAATAAAGAACTATCTGACTTTTAGAAGACATCTGAAGGCAGCCCTGTTTAGGGAAGCTTTTAAAGTTTGATGAATCATTGTATTTTAATGTTTTTATGGAAGCCGCCCAGAGTGGTTGGGGAACCCAGTCAAATGGGCGGGGGTATAAATAATAAATATTATTATTATTCCAAAGCAACAGCCCCTGCAGGACCACAGTCAAATAAGTGTATAAACACTAATTCCCTCTGGGGTTTTTTTTCATGAGGATTCAAAATGTTCCCCACTTCCCCTGCTAGCAATAAGGCCTAGATTTACAGGCCCCTGTATGTGGAGGCATTTACAGGGGCAGCTGTTCCTTCCAAATATCTAGTTTTGAAATAACTAATTTAAATTGCTTCGTGAGTCTATGTGTAGTTTGATAGGTTCTAGAGGAATGAATTGGAATTACCCTGCCAGATGAAACTGCAAGATGTGCTGGTCCTTTTTCTGGTTTCTTGGGGTTTCTCTTTCAGCTATGGAAAAGGAGTTGCTGCTTCTCTTTTTTTAGTTTTCAATATATTGGCTTAAGGAGCTCCTGAAATACGCTCAGTTGAATAAATTTTTCCGTAAAATATTTGTAGCTTCGTTATAGTTTGCCCGCTAATATAGATACCACCTCAGATGCTAGTCTGTCTGGTTTTTCTGCCTACAACTTGACAGTTCAGTTTTAAATAAAGTGTATGCTCCAGATATAAATTTATTCACTCTTCTCTGTGATAGTCCCTTGGGAAAGTTTTGAAGATTTAATTTTATTCATTCATTCATTCATTTAGTATACTGCCCTTTATCCAAAGACCACAGCACAGTATTATTATTATTATTATTGCTGCTACTACTACTACTACTACTACTGTTTATTAAATTTGTATACGACCCTTCATCAGAAGGTCACAGACTGGTTCACAACATAAAAATACAAAATGAGAACACAAAACACTTAATGAAAACAAAATTATCCCCCTCACACAAGCACATTTAAAAGACCATAGACCGTTAGCCTGATTGAAGAGAAACATTTTCGCCAGGAGCTTAAAGATATGTAATGAAGGCTCTAGGGTTGCCATATTTTGAAGAGCAAGAAAGAGGACACATTTGCCGACTTCTGCTTTTAACTGTAGATCTCTATGACGACTCTCATTTTACATACCCATGAAGAAGAGGACGTATCCTGGGAAAAGAGGACATATGGCAACCCTAAAAGGCGCCAAGCGATCCTCCTTGGAAAGAGCATTCCACAAACAGGGAGCCACCACATAAAATGCCCATTCTTATGTTTTCACCATATGGACCTCTCATGGAGTAGGCGCGCGAAGAAGGGCTTCTGATGTTTTTAATAGAATCAATAAGATGCTTTCTTTCTCTGGTGCCTACTTAAGAGGAACAGTAGCCCCCAAGCTTCCAAGTACAGTAGTCTAGTATGTCCCTTTAAACAATAGTTCAAGTAATGGGATGGCTGCCAATGTGCAGAGATATGCCAATCTGAAGTGGATTTTTCTCCAATTAACCACTCCAATGTTTTAAGACAGCTTTTATTCTGTCAGAATAACAGTAGCAGCTGGGGAACCCACAGACTGGAGGCTGTTGCGAATCTGATGTGGAAGTGTGGATCTTGCCTGAGGCACCACTCACCACACAGAAGCAGAGTAAGGTCCAAATCTTTTAATGTTGTAAAAGTAATAGGTTCAGCAAATAGCTCTGGGACAATTTAAGCATGGAAAAGTAAGTTCCAGTTTGTAGGCTTTTCAGATGCAAGTATATACAGAGACAAGGTATCACTGTTGCTCTAACAAACACCAACTAACCAAGATACAACACCTCACCTGGAGTACTGTGTCCAGTTCTGGGCAGCACAGTTCAAGAAGGACACTGACAAACTGGAACGTGTCCAGAGGAGGGCAACCAGAATGGTCAAAGGCCTGGAAACGATGCCTTATGAGGAACGGCTAAGGGAGCTGGGCATGTTTAGCCTGGAGAAGAGGAGGTTAAGGGGTGATATGATAGCCATGTTCAAATATATAAAAGGATGTAATATAGAGGAGGGAGAAAGGTTGTTTTCTGCTGCTCCAGAGAAGCGGACACGGAGCAATGGATCCAAACTACAAGAAAGAAGATTCCACCTAAACATTAGGAAGAACTTCCTGACAGTAAGAGCTGTTCGACAGTGGAATTTGCTGCCAAGGAGTGTGGTGGAGTCTCCTTCCTTGGAGGTCTTTAAGCAGAGGCTTGACAACCATATGTCAGGAGTGCTCTGATGGTGTTTCCTGCTTGGCAGGGGGTTGGACTCGATGGCCCTTGTGGTCTCTTCCAACTCTATGATTCTATGACCACTGTACAACTGAACGAGTTGACATACATTAATCACAGATATAGTGAGGCCTCCAAGCTGTTACCACCGTAACTGGTTCATTTGACCTTGCACTTGTGATCACCTTGTTTGATATTCGCGGAGGAACCCCTTCCTATGTCCACCTACCCCAACAGAGTCCACTGGACTAAAAGCATGCCTGCATTATCAGAACTGGAGACATCATGTCTGCTTTATACTGTATTACTGGTCTCCTAACAATATCCTTTCACACACACTTTTGAAATCTCTTCACATGTATTAAAGGTAAAGGAACCCCTGGCCATCAGGTCCAGTCGTGGCCAACTCTGGGGTTGCGGCGCTCACCTCGCTTTATTGGCCAAGGGAGCTGGGGTACAGCTTATGGCAACCGATAGGCCAAAGTTGCCATGAGTGCCAAGAAAAACAAACATGGAGCCTGGCACGCTTCCCTTGCGCAGCTTGCAAACTGTCCGTGCCGATCCAAAAATCCTCCTCTGCCTCTGTCTCTTGCCGGTAGCAGAGCGAACACAGCGGTGAGAAGCAATTGCAAACAGTGTGGGTAATAAATTCAGAGCAGACACAAAGGCCTTCTTATCTTCTTAGCCTTTAATCATGTAGAATAACATCATAAATTCAGACCTGGCGAAACCTCGCCCATTCTCTCCTCCGTACACAGACAGACTGAAACACTTAGCGTCAAGCCACTCCCGTAAGTGTTTCTAACCACGCCTCAGGAGACGTCACACAGAACTCTTTAACCCTGTGAGTTCTGAAACCAATAACACAGCTTCTGGGTCATGTGGCCAGCATGACTAACTCGCTTCTGGCAAACCAGAGAAGCGCACGGAAACGCCGTTTACCTTCCTGCCGGAGCAGTCCCTATTTATCTATTTGCACTTTGACGTGCTTTCAAACTGCTAGGTTGGCAGGAGCAGGGACCAAGGAATGGGAGCTCACCCCGTCGCGGGGATTCGAATCGCCGACCTTCTGATCGGCAAGTCCTGGGCTCTGTGGTTTAACCCACAGCGCCACCCGTGTCCCCTTCACATGTAGACTACCTATCAATGTACATACATCAATACTATCGTGGCATAAACCAACTCCAGGAATTCTGACAGCGATTCTGAACCAAGGTAAGATACTATTAGCTGCTGAGCATTTATACAACTGTAATCTTTACATGTCCACTCTTTCTTTCCAGAGGAAGGCAACAGGCAGAGAAACAGTACAGGTGGAGGCAATACAAAACTTTTGTCCTAGCAGTGAATAGGCTGTGATGGCAGAGACCAGTCCTTCTGGACCAGTTTTCCAGTTTGTTAGATGCACAATACTTGTTCAACTGCAATGCTTAAGTAACTTTGTGAGAAAGCATGGGGAGAAACAGGTTAGCGGCGCCACTATGATCTCTAAGTAGCCAAGCTGCACCAGTGACCCTCAGCTGTCACTGATTTTATGGTTTCTCCCCTGTATGACTTTTTTGATGGGAACTGAGACTCTCACTGTCTTTGAAGCACTTTCCACATTCCAAGCATTTATATTGTTTCTGCCCTGTGTGAGTTCTTTGATGGGAAGTGAGGTTTTTCTTAAAGTTGAAGGTTTTACCACATTCCAAGCACTGAAATTGTTTCTCCTCTGTGTGAATCCTTTGATGTGAATACAGATGGGAGGTCTGACTGAAATTCTTCCCACACTCCAAACACTGATATGGCTTCTCCCCTGTGTGAATTCTTTGATGGTAACAGAGACTGCTGCTCCGACTGAAGCACTTTCCACATTCCAAGCACTGATATGGCTTCTCCCCGGTGTGAATTCTTTGATGGGAAGTGAGGCTTTCCTTCCAGCGGAAGCTCTTTCCACATTCCAAGCACTGATATGGTTTTTCTCCTGTATGAATCATTTGATGGAGGATGAGATGGCTGCTCCGACTGAAGTTCTTTCCACATTCCAAGCAGTGAAATGGTTTCTCCTTGCTGTGAATGATTTGATGGGTCGTGAGATGTGAACTCTGGCTGAAGCATTTCCCACATTCCAAGCACTGATAGGGCTTCTCCCCACTGTGAATCATTTGGTGGGAAGTGAGATGGTGTCTCCGACTGAAGCTTTTTCCACATTCTAAACATTCGTATGGTTTCTCCCCTGTATGAATTCCTTGATGGGAAGTGAGACTTCTCTTCCAGCGGAAGCTCTCTCCACATTCTAAGCACTGAAACGGTTTCCTCCCGGTATGAATTCTTTGGTGGGAAGTGAGATTATGTTTCAACCTGAAGCTTTTTCCACATTCCAAGCATTGATATGGTCTCTCACCTGTGTGAATTCTTTGATGGGAAGTGAGATGATCGCTCCGAATGAAGTTCTTTCCACATTCCAAGCACGGAAATTGTTTCTCCCCTGTATGAATTATTTGAAGGGAGCTCTGACTGAAGCTCTCTCCACACTCCCAATATTTATATGGCTCCCCCACTGTATAGATTTCGTAGCAGTTTCTCTTATTTCTGCTTTCCAATTCTCCACCGTCTGAAATGAAGACAGAAACTGATTAGAGCCTTAGTAATAAATGGAGCCTCACATGATAAAAAATGCAATTAACGTTTGATATCTTAAGGAAAAACTGAAGGGACTTAGATTGGGGGGGCACATCTTACACTACCAAATGATATGCATTTTTTAAGGTTTCGGTAAGTTCTCAAATCTAATTAGGGGAAGCACTAGCACCAACTTGAGTATATGGCAACCTAGCTAATTAATCTTTGTTGGAGACATTTATGCTTATGATATATTAACATGCAATGTATTTAAAAACATGTGTCACACTTCTTAATCCTAAATCTTGTCTGTATGGTATCACAAACAGGAAAGGTCCTAGAACAGGGTTAGAATCTCTGGTGTTCTCACTTCCGGTGCTGATTTGCCTTAATGGCTGCCGCTCTCACATTAGTGGAGATTGTTTGCGACGGATAAACAAGGATGATTTGAGGATAATTGTCCTTGTAAGCTCCCCCCAGGGCCCAGGGGAAGTGAGTTTCACTTGCAGATCGTCTTGATATCTGACTTTTGCTCCTATATGGAATGTGGGAGCAGGCAGATGCTGGGTGCAAAAAGCACTTCGCCTATCAGTAATCCTCTGATGCAGCCATCAAGATGCAGAGGCTCTTCTGTCTATTAGAGTAAAATTCAGACTAATTTACAGACATGTGCTTGGATGGATAGGACAAGATTACTATCTGCTAAAATGAAATGGCTCCAAAGACGTAAATATTTGAACTGGAAATAGAAAAATCCTTCGTTGTAAAAGACGGTATGTGCGGGGGGGGGGAGGCTTTACCCCTTCTGTATACATAAATAATTTGGCAAACCCACCCCGTGACTATTAAAAAAATAACGGAAGGCAGGAAAAGATCAAAGAAAATGGGAGTTTATGTATGGACGACAGTGCAAAATTGAACTGTGTGTGAAAATGGATATGGATTCAAATCATTCGAAAGGACTTATTTCTCACTGCATCGCTACCTCAGAGGGGTCTTTGAAGACTTGCCAAGGCTTGGCGGAACACCAGATCATTACTGCGTATGATTAAAGGAAAGAGAGAAAATGGGGGCTTGCCAGTGCTTTGGCAGGGCACCAGACTGTCTCTGTTCCTGGAATGAAATAAAGATGGTGTATGGCAATTACAACCTCATGTTTTTGAGACAAAGGGAGAGAGAAAGACTGGAAGTAGCTGAGCTGTGCAGGACGGAGACTAAATAGAATGAAGAAATAATATGGGCAAAACAAAATAAATTAATATAAATATAAAACAAACCTCACGCACAGGAAATAGAAAGATTACAGAACTTTTCTTGCAGAGATATAAATTATTGTTTCAATACGAATGGAAGTTAAAAACACTGTAGCTGTGGATAAGAGACTTTGATTAAGAATGAATGGAATTGGATTAAATAACCCTTCAGACGCAGAATGTAAACAAAAATACTGCACCCTGAAATCTAACACACGGGAAGTCATAAATAATATGTATGTGTAATTGGCTGTTTAATTATATTTGAACTGCAATTGTAATTTGGCATTGATACAATGTGGCATATATTGGATTTTTTGTAATTGAAAACTAATAAACATTATTTATATATAAAAAAAGAATCCCTGATGTTGCAGGTGACACCGTTGAACCACATCAGAATATAGGGATTCATCACCTTTATCAGCAATTGATCATGGATAACAACTGATAATTCACAACATATACTATCAAGCCACTGGGAGCCTTACCAAGAGAGGCAAAGATCCCACAGGTCTCCTCCATGACTTCTGTATGCAGAGCTCTCTGGTCAGGATCCAGCAGTGCCCATTCCTCATCTGTGAAATGCACAGCCACATCCTCGAAGGATGCTGGACTCTACAAGAAAAAAGAAGCCTTTCCTGATTGGACCATTTTTGGCACTTTTTAATTATGGGTGTTTACTTTACTAAATTGGAATTATGTATTTCAACAATGGGTGTTTTATCTTTGTGTAACTGCCTCTTCTTCTTTGTTAGCTTCTTAAAAATCTACTTTAGTATTAAGCATTTTTTGAATTTATAAATACAGTGGTATTTTGGTTCTCGAACTTAATCCATTCAGGAAGTCCGTTTGACTCCCAAAAACGTTCAAAAACCAAGGCACAGCTTCTGATTGGCTGCACTCAAGCGGAAGCCACGTCGGACACTGGGCTTCCAAAAAACGTTCGCAAACCAGAACACTTACTTCTGGGTTTGTGGCATTCAGGAGTCAATTTGTTCACCAACTAAGCCATTCGGGAACCAAGGTATGGTCAACAACTTTGGTCGGCCCTCATGGCCTTCACTTCATCAAATCTGGCCCTCTTTGAAAAAAGTTTGGACACCGCTGTTCTAGCTCCATCCAAAGGCCTAGTTAAGTTGAGGGGGCTGATCATTCTTCTTTGAATTGAAACCTTCCCTGAGCGGCCTTCAAAGACTTTATTGAGGACAGGCTTCCCAGAAGCAAAGTGAAAGAGAGATTCATTCAGGCCAGGGAGGTGAGGAGGAGACAGAGATATGTTGGATGCCCCCAGCCTCTTTCCCCCCACTGACCTGCCACCCCTACCTGTTTCAGTGCCACAGAAGCTGCTTCCCCTCCACTGTGAAGAGGAGATGGCTGAGGAGGTCCTGCCAGCATCATCCAGTCACCTGTGAGGGAAAAATGTGGTGGGGAGCCAGGAGCACTTCCTTGTTTTCAGAGGTTATGTGATAAAATTTAAATACAAATGAGTCTTTATAAATACATGTATTTATACCCATTCTGTGTATCAGTTGTGTAAAAGCACCTAAGGGAAATTGGGAGCAGTGAAAAAGGCTGCAGGGATGTCTTGTCTGCCACCAAAGATTAAAAGAACCCAAAGATTTATTTCACACTCAGCAGAGGGAGACCAAACTGAGATGCATCCCAACCGTCCTTACCTAGTGGCCTCTGTCTGCTGTCCAATGGAATCATCTCCATCTCAGGGAAATCAGTGCCCATTTTGCAAGCAGATCCTGACCCTGAAATAGTAATAAGGAGTCAAAACAGAGATTGAGGAGAAGGAAGGACAGAGGTTTTTGGACAACCTTCATCTGGATGCTTTCCAAAAAATGTTGGGATAGTAGCAGAGAATTTGAGATACCCTCCCTCACATTCTCAATGCCTTGGGAACCATCATGGTGAAACATTCTCACCTGTTGCTGTTCCTGCTTCCTGTCCTCTGCCTGGCTCAGGAGAAAACCTTCAGCCAGGGCCACCCGCCTGGGAGCTGGTCTCTGCCCCACACTCCCTTACCCAGCTCTGCATCTCTGGGGGGAGGACAGCCAGGAACTGCTCCAGGATGACCAGGTCAAGCATCTGATTCTTTGTGTGTTGCTCTGGCTTCAGCCACTGGCGGCAAAGATGATGGAGTTGGTTGCAAACCTCTCGGGGTCCTTTGGCTTCGTGGTAGCAGAAATGTCTGAACTGCTGCCGTTGCCACATCTGAACTGAGGTATCCTCACCCAGGACCTTCCAGAATACTCCAGAGCTCCAGGCTTGATGGGTACTGTGGCCTCTTCCTGTTTCAGGGCCAGCTGAGTTTTGCTCTTCCATCTCTGCTCCAAGGTAGCTTCTAAGAGGTCCAAAGGAATGTCTTTTGTCTTAGGTCAATTTCAGTCTGTCCGAATTAGAAGTGATGCCAACCCCTACAAAACAAAGACATTGTTGTGTTATGGGATTGCTACACTGTCAGGAAAGGGGAAATATTCTCCAAGCAAGCCTGGATGAGTTTCCGCTAGAACCCAGGGCCAGATTATAGCGGTGCAGCAGGAGTCTCTAGCTCTCCTAAAAGGAAGGCTACAAAACAAAATACGCAGGCCACCGTCTAAACCAGCATTACTCAAAGCATACAGAAAGAAAGGTGGTTTTGCTGCTATTTTTCAAGGCTGGCAAATTGGTCGGTGTTCTGTATTTTGCTGCAAAAGTGGGATTGTAGCAATTGAAGCACGGGGGGTGAGGAGATGATTTCTTCCCTGGCTTTTGTTACAGCACTCCTTAAAACAACAAAAAATATAGCTTGGAATCTGTGGGAATCCATTACTTCTCCCTCTCCCATTAATAATAACAATAATTTTATCATCTGTACCCCACTCATCTGACTGGGTTTCCAATATACATTGCAAAGGTATGTTTACTTTCAGTCAGACTCTCTCCTGCATTTGAGTCCTCTGATTATTACCCTCCAATAGTTCTGAACAGTGCTTTGTATTCGGTCTCAAATCACCCTCTCTGTCCCACAGGAGCTGCACGTCTGAATGGTGCCTCCAGGAGCCTTGGCGAAGCCACTGCCTGATTCATGGGGAGGCGCCACTAAATCTAATCAAAGCTCAATTGGAGATACCCTTGCACCGAGATCAACTTTAAATCCTCCCCTCCCTGCAATATTTCAAACGCATCTCTTGCCTTTGCAAACAGGGAGAGAAAAAGGCTGCCCTCCCTGTTTGGGGGGGGAGCATCCTGGATGGATCAGGTCCCCTTTGCACCCTCTCCTTCCCGCAGCCCTGGGGCTCCCCTTCGCCCCAATGCACAAAATAAAGGGGGAACAGCACTCACCGGATCCCAGAAGGGTCCCCCCGATGCAGCGCTGGGAGAGACAAAGACCACGTTCCTCCCCCCCCCCCCAGGGAGAAGCCAGGCAGGAAGGGGCTTGGGAGGGAGGGGCTTTCTCTCCTGGAGGACTCCGCACTCCTCCCCTCCTGGTCCCTTCCTCTCTAGGAATCCAGTTCGGTTCGCTTTAACCCTTACAAAGCCAAAAAGGCGAGAGGGGCTGCCTGTAACGCAAGAGGCAAGGCAGCAGCTCTTTGCAGGCAGAAGCCCCCCGAGATCAATGCTGGACATTGCTTTTTTTTTTTTTTAAGGTGACAAGCTATGGGGAAAACCTCTAGGGGGGAGAGACCGCCAAGCATCAGGATCAGCTCCCTCTGCATCTCTCCGTGCACTCCAAATGCATCCAAAGCACATTTAACCCCTGCAGAAGAATCACGAGGAACTGTGGTTTGTGTTTGTGTGCCTATTGTCTTATCTCAGCACATTAAACCTTGGTTTGCCCTATGTATATATGTGTGTTTCTTCTTCGCCCCCTTCTGGCCTGAAAGGGAATGGATATCTTTTCTTACACTTTCCTGAAGTGATGAAGCATCGCTTCCAGGAGAGTGGCAGCGATTGCTGGTGTTAAGGTAAAAGGACCCCTGACCTTTAGGTCCAGTTGTGGTCGACTCTGAGGTTGCGGCACCTCATCTCGCTTTACTGGCCAAGGGAGCCGGCGTACAGCTTCCAGGTCATGTGGCCAGCATGACTAAGCCGCTTCTGGCGAACCAGAGCAGCGCACGGAAACGTCGTTTACCTTCCTGCCGGAGGGGTACCTATTTATCTACTTGCACTTTGACATGCTTTTGAACTGCTAGGTTGGGAGGAAGTGTTACTGGTGTTAACTGCTTCTAAAAGAGGAGACTGGCAGACCAGGGTTCCTCGCGCTGGAACGGGGAGCCCATAAATTGGAAGTAAACAGCCAAATGTAAAGATCATTTCTGCAATGCATGGGGTTGGAACTAGATGACCCCCGGGGTCCCTTCCAACTCCACAATTCTACGATCATAGGGCACCGCTGAAGCTGATCAGTTACAGGCAGCCCAGTCCTTTGGATCAAGAAATCAGAAGCTCTGGAGCAACGCACACGCCATACGCAAATCCTGTGAACTGTAGTGTACCCCTCGGAGCTACAGTTCCCAGCACCCTTCACAAACTACAGTTCCCCAGGATCCTTTTGCAGTGTCTTTGACATGTATGCAGCCCCAGAATGAAACATTCTCGAGTTCAGGGCCTGATTCCTCCTTTGAGAGTCGCAGAACAACAACAACTTTTAATTTATATCCCGCCCAACAACAACAACTTTTACAGTAATTTATATCCTGCCCAACTGACTGGGTTTCCCCAGCCACTCTGGGTGGGTTACAACATATAAAACACAACAAAACACCAAGCATATCCTATACAAGCAACAAACCAATAAATCTTTTTTTTATAAATATTTATTAAAGTTTATCAAATACAAAGAAACGAAGAACAAACAATAAAAGTTTCAATAAAAAAGAAAGAAAAAAATATAGAAAAGAAAAGCAAAAACAGCAAAAAGACAAAAACATTTAAAAAACACCAACATTTAAAAAAGAAAAAGAAAAAACCCATGTTTTCATATCCTTATTTTACATTTGCTTATTTCCTTGACTTCCTCAAACCTCCCTCTTTGCATTCCAGTTCAATTAATTATTTCAGCAAGTCCTTTCCCTTTTTCTCCAATTTAAATCCAAACTTTTCTTAACGCAATTTAGCCTTAAATTTTACACTTTAACCATAGTCGATTTATTTCTTACTTAATTCTTAGTAACATTTCTACTAAAGCCCAATACCTTCTTTCCAACAACCTCCTAGCATTCAATTGATTTTACAATATTTCTGTAAATATACTTTACATTTTTTCCAATCTTCTTCCACCGACTCTTCTCCCTGGTCTCGAATTCTGCTGGTCATTTCCGCCAACTCCATATAGTCATCAACTTCATCTGCCATTCTTCCCGGGTAGGTAGATCTTGTGTCTTCCAGTACTTTGCAATAAGTATTCTCGCTGCAACAAACCAATAAATCAATAAAAGCAATAACAATAATATTAATAACAGCAATAATTATAATAATAATCAGTTTACAGTTATACCCGAATTAAGATAACTGACGTTGCAGCCTGGCCATCTCTCTCTCTCCCTGGATCTCTTCTCCATCACTTGCCACGTGGAAATGCCGCGGATTGCGCTTGGAGCTTCCGCACGCTTTTGCAGGAGTTGCGCCACCGAGCTTCGCGCAGCCCCTCTCGCTGCTTGGCTTTCTAAGGGTTAAAATGGGCCGGAACTGGTTTCCTAGAGAGGAAGGGAAATGGGATTTGGGGGCGAGGGAGGGGGAACATTCCTCCCCACGGTGCCCCTTCCTGGCTTCCACCTTCGGGGTCCGAAAGTGGCCTTTGTGCCTCGCAAGTGCTACATTGGTGGATACCTCTGATGTTTGGTGAGTCTCTATTTCCGCGCCCCCCCCACGCCCCAATTTGATGCATTTGGGTAAAGGGGATTCCCAGGGCTGCAGCGGGGAGGGTGCCTGCTCAGCTGATCCATCCGAGATTCCCCCCCCCAGACCACCCAAGTCAGGGATCAGGTGTATTCCCTCTCTGCAGGGTCAAGTGGCCGCTTTGGAATTATTATTATTATTATTATTATTATTATTATTATTATTATTGAATTCAGATACTGCCCTACATAGGTCTCAGGGCGGTTCACAGAATAAAATCAAAATATAAAACTGCAAAATGCATAATCAAAATAAAAACAGCAATCCAATAACCCGCCCTCCCCAAAAAGCCCACATTTTAAAAGGGCATAGGATGTCAATCATACCGGTGGGAAATGTTTAAAGTACCACGCTGACCTGACCTCAATGGAAGTGCGCATTTGACTGCAATTTGATTAGAATTATAATGCACCTCTCCCCCCCCCAAAGCAAGTGGAGATATCAAGCCTCCTGACTGACCTGCATGTGCCCATTCAGACATGCAGACCCCCAAACATGAGACTGAACGGAAAACATTCCTTAAAACTACAAGCGGTCTTTTAATCAAAGGAATCAGATGCAGCAGAGACCACCGAATGAAAGCAAACCAGCGTGGTCGAATAGATTTGTTTAGTGGGTGTGTAGGGGAAAATTCATCCCCTCTCCACAAAACATAATCCAGATTCCCATTTTAAAAGAGAGACAAAGTTTCCAGTATTTGTAGAACCTGAGACAGGGTGTGTGTGTGTGTGTGTGTGTGTACATTTTGGGGGATAAACTAGCCTCCTCCCACCTTTCAGTGTTTTACCCCTTCGGAAGGAAGGGTGGGATATAGATTGAATACTTAATATTCATAGCAATGCTTTGCTCCTCCCTGGAAAAAATTCTCATGAATGCCCCACATCCTGTTGTATGAAAGGGAAATAATCCCCTTTAATGCACTCTCTGGCCAATTGGTGGTGGGGCACTGCAGAGCCCCATTGCTCACACCTGCCAGGACGGAATCGCAGGGCACTTTCAGTCACACACAATGACTGTGTAGAAGGATTTGCAGAAAACAACCTTTTCGTGATCTCAGATGTTACAAAAAAAGCTGCCTTTAGCTTGCTAGGATGAAAAGAATGCACTAAATCAGGGTGTGGGGGGGGGACAGTCTCTCTTCGGGACCCTGGGTGATTCCTAACTTTTGCCTGATGTTCAAAAACAACTCACTTGTTATGACAGTTCTGAATTCACTCTTTGCTTTAATGCAATGAAAGGAAGGGTAGTGAGGAACCAGGCCGACTCCCTTGCCTTTGCAACACCATCGAGAAGCAGAGAGAAGCAGCCAGCCTTGCTTATCTCTAAGGGTGAGGCTGGGGAGCGTTGAGGCTGCAAGGCCCACCTGGAAGGGTGCTGAGGCCCAGGAGTGTCCCGTGGCCTGTAGTTTGAAGAAAGCTGGCGTAAAAGGTGGCCGGCACATTTTGCTTCATAACTTTCAGTCAAGGAGGGTTATTGCATCACTATAATCTGGCCTGGTTGCTAGCGAGAACCCTCCAGGCTGGCTCAGGGAACAATTTTTCCTCTCCTGACAGTGTAGCGTCTAATAACAGAACAACGTCTTGGCTTTATAGGTCTTTGTAGCGCTTCTAACTAGGGCAGACTGAAATTGGCAGAAGACCGAGGACTTCCTTCAGACCGCTTGGAGGCTTCCTTGGAGCATAGATGGAAGAGGAAAACTCGGCAGGCCCCGAAAAAGGAAGAGGCCGTGATGCCATCAAGACCGGGAGCAGTAGGGGATTCTGGGAGAGGACAGTGCAGAAGATCCTGGGTGAGGAGGACGACCGCAGCTCAGATGTGCAGCGCCAGCAGTTCAGGGCGTTCTGCTACCAGGAGGCCAAGGGGCCCCGAGAGGTTTGGAGTCAACTCCACCATCTTTGTCGTCAGTGGCTGAAGCCGGAGCAGCACACCAAGACTCAGATCCTAGACCTGGTCATCCTGGAGCAATTCTTGACTGTCCTTCCACTGGAGATGGAGAGCTGGGTGAGGGAGTGTGGAGCGGAGACCAGTTCCCAGGCAGTGGCCCTGGTCGAAGGTTTCCTCCTGAGTCAAGCAGAGGTCAAGAAGCAGAAGGAGGAGCAGGTGAGAGTTTCATCTAGATAATCTCAAGGGGTGCAGAATGTGAGGGAGGGCGTCCCAAAAATTCTCTTAATTTTTTGGGGGGGAAACATCCAAAGAAGAATATTCAGCAACTCTTTGGTTCCTACCTCTGTCATGGCTTTTCAAATCCTTCTCCCCATTTGATGTCTTCCATCCTTGTTACTGTTTCAGATACAGGATCTGTTTGCAAAAAAGGGCACTGACCTCCTAGAGGTGGAGAGGAATCCATTGGACACCAGACAGGGGCCACTGGGTGAGGATTGGTCTTAATTTGTATCTCAATCTGGTCTGTTGATGTTGAAATAAATCCATGCGCCCCTTTAATCATTTGTAGTAGCAGATTGTTGTCTTCCAGCCTTTTCCACCACTGAGAAATGTGTTGATTTACAACATTTCATCATTTATGCAGGGGGACCAGCATTTCAACCTTTTTTTCCAAGCATCCAAAGCGGGAGAGATGTGTTCCACATTATAACATAAAATGAGTAGAAACACTCAATAGGTATCTTCTAAGATCCATGTGGCGGGTGGTGCTGTGGTCTAAACCCTTGAGCCTGGGGCTTGCCGACCCATTGCTCGGTCCCACCTAGCAGTTCGAAATCACATCAAAGTGCAAGTAGATAAATAGGTACTGCTCTGGCGGGAAGGTAAACGGCATTTCCGTGCGCTGCTCTGGTTCGCCAGAAGCGGCTTAGTCATGCTGGCCACATGACCAGGAAGCTGTCTGCGGACAAACGCCGGCTACCTTGGCCTATAGAGTGAGATGAGCGCGCAACCCCAGAGTCGTCTGTGACTGGACCTAATGGTCAGGGGTACCTTTACCTTTAAGATCCATGTGTAATTAGGCATGCATTGCTGAATCTCGGAGACAAGCGTCCTGGCTTCTATCCCCCTTTATATCTTGCAGGTGAAGGAATGATTTCAGCAAGATCACCTCAGACATCTCCTCATTGCAGTGGAAGGGTAGCAGTTTCAGTGGAACAAGATCAGGTAAGGAAAGGGAGACTGGGGGCAGTCTGGGTGCTCCTGCCCCCTCCTTCAGACTTTAGCAATCTCTCTCTCTTCCACTTTGCTTTCAAAGCTACTCAGTGAATGTTTTAATCCTGAGAATAAAGAGCCATGTCGCCTAGCAGTTAGCTATCAATTTTAGGTTCTTCCTTATTTTACATTCTTTTGCGCCAGAGTCAATTACCGTATTTTGCGCCCCATAAGACGCTCCGGCCCATAAGACGCACCTAGTTTTTTGGGGGGAAATAAAGAAAAAAAAATTTATTTCCCCCCCAGGTGCGGGGCTGGAAGAACCAGGTCGGGGAACAGTGGGAAGGCACGCTCTGCCTCCCCGCTGTCCCCCGAGCTTGTGGGGCTGGCGATGGGAAGAAGTGCACCAGTCCGGGGACGGCAGGCAGCTCTGTGCCGCCATCCCGAGCGGGGCGGGACTTGGCGCCCCGCTCCGGATGGCGGCGCAGACCTGCCTGCAGTCCCGGGACGGCAGGCAGCTCTGCGCCGCCATCCAGAGCGGGGCGGGACTTAGCGCCCCGCTCCGGATGGCAGCGCAGAGCTGCGCTGGTCCCAGGACCGCAGGCAGCTCTGCATGGCCACCGGGAGCGGGGCGGAGCTTAGCGCCCCGCTCCGGATGGCAGCGCAGAGCTGCGCTGGTCCCAGGACCGCAGGCAGCTCTGCGCGGCCACCGGGAGCGGGGCGGAGCTTCGCCCCCGGCTCCCGGTGGCCGGGCAGAGCTGCGCTGGTCCCAGGACCGCAGGCAGCTCTGCGCGGCCACCGGGAGCGGGGCGGAGCTTCTCCCCCGGCTCCCGGTGGCTGCGCAGAGCTGCGCTGGTCCCGGGATTGCAGGCAGCTCTGCGCAACCCTTGGAGCCGGTCTCCCGAGGGTTGCACAGAGCTTCCTGAAGCCTGGAGAGCGAGAGGGGTCGGTGCGCACCGACCCCCCTCGCTCTCCAGGCTTCAGCGAAAGCCTGCATTCGCCCCATAAGACGCAGGCACATTTCCCCTTCATTTTTGGAGGGGAAAAAGTGCGTCTTATGGGGCGAAAAATACGGTATCTAATGTCTGCCAGTTGCATCCTCTGAAGCTGGGAAACCTGGTCTCAGCTCCCTCGACGGTCCCATGCTTATTTTAGAGGCCACAGAGGGTCTATTTCCCACAATTCAGGTAGGTAGCCGTGTTGGTCTGATGCAGTCGAAATACATATAAAAAAATAAAAATTGTCCAGGAGCACCTTAGAGGCCAGCTACGTTTGTTCTCTGTATAAGCTTTCGTGAGCATGCACGGGGTCTTGTCATGTGTGCAGCCTAGGAGCTCCAGACACACTTCTGAGGCTTGCACCCCAGGGAGGTCACTTTGGTGCTGCTAATTCTGTGGTTTGACTTCACCCCCGGAGGAACACTCCATTGTCTCTCGAGACAGACAGGTGCCAGCAAGACTTATTAGCAGTGTAAAAACCACTTACACAGATACTAAAATATAGGTAAAGGGTAAAGGGACCCCTGACCATTAGGTCCAGTCGTGGCTGACTCTGGGGTTGCAGCGCTCATCTCGCTTTACTGGCTGAGGGAGCCGGTGTACAGCTTCCGGGTCATGTGACCAGCATGACAAAGCTGCTTCTGGTGAACCAGAGCAGCGCATGGAAACGCCGTTTACCTTCCCGCCGGAGCGGTACCTATTTATCTACTTGCACTTTGACGTGCTTTGGAACTGCTAGGTTGGCAGGAGCAGGGACCGAGCAACGGGAGCTCACCCCGTCGCGGGGATTCGAACCGCCGACCTTCTGATCGGCAAGTCCTAGGCTCTGTGGTTTAACCCACAGCACCAACCACATCCCAACTAAAATATAAATGCCCACTTTTAAAATGGGAAATAAAAGAACCCAATTAAGACAGCACAGCACTTCATAGATAGAATATATTGGACAGCAAATAGTAGTAGAAAGTTTTTATTCTTTCTATCAGGAGGACATAATTTCTTTTAATTTCAGGGTACAGTTTTCTTTGAGGATGTGGCTGTATACTTCACGGATGAGGAGTGGGCCCTGCTGAGTCCTGACCAGAGAACGCTGCATAACAGTGTCATGGAGGAGAACTGTGTGATTGTGGCGTCTCTTGGTATGGCTCCCCGTTGGATGATAATATCTGCTGTGAAATTCAGTATGTCTGTTTTATGATGAATGATCTGATGCAGCTCAGTGGCACCACGTACAGCATTTGGACAAGTATCTACTGTGTTGTCTCAGGACTCATACACCAGTTATGCCCTTCTAAAGAATTATCAGACTGGTCTGAACTTCCCAGGCCTTTGAAATGTGAGTTTCAGGGTTGTTGAGGGTAGAAGTAGCCCCTCGTTAATTTTCTGGTTGGCCAAAGGAAACCACTGACTTCAGAGATGGATTTCATGATTGGCCCAAACAGCAATCCATCTCAGAAAAGAGGTGGGCTTTTACTCATCTCAGATTCCCATAGCTATAGGCCGCTTTTGCCTTCGTAGAAATATCTCTTCAAGAGTCCTCCCTACCCAGAGTCCTACCCACCCCTAATAATAATAATAATAATTTTTATTTATACCCCGCCCTCCCTGGCCAGAGCCAGGCTCAGGGTGGCTAACACCAATAAAATTTCAGTAAAAACATAATAGGAAAAAAGAAAAAGAAAAAGAACAATTTAAAATACAGGTTAAAATGCAATTTAAAATGCAGCCTCATTTTAAAAGTCAAAACTGTAAGGGGAGGGAAACATAAGGGTCAGACTGAGTCCAAATCAAAGGCCAGGCGGAACAGCTCTGTCTTGCAGGCCCTGCGGAAAGATGTCAAGTCCTGCAGGGCCCTAGTCTCTTGTGACAGAGCTTTCCACCAAGTTGGAGCCAGTACTGAAAAGGCCCTGGCCCTAGTTGAGACCAGTCTAACCACTTTGTAACTTGGGACCTCCAAAATGTTGTCATTTGTGGACCTTAAGGTCCTCCGCGGGGCATACCAGGAGGTCCCGTAGGTATAATTTGTATAATTTGCTATTTGGCTTAACTGCCTTTCATGGGCAATTGCAGATGAACTTCAAAGTGATAAATCTCAGGCTCATCAGCTGATCAGCTCCAGGAGCCTTATCAGGTGACCTAGGCAGTTCCTGATGAAGGATTCCCTAACGCTGCTGATCCCAGTGGGGCATCCTGACAGAGACGGTCAGCTGATGGTTACTGAGAGGGAGCCCCACCAGCAAGGAGCAATCAGGAGTGTATTTTAAGCTCCTCGTTCTTCATTTACAGCAACGTTTTACCTTCCCACACCAGAAGTTGCAGGTCCAGCGGAAAACAACCTCACAGACCCTCATCAGACGCACGTGCCAGAGGTTCACCGCCTTTGCTTTAGCTAGAGAAGTCAGGGATTGCCCATGGAACTTCTAAGCCTAACCTTTACATTCTATCATATTTTCATCTTTTCTATTACTCCTCACAGTTCTGAAGAGAATGGACATGGTTGTATCATTTACCTGCACATCAACCTTGTGAAGTAGGCTAGACTGAAAGGGAGAGTGATTGGTCAAAGATGACCCAATGACTTTCGACACTAAGCCGAACCCAGTTTTACACATGCCAGATTCAACAGTCTTTAGCAAGCCAGCTCTCAGTTAATGCTGGCGACCAAAGGGAGTTAATTCTGTAGTAAGATCTGCCTCTCATCAAAGTCCCTTCATCTCTTCCTTCATCACAACCATTATTGGGCATTGTTCAGTAATTTGGGGTTCCGTTTCCTCCTAAGGATCTCTCATTAGTTTTTGTTGTCTTTGCAGAAGGTGACAAATTGGAAACCAAGAATCAGGGAGACCATGACAAACTCCACACAGTAGAGAAGCCATATGAATATCTGGAGTGTGGAGAGAGCATCTATCAGAGTTCCCATCAAGGAACTGACAACAAGGAGAAACTTTATCAGTGCTTGGAATGTGGGAAGAACTTCAGCTGGAAGAAAAATCTCACTTCCCATCAAAGAATTCATACCGAAGAGAAGCGATATCAGTGCTTGGATTGTGGAAAGAGCTTTAACAGAAGCACAGATTTCTGTCGTCATCAAAGAATTCATACAGGGGAGAGACCGTACGAATGCTTAGAATGTGGAAAGAGCTTCAGTCAGAGTTCCAACCTCCATGCCCATCAAAGAATTCACAGTGGGAACAAACCCTACCAGTGTCTGGAATGTGGGATTGGCTTCACCACCAAGAGAAGTCTCACTTCCCATCAAAGGATTCATACCGGGGAGAGACCATATCAGTGTCTGGAATGTGGGAAGAGCTATAGCTGGAAGGACAGTCTCACTTCCCATCAAAGGATTCATACAGGGGAAAAACCCTATCAGTGCTTGGAGTGTGGGAAGAGCTTCCACAGAAGCACACATTTCCGCCGCCATCAAAGAATTCACAGCGGGGAGAAACCCTACCAATGCTTGGAATGTGGGAAGACCTTCAGCTGGAAGGAAAGTCTCACTTCCCACCAGAGAATCCATACAGGGGAGAAACAATATCAGTGCTTGTAAATGTGGAAAGAGTTTTATTAAATGTACCATTTTCCATCTTCATCAAGGTATTCACAGCGGGAAGAATCCATATCAGTGCCAGGAGTGTGGCTCATCCTACTCTTTTTTTTGTAATAGGGCAACAAAAAGAAAATAATAGCACCTTCAAGACTTCGCACATGTATTCTGGCAGACGATTGTGAGGTTTTGAGAAGGGGTGGGAAGGGATGTTAAATGATGATGATGATAATGATAAAAATAATAATTTATTTGTACCCTGCCCATCTGGTTGGGTTTCCCCAGCCACTCTGGGCGGCTTCCAAAAAGATTAAAAATACATTAAAATGTCACACATCAAAAACTTCCCTAAACAGGGCTTTTGCTTGAAATTTCACTTGGTGGGGCATTGCCTCAATAGACTCTTGTGCAGCCTACAGTGCTTGGAGTTTGGAAAGAGCTTCAAAGAAACATAAATATCCATTGCCATCAATGAATTTAAAAGGGGAAAACTGTATTAACACTTGGGAGAGTGATGCTCACTTATCAGAGAAATCACATGGGGTGAATCCATAAAAATGCTTCCATCCAAATTTTTCCCTTCTTCCCATTAGGGAATTCATATAGAGAGACATCATTCAAACTGGTCATATCCAGTGTTAATCTTGCTTAGAGTAGACCAAGGTGGTCCAGCTTTTTTTCGTGGCCCCCACAACATTCAAGCGGGAGGGAATCTTAAAGCCTTTTTAAAAAAAATTCTGTGTGTTAACAAAAGCACCTACATCTGTGTATTAAATTTGTTTTAATAATTAAATATATTAAATATATGTGTGTTTACTTAGGTACTGTATATTTCCTTAATTTCCTTAATTGTGTATATTAAATAATATTAACTATATTGTGAACACTTCAATTTACAATATGGAAATTTAATTCATTCTGTGGCTCATGTGTTCTGCGATATTCTTGCAGCCCCTTGGTATGAAAAGTTGGACCACCCTGAAATTAACGGACCCAAGTTGTTGTGTTCATTAAGTTCAGTGGGTGTACTTTGGGCAGGATTAACATTAGATACAACCCACTGCTATGAATGGGGAAAGGAAATGCTTCAGGTAGGAAGTGAGCAACTAGAAACTGTCCATACTGTATCTTTATGTAATTATTTATCTAAAAAATTGCAATAGGGACACTCTTGTTTTCCCTGATTAGTTTTTATCCATTGATGAGACTGTGCAGCAGGTGAATAAAGCCCTATTAGATAGATAGATAGATATATTTATATATATGCTCTGTGTCAATCGGTACTTCCTTATACCTGCCCTGAATCTCTCACCAGTCAGTTTCATGGGATAGCCTGAGCTTCTAGGACTATGAATGGGAGGAGAAAACTGCTTTCCACAAGTTCTCACCACACCATTCAGGACTTTTTGCACATGTATGGTCAACCCTCTTTCTTTGACTTCTATGCTAAAAGGCTGTCTTGGCTGACAAGGCTAATTCATATCAAAGCTGCCACTCAGCTCTAGAAACGCTCATTGATTAAATTTTCAGACCAGAAGATCTTTTTCTTTTTTTACAATATGGTTTTATTTGTTTTTTCATCATTACAGTTTTCAACATTACAATCAAAAATTGAGACATTTACTTCCCTTCCACCTTTCTATGGCTTGATCCTTTACTGTCTTTTACCACTGCATATTCTAATCAATCCATATCTTCTCTTTTCACATTTTATTTCCACATATTTTATACTGCTGAATTTATTCTACACCTGCTGATGTTTTGACCGGTTTACAATAATTCTTAGGTCATTTATTAGCCTATTGAGCTCACCTACATTTCCAACTAAATCTTAACTATTTCCCCCCCTTTATGTAGGACACAGCGGTGACCATCTGGAACTGGGGTTCACCAGCTGTGTTTTGGTGGGAGATGCATGGGGGACATAGGAGCCAACTCCCATAGGCCAGGTTCCTTCAGGCCCCCCAATAAGATATTGGAGGGGGCTGCCCCCATGTAGACATGCCATGGTATGTCCATGCCACATCATGTGATCGATTATGCAGGGTGGGGCTTACGAGCCCCCCCCCCAATATTTTGTTCAAGTTGGCACCCCCTCTTCCACCTCCCCAAAAGCTCTGCCCCCATTTTTCTCCCAATTTAACTGGCTGATCTCCCCGCATCTCCACCACCACCTTTCCTAGGCTCCTTCCCCCTGCAGCCCCTCTGATTCCCCCCTTCACCCACAGCGCAAAGGGGAGCCCACCCCAGACTGGGAGGTAAACTCCAGATGCAGCCCTTACAGCAAAAGAAGGAATCCAGCCACTTCCCACGCCCCATGCAGCCTTTGCAGCAAAGGTGGAGGTGAAGGCGGAGGCAGGAAGCAGCTGGCAAGCTGCTCTGGAGCATGGGTGGGCAAACTAAGGCCCAGGGGCCATATCTGGCCCAATCGCCTTCTAAATCCGGCCCAGCGTGTTTTTACATGAGTAGAATGTGTCATTTTATTTAAAATGCATCTCTGGGTTATTTGTGGAGCATAGGAATTCCTTCTTCTTCCTCTTCCTCTTCTTCTTCTCCTTCTCCAAAATATAGTCCGGCCCCCCACAAGGTCTGAGGGACAGTGGACTGGCCCCCTGCCGAAAAAGTTTGCTGACCCCTGCCTGGGGGACCCAGTCCCCATCACCCACTATTATTTTCCCCTCTAGGAAACCACCCCTCAACTTCAGGTTCACATTCGACTATTGTCATGAATGGGGCAGAAACATGTGCAATGGGTTCTGCCTCTGATTTCTTTCCAAAGTCTTTGCATTGCTTTCCGCTTCCCCCCACGCACCCACTGCAACCCCCCCTATGTTGGCTTGGGAACCCGAAGTGCCACTGAGTCTTCATCTGGCCAGTTGAGCCCCATCTGTGAGCGTTTCATCTTTGGCTCCTGCTTTGAGAGAGAGAGATAGTACTGCAAGGCCTCCTCAGGGTTAAAAGCAACTGAGCTAGTTCCTAGAAAGGAGAGGGGGAGGGATTTAGGGAGGAGAGGGGCAGCCGGGATCCTCCAGACCCAATGCAGCTCCGCCTTGGTGGCTTCCTGCTTGCAGAGTGGGGGCGAAAGTGGGAGAGTCAATTCCAGGAGCTGCATCGTTGGCCCCTTCTGTAGCCTGGTGAGTGTCTCCCCAATTTGTGCAACACTGAGCTGAGCTCTAGGGAAATTCATCCTCAGCTGCACGTTGAGTATGATGTAAGAATTTTATTGGACACCCAGCTGTCATTTTGCCTTCTCTAGGGCATATAAATAAATGCCTGATGACACCCCCAAGACACCCCAACTCCTTCCCCGCACTCCCTAGGATGGAAACCCTTCCCCGAGCTGTCAAGTTTCTGAGCTGCAATAGAACGTTGAGAAAATGCCTTTATCTGAATGTTTCAAGACTGAATAAATGGCATCCATTTTTTCTGTAACAAATGCATTTAGCGTGCCACCTGGAAATTATAACAACTTTTCTTTGTATGTAAACTGTGTCCCCTAGGTGCGGAAGTAATTTACTGCATATCTTGATTTGTCTCTACATGCTTATCCCCCAATCTGTAAATTACAGCGTTACCTTGGGTTAAGTACTTAATCTGTTCCCAAGGTCCGTTCTTAACCTGAAACTGTTCTTAACCTGAAGCACCACTTTAGCTAATGGGGCCTCCCGCTGCTGCTGCACCACCGGAGCACATTTTCTGTTCTCATCCTGAAGCAAAGTTCTTAACCCGAGGTAATATTTCTGGGTTAGCGGAGTCTGTAACCTGAAGCGTATGTAACCTGAAGCATATGTAACCCGAGGTACCACTGTAATGGCATTGTCAATGCCAGTGCCGCTGGTAAATCCTTTTTCTATGCACCTGGGAAGAGGGCAAATACTGGGAAATTAACTCAATCACAAATGCTGAATACATATTAACTTGTCAATGAAATACCAATTTTCTGTAACCCACCCTAAACCATCTTCCCCAACAGAGCTCCAAGCAACCCCCAACTCACATTTCTGAAGTGTACTGTCCTGTTTTTCTATGTACAACTGAGAGAGGGAGTTTGTGCATGAAGGAAGAGCTGTGAGCAACAGAGCTGTTGGATGGATGCTGCACCTTATTTATGTATTTATTTGTTACATTTACATACCACCTTTTCCTCCAAGGAACTCAAGGTAGCAGATAATGCTTCTTCCTCTCCTCATCTTATCCTCACAACCACCCTGTGAGGTAGGTTGGGCTGAAAGGCAGTGACTGGCCAAAGGTCACCCAGTGGGCTTCTTGGTTGGGTAGTTACTAGAACTCTAATCTCTTCCAGGTCTTAGCCCTACACCAAACCAGCTCCCTTCTGACCTTCAACCAGGTTGAAGGCTTTAATCCATGAAGGAACCTCCCCAGAAGATCATCTTAAGAGTCCTCTTGTCATTCACCTGCCCTTCCTTCCGATGGGTGGCTGGACTCATCTACATTTCCTCAGGGAAAATCTTCATGTCCTGACAGCGTAATAATTCACTCACCCTACAATGTCTTGAATTTTTAGGACTTGGCAGTGACTCCAGTAACAGCAGTCTTCGGCAGAAGCAACAGAAGCTTCTTGGACCCTGTTGGAGGGAACAGAGATCAAAGATGGAAGAGAAAGACTCAGCTGGGCCTGAAGCAGTAGGAGGTCTGTTTATCATCCAGGCCAGGAGCCCTGGGGAATCGTGGGAAAGAACAGGATGGAAGATTCCAGGTGAGGACACCCTCAGCGCAAATGTGCAATGCCAGAAGTTCAGGCATTTCCACTACCAGGAGGCTGAGGGGCCCCGAGAGGTTTGCAGCCAACTTCACCATCTTTGCCGTCAGTGGCTGAAGCCGGAGAGACGCACCAAGACTGAGATGCTGGACCTGGTGATCCTGGAGCAGTTTCTGGCTGTTCTCCCCCCAGAGATGGAGAGATGGGTGAAGGAGTGTGGAGCAGAGACCAGTTCCCAGGCGGTGGCCCTGGCCGAAGGTTTCCTCCTGAGTCAGGCAGAGGAGAGGAAGCAGGCAGAGCAGCAGGTGAGGTTGTCATCTGGACCAGGGGTCTCCCAAACTGTGGTCTGTGAACTGCTAGTGGTCCATGAGTTTTATTCAGTTGATCAACGTTAAATATTTATATTTACTTTTAATTGCGTCTTGGTTGCTTATTTTATTTCTTGTATTTTAATGCATAACAAATTGAATTCTGTGGAACACAAAAAATGAAAGCATCCAAGGAAAGACTTCTAATAACCCTTCAGGTTTCTGCCTCTGCCGTTCCTTTTCCAATCCTTCTCCACAGCTGATGTCTCCAGTTCTTAATGTTGTTTCAGGTTACAGGTCTATTTGCCAAAGCTGGCCTGGATTTCCTAGAGGCAGAGAGGGCTCCATCAGACACTGGACAGGAGCCACTGGGTAAGAACCTCCTTGTTAGAACAGTTACATTAGCCTGCAGTCTGATTCCAGGTGCAATTCAAAGTGCTGGTTATGAGCTATAAAACCCTATACCGCTTAGGTCCAAGCTATCTGAAAGACCATATTTCCTTTGGGAATTGACTGTTTTTTAAGGCAAGGGCTTTTACTAGTGGAAAAGGGCTTTTACTAGTGCTGTTTTTAATATCTGTATCTTAATAGATTTGTTTTTATAATGTTTTAATTCTTCTAGAGTTTAACCATCATTTTAATTATTCTCTTTTTATGTTTTAGCTTTTTGTACTTCATCTGTGTGGTTATAATTAATGTAAGCTGCCTCAAGTCCTGGTCTGGGGATAAGACAGGATATAAATAAATATAATAATAATGATGACTGATGGGATGTATCTCAACTGGGTTTATCTTGGTCAAGTGATAAATAAATCCATAGGCTCCTTTAATCTTTTGGGAGAAGAAACTGGCAACCCAGAGCCCCAAAGGGAAGAGATGGCCTTTCACAGACATATAAAACAGAATATAAGGCTCTGAAATATGCTTAACAGATTAAAAAAAATCTAACACCCATGTGTATTTAGGGATGCATCGATTAACCTATGAGAGGAGCAAGTGTTCCTGGCTTATCGCCAGCTTTTTTTCTCTCAGGTGATGAAATGATGCTGGCAAGACCTCATCAGCCATCTCTGCTTCGTGGTGAAGGGGAAGCAGTTGCCATTGAACTGGATCAGGTAGGGAGGACAGATCACAGGAGGCAGGCTACTCGGTCCCCACCTCCCTAGGCCTGAACTGAAATCCCTGCTTCTTGGTTCTTCTGTCGGAACTGCCTGGAAGGAAGTCAAATATTTAAATCATTCCATGGAATTCAAATTGTCACATGATAAAATGCAATATAGCAAATAAAAGTACAATTAAAAATCATACAACATCCACAGGGCAAAGTGTTTGGGAACCAAGGTAATAGATAACACAAACTATTATCTATAGAGGAGATTTCATTTCTGCAGAATAGCCCCTCTTCCTTGAAGAGTCTCATGGATTTTGGGAATCAATATATCTTAATGTAATCTTTCAACTATTTCCCTTTTTCTCAGAGTCCCGTGTCCTTTGAGGAGGTGGCTGTGTACTTCACCAAGGAGGAGTGGGCACTTCTGGATCCTGATCAGAGAGATCTGCATAAAGAAGTCATGGAGGAGAATTGTGGGATGGCAACCTTTCTTGGTAAGGGTCGAAGTTTCACTTGTCCAGGAGCAGAGAATCTTCAGCATTACAGACATTACAGGACTGCAACGCCCATAATTTCTGTACTAGTTTACAACTGTTTAGAAAGTCTAGCAATCTATCAACTTTTAGCATTATATGTCTTTGCACATTTCTTAAAGTGGATAAATTTTATTGATTAAAACATTAGCAACTAAAACCTTAGCATTTTTACCTCAGGTTCTTACCTGTTTTCTATCTTTGTTGCAGCATGTGAAAAAAGCTTTTGTCAAAGTTTTAGCCTCACTACCCCTCAAAGGATCCACATTGGGGAGAAGCCATATAAATGTTTTGGAGGTGCAAAGCGCTTAAATGAGAAGACAAGCCTCATGACACATCCAAGAATTCACACAGGAGAGGAACCACACCAGTGCTTGGAGTGTGGAAAGAGCTTCAGTGATATGAAAGCTTTCACTACTCATCAAAGAACCCACACTGTGGAAAAGCCATATAAGTGCTTGGAGTGTGGAAAGAGCTTCCGACAGAACATAACTCTCAGCTATCATCAAAAAACTCACACAGGGGAAAAACCCTATGAATGTTTGGACTGCGGAAAGAGCTTCATTCGAAAGATAAATCTCACTTATCATCAAAGACTTCACACAGGGGAGAAACCGTATCAGTGTTTGGAATGTGGAAGGAGCTTCATTCGAAAGATAAACCTCACTTCCCATCAGACAATCCACACAGGAGAGAAACCATTTCAGTGCTTGGAGTGCGGGAAGAGCTTTAGACAGAATATAACTCTCAGTAATCATCAAAGACTACACACAGGAGAGAAACCCTATCAGTGCTTGGAGTGTGGAAAGAGCTTCATTCGGAAGACTGATCTTAGTTATCATCAAAGAATCCACACAGGGGAGAAACCTTATCAGTGCCTGGTGTGTGGAGTGAGCTTTACACGGAAAAGGCACCTCACGTCTCACCAAACGATTCACACAGGGGAGAAACCATATAAATGCTTGGAGTGTGGAAAGTGCTTTCGCCTGAACAGAGACCTCATTCCTCATCAAAGAATTCACACTGGGAGAAACCGTATCACTGTTTGAAGTGTGGAAAGAGTTTCAATACAAATGCAAACCTCTGTTGTCATGAGAGAGTTCACACAGGAGTAAAACCATATAAATGTACGGAGTGCGGGAAGAGCTTCAGTGCGAAGAAAACACTAATTTCCCATCAAAAAATGCATACAGGGGAAAGTGATATGAATGTTTGCAGTGTGGAAAGAGTTTCCACGTAAATAAAGTTCTCATTTCTTTGAATTAACATGGGATAAACTATTCCGGTGCTTGGAGTGGAAATACATGAAATGATGCACATAAGGGTACAACCGTTTACAGTAAATATTTCTTGGGGACGTAGAGTACCCTCCTTTTCTTCCTTAAGCTACACCCCTCCCTCTTGGCCCCACTCATTTAAACTGAAGCAGCCCTGGGAGATCAGAGTTCAAATCCCCATGAAGCCATGAAGTTCACTGGGTAACCTCGGGCCAATGGCTCTCAGCCTAGTTCTACCTCACAGGGTTATATTGAAATACTTTATTGTCACTTGTACAACTTGTATACAGTGAGATTACACGAGCACCCCCCACTCAGCTTAGTCTTAATTCCCCTCGTTTACTGACGCACACCCACCAAACCCAAAAGTCAGTTGCCCTGTTGTTCTATTTTCATTAAGCAGCCTAACAGCCCACGGATAGAAGCTGTTCTTTACCCTGTTGGTGCAACTAATCATGCTTCTATATCTTCTGCCTGAGGGCAGGAGATCAAGAAAGTGCCGGCCAAGGTGTGAATCATCCCTGAGAATTTTCCTCACTCTCCTGAGGCAACGTTCTTCCGCTATTTCATCCAGTGGATTCACGGGACAGCCCATATCTTGTGCTGTATTCACCACCCTCTGTAGGCACTTCCTATCAGTTGATCTCAAACCAGCGTACCACACCGTGATGCAGTATGAAAGTATACTTTCTGTCATCAGATGTTGACTGACATCGTTCTTCCGCAATACTCTGCAGAGATGGAGTCTGTTGGGCTTTCTTAACCACCTGGGTTGTATTTATTTTCCAAGTAAGATCTTCACTGAGATAAACTCCTAGGAATTTAAAGGAAGAGACTTTCTCCACACAGCCCTCCCCAATGTACGGCGGGGCTAGTTCTCTCTTCCTCTGAAAGTCCAACACCATCTCCTTTGTCTTGCTGATATTAAGGTGCAAGTTGTTCCCTAGGCACCATGTATATATATATATTTACCTCCCCTCTATACGCTGATTTGTCTCCACCTGTTATTAAACCCATTATGGTGGTGTCATCTGCAAACTTAATAATTGCAGTAGACAGATTCAGATGATACACAATTGTATGCATACAATGAATACAGGTAGGGACTTAGCACACATCCCTGTGGTGTGCCAGTGCTGATTTTTAAGGAATTCGATGTTACATGTCCAATCCTCACTGTTTGTGTCTGATCTATCAGAAAGTCCTTAATCCAGTCACAGATTGTAGGAGAAAGGTTCATGTCAGTCAGCTTTTTTTCAGGATTGTTGTGAATATATAAAATTGGGAACAGGAGAACTATGAAGCCACTTCAAGTTCATTTGAGGAAAGGTGGGCTATAAATGTAATAATAAATGAATAACAAAAAGTCCATTTCCAGCTTACCTGTCCTTCATTTTAAATTGGTGGTGGTGGTATGCTTTTTTTGTGTGTGTTTATATAGGAGGCTGTGTTTGGAATCAGGAAATTAAATGTGCAAAGAGGAAATGGAAAGGGCGAATGTTCTCTGGTTTCCAAGTGCAGAAAATGTGCAAAGGCAAGGAGAGGGTGCAGGAGAGGAGAATATGATGTTTTGCACACACACACACACACACACACACACACACACTATTTAATTTACCCAAGCTGGTATTGTAATCTGGGCATCTCCCTGCCCCAGGAGTCTCCTAACCACTTCAAGTTACAAGACAGGAGATTCCGACTAAACATCAGGAATAACTTTCCTTCCTTGGAGGTTTTTAAGCAGAGGTTGGATGGCCATCTGTCCTGGATGCTTTAGCTGAGATTCCAGCATTGCAGGGGGTTAGACTAGATGACCCTGGGGGTCCCTTCCAACTCTTAAGATTCTATGAAGCTCCCCGAACAAGGATGAGGAAGAGGAAAATGGGAGTTCAGGTGCACTGACTCCAATCCAGGTGTGGCTTTCAAGGCAGGGCAGGGGGATGTTCACAGGATCAAATGTGGGGTAAATCGTGTTTTTTTTAAAAAAACATCATTTAAATGAACGATTAAATAATTTGTTCTTGGCTGTTAAGACCCTAGTAAATGTCAGATGTCAAAGAGATAAAGAATTACCTGACATTCAGAAGACATCTGAAGGCAGCCCTGTTCAGGGAAGTTTTTAATATGTAATGCTGTACTGTTTTTAACACTGATTGGGAGCCGCCCAGAGTGGCTGGGGAAACTCAGCCAGATGGGCGGGGTATAAATAAATTATTATTATTATTATTATTATTATTATTATTATTATTATTATTATTAAAGTAAGATACTGCTATAAGTTATTTCTTCTTCCCTTTTTGCTAAGCAACTTTTATTTTCTGTTCAAATGAAATTATTTTGCAAAACAATCTGGTCTTATGTGGTCGATTATGCAGGGTGGGGCTTACCTGCCCCCCCCCATTATTAAAGTTGGTACCCCTGGCTGGATCTGGGAGAGCAGGGTTCGTATCCCCATGAAGTTACCTTGGGCAGCCAACGTCTCTCAGCCCAGCATACCTCACAGGGTTGTTGTGAGGGCGAACTGGGGACGTGGAGAACCACGCGCGCCACCTTGAACTCCTCGGAAGAAAAGGTGGTATATAAACGTAATGGCGGGGCGGGGGGAAGGGAGACACCCGCAAGGGGCCTCGAAGCAGCCGGAGACGAAGGACGAAGGAGGCAAAGGCAGAGGCTGAGGCAGAAGCGCCGGCATGGAGGATGCCAGCGAAGGAAAAGGCGGCCGGGCGGCGTTGCTACGGGCTCGTGAGGCGTTGCTAGGAGGCGCCCAACGGCCGGGCAGCGTTGCTAAGGGCACGTGAGACGTTGCTAGGGACGGCCTAGCGGCGTTGCTAAGGGTACGCGAGGCGTTGCTAGGGGCGCCCAACGGCCGCGCGGCGTTGCTAAGGGCAAGTGAGGCGTTGCTAGGGGCATCCAAAGGCCAACCGCCGCTTGGACACTCTATGGCCTCCGCTATTTCTCGACTCGCGCCTGCTGCTGATCACTTCCGGGTCTCCTCGCAGGGTTTTCTCCGGGCAGGGAGGGGGAACCGCCTGCAGAATTCAACGGGCGGCCGCTTCACGGGGGGCACCGGGTGGCGGAGACGGGTTTTCGCCTCATTAAATGCCCCCAAGGACTTGCGTTGCCAGGGGGTAGGGGCCAGGTGATTCATTGCCTGTGATTCTGAATTGTAGGGTTTGGAAGGGACCCCCAGGGTCATCTAGTCCAGTGTTTCCCAACCTTTTTTGGGCAAAGGCACACTTGTTTCATGAAAAAAATCTCGAGGCACACCACCATGCCAGATGGGGAAAGGTCACTTTTTACTTATGTAAAAAAAAATAAAAAAATAGTAACAGCATAGAAGGTAATGGTTAGGCTAGCATCCCTCTTCCAAATATGCTAGGTTTTTATTTGCAGGGACTGTTCTACATGGGAAAGCATTCAGCACTGTCATTCTCCCATCTGCCATCTGAATTGGTACTATTCTGGGTCAACTTACTCTGCTGCATGTGTAGATGAAAATGGCACCAAGTGTGGGGGAGGGGGCAGAACAGGTTTCAGATACAGGATATTAAGCATACACGTACTTCAGATTGAACTGGTTGCTTGCTTTGCAAGTTTTCATTTCCCAAATGACTGCCTTGGCAAGCGCAATACCTACCAGGCTCAACGCCGGTCTCGCGCTGCCGCTTCCCGCGCTCTCAAGGACCCGGGAGGAGGAAGGCGTGAAGGGAATCCCGGAGGCGCGAAAACCTCGCGCATGCACAGGCCTTCCGCCTGCGACAGCCCAGTAGGCCGGCTGAAGCGAGCGGCGATGGGATGTGGGAGGGAGCTCGCTCGCCGCCCCGCGTGTGCCTATGTGGGGCACGTTACAGCCCGTGACGTCAGCGCCACGCAGGCAGCCAGGCAGGCAGACGGCGAGAGCCCCGCGCTGGGCGGCCTCTCCTCGCCGCCGCCGCCCCGCCTCTCACCGCCCGACTCGCCCGCCTCCCTCCAGGCAACATCTCGCGGCACACCAGGCAACGTCTCGCGGCACACTAGTGTGCCGCGGAACACCGGTTGGGAAACACTGATCTAGTCCACACACGCACCCCCCCTCGAAATGCAGGCATCGCAGCTAAAGGATCTCTTGACAGATGGCCACCCAATGTCCTTCCTCGCAAGGGAGTCCGTCTCGCATGCTGCCCGCCCAAGGTACTGCCATGTCTGGCACATCTCTCCTCCTGGCGCCGGTCGGCACATCGCTGGGTGCGGATCTGGCCGGGCAGGAGGTGATGGGGTGCCCCTGCTTCGTGGAAGAGGGATGCCAAGAAGTAGACAGGATACCAGACCATTCCTCCCATTGTTTTGATTAAAATGGGAGGCAGCTGTTGAGGAAGGGCCTGGTTTTCTTCCTACTTTTGATTTTCTTGCCACCTCCCCCCCCCCAGAAAAACCCCTTCATCGGAGTGTGCGGGGTTGGCATTCTAAGGGTTAAATTCGAAAGGGGGGGAGCCAAAGCCCCCACCCCAACCCTTTCATGTCCCTTGGAGTAAAACTGGTCACTGACCTCTCTGCCAGCACAAAAGTGCTACCTCCGTGGGATCTGGTGAGCGCCCCTCCCCAAATTTGGGGGAAGGGGGGGAGGATGTGTCAGGAAAAAGCAGCAATGCAAAAGCCAGCTGCAGGTGGCTGGAATGCAAAACAGGATGTTGCTGTCTGGAGCTGTACTGCTGGGAAAAAGGGGCAGTCTATTCTCTGTACTGAGCACCGGATGTTAGCTCAGAGTGTCATCTGACCTGTACTGGAAGTACAGGGGTGGAGCGGTGACTCTACTGCCGGAGTCTGGAGGGTACAGACACGTTTCTCTGTACTGCTGAATGACAGGAATAAAAGACATGTAAACAGGACTCCTGTCTGTCTCTTTTCCCCTCCCTGGGGGAATGCAGGGAGGGAGAGGAGGAAGGTGTGTTCTCTTCACGTTTGAGGAGAATCGCCGAGTTGTGACCTTGCCTGTATCCTGCCAGAGACGCAGACGGGAAGGTCAACAAGGATCTCAGCTGATTGCCTGGAGTGTGAGGCCAGTTACCTCTGACTGCGGCTGAGAAATTCTGACAGGGTGCACAAGGGACGAAAGTGAGGAGGGGGAGTCAAAAATGCCTTGGGGGCTGATTTCCAAAATCCAATGCCAGGCAGGAAAAGGAGAGGGTCGTCAGCTGTTGGGAAGGGGGACCTATTGGGACCCTAGCCCCATTTTATATACATAGGGAGGGGGCCCTGTGCAGCAGATCCACTTAGGACCCCCATATATAAACCAGGGGATTTGATATGTCGGGGTTGGGGAAGAGGAGGGTGTGCAAAGCAGGTCTGCAATGCTTAGTTGAATGGATCATCCCATTGGATTTAGGGGAACCCCACCACCAGATCCCACAATGGGCCCCCCCCTACCCCAACTGCCACCACTGGGGCCTCTGAATGACCATGGGACTCCATGGGACTCTGGAAGAAGCAGTAACAGCTTTTTCTAGAGATCCATTCTATTGTAACTTCTTTAAAAGAAAAGGGATGCGTGTTGTAATAATCCTAATTAAACTGATTTCTGACGTCCACCTGAATTCGCACAGGGGAGACGGTTTTGTGTATGCTGCTAGGACCCACCGTAATTTTTATGATAGGAAGCTGTTTTTGATGTTGTGTGTTAATTCTGTAACCCACCCAGGGACCTTAGGCTGATGGGCAGGTAATACAGTATATATACAGTAAGCCCACCACTTATTTGGGGGTTGTGTTCTAGGAATCAAGCCTAAAGCCAAAATTGAAAAGGAAAAAAAATCCATTGGTTCAGTGGTGGGTGGGATTGCCCAAGTCATTTTCCGCACCTATTATTTATTTATTTATTCAGCCACGCTTGAAGCTGAATATGCACAAGTTGGATGCACATAAGCTGCAGGCTTACTGTATGTGTGTTTGACCAAAAAGGGTCAAGAAGTAGAAAATATGTATTACAGTACTGTGTACTAATTTTTAGGGGTTTTGTTATTGATCACAAACAACCAGCGGTTCCCTAAACCTGTAGGTGGGTGGGTGGGATTACCAAGACATCAGCCGGAGCTGATGAAATTCTCCCCCTGCCCATCTTCTCCTCACAAGCACAATGAATTTGAGTGGAGAAGAAGAAGAGTTTTGGATTTGATATCCCGCTTTATCACTACCCGAAGGAGTCTCAAAGCGGCTAACATTCTCCTTTCCCTTCCTCCCCCACAACAAACACTCTGTGAGGTGAGTGGGGCTGAGAGACTTCAGAGAAGTGTGACTGGCCCAAGGTCACCCAGCAGCTGCATGTGGAGGAGCGGAGATGCGAACCCGGTTCACCAGATTACAAGTCTACTGCTCTTAACCACTACACCACACCGGCAATGTGGCAATGAGTGGGGCAAGGTCATCCAGTGAGCATCTTGACTGGGTGGAGATTTGAACTCTGGTCTCCTGTGTCCTAATCTGACACTCCAACAACACTGGCTGACTCTCGTATTGTTATAATAATAATAATTTATTATACTGTGCCCATCTGGCTGGGTTTCACCGGCCACTCTGGGCGGCTCCCAGCAGAATATTAAAAACACAATCAAACATCAAACTTAAAGACTTCCCTAAACAGGGCTGCCTTCCGATGTCTTCTAAAAGTCAGATAGTTTTTTATTTCTTTGACATCTGATGGGAGCACATCCCCTACATCTGCATGTTATGAGCTAAGACTGACAGATGCTCTGGGTTACCATATCAATAAATCATCATCATCATATAGCCTCCAAAGCAAGTGGGGCGAGGGCTGCTGTTATCTCCTATCCCAAGTGTGCATTGGAGTCCTCTGGGCTTCCACTTTTGATTGGGAACATAAAGTGTCTGTGAGTCTAAGACACACACACACACACACACACGAAAAAAGAGAGAGATCAGAAGCCCTCCTTCTTGAGGGGAGGGGGGAAGGAAAGAAAAAGCTTGAAAACCAGCCCCTTCCCGACCAACCAACCTCCTAATTCCTCCCTATTAGCCTCCTCTTTTTGAGTGACTTGTGGGGGCGTTGACCCTGCAGCCCGCGCTTCGAAGGGTTAAAGCGAACGCGACCCGCTTCCTAGAGAGGAAAGGAATGTGGGCGGGGGGGCGAGTCCTCCAGAGCTAAGTCTCCCCCCCCTCCAAGCTCTTTCTTCCCTTGATGCGATTCCTTCGGAGCAGAAGCGAGCGGCTGGTTCTTTCGCGCGATCGCTGCCTCGGCGGCCCCTTCTGAGGTCCGGTGAGCCCCCCACCGGCTTTGTGCATTTGGGGGGAAGGGGATCCCCAGGGGAGGAGGGTGCACAGGAGGGGCTGCAAGGTGGGACCGGGAAGAGGGGGCTTAGAAGACCCCCTGGGAAGCGGTGGGGAGGGGGCCAAGAGCTCAGCCCTGCCCGCCCAGCCCAGCCTCCTGCCCATCTGTCGTGGGTGTTCGAGCTGAGATTCCTACGTTGCATTTCAGGGGGTTGGGCTAGATGACCCCAGGGTCCCTTCCGACTCTACATGATTCTGCAATGGATAGATTGGGCGGGTTAATGGGGCTTTATCCCCATTTCGTTCAGCGCATAGGGAGACACAGGGCTGCAGACATGGGGTTCACACGTACTGGGCAGGGTGGTGGTGATGGGCTTTTAGCTTTCTTTAAATATTTTTTATTAAAAACAACAACAACGCAGTATGCCAATCTGACATTTGCAAAGGCAGAGGCAGAGGCAGCTGTCTAAGGCTTTTGCGGGAAGCAAGGTTGCTAAGCGTGCCTCGTTCTCTGTTGCTAAGCAGACGGGTATGTGGACTGAGTCTGGAGAGAGGGGGCTTCTTTGCAGAGAAAAAGCAGAAAAAGCTCCTTGTTGAGGGCTAGCTTGGTGCTGGACAGGGGAGGATGGAGCCCACACAATTTTGTTCTTATATGCCTTTATAGTATAAAATGCAACAGTCTGAAATAAATGGGGAATTGTTGATGTTTCAATGCCCTGGTTCTCTTTTTCCCCATTGCTGGTGTGCTTTTAATTAGTAATTTACTTATTAATATACAGCAACCCTGAAACAAATTTATGAAACCCATACTGCGGCTAAAGGTAAAGTAAAGGTACCCCTGCCCGTACGGGCCAGTCTTGACAGACTCTAGGGTTGTGCGCCCATCTCACTCAAGAGGCCGGGGGCCAGCGCTGTCCGGAGACACTTTCCGGGTCACGTGGCCAGCGTGACAAGCTGCATCTGGCGAGCCAGCGCAGCACATGGAAACGCCGTTTACCGTATTTTTCGGACTATTGGACGCACCGGTCCATAGGACGCACCTAGATTTGGGGGGGGGGGAAATAAAGGCAAAAAAATTTTATTCCCCCCCCCCCGCCAGGCGCGGGGCTGGGGCGGGGAAGCCCGAGCTTCCCCCTCCCCCAGAACGGGACCCAGAGCCATGCCGAAGCTGCGCGCAGCTTTGGCATCGCTCTGGGAGCTTGCGGGGCTGGGGGAGGAGGAAGCCTTCCGCCAGCCTCCAAACCATGTCGGGAGACAGCGGGATGGCGCGCTGCACCTCTCCCGCTGTCCCCCGAGTTTGCGGGGCTGGGCCAGCCTTCTAACCAAGTCGGGGGACAGCGGGAAGGGCGCGCTGCGCCCCTGCCGCTGTCTCCCGAGTTTGCGGGGCTGGCGACGGGGAGGAGCAGGCTTCTCCCCCCGCCAGCCTTCTAGACAAGTCGGGGGACAGCGGCAAAGGCGCGCTGCGCCTCTCCCGCTGTCTCCCGAGTTTGCGGGGCTGGCGACGGGGAGGAGCAGGCTTCTCCCCCCGCCTGCCTTCCAGCCAAGTCGGGGGACAGCGGGAAGGGCGCGCTGCGCCTCTCCCGCTGTCCCCCGAGCTTGTGGGGCTGGCGGTGGGGCTCTCCTGAAGCCTGGAGGTTGTGGGGCTGGTGGGGGGGAGAAGCAGGCTTGCTTCTCTCCCCCCCCCAGCCTCCAGATCAGGTCGGGGAATAGCGGGATGGCGGAGCGCCGCCATCCCGCTATTTCCCGACCTGATCTGGAGGTTGTGGGGCTGGGGGGGGAGAAGCTAGCAGGCTTGCTTCTCCAGCCCCCAGCCTCCAGTTCAGGTCGGGGAATAGCGGGATGGCGGAGCGCCGCCATCCCGCTATTCCACGACCTGATCTGGAGGTTGTGGGGCTGGGGGGGGGAGAAGCAGGCTTGCTTCTCCCACCCCCAGCCTCCAGATCAGGTCGGGGAATAGCGGGATGGCGGAGCGCCGCCATCCCGCTATTTCCCGACCTGATCTGGAGGTTGTGGGGCTGGGGGGGGGAGAAGCAGGCTTGCTTCTCCCACCCCCAGCCTCCAGATCAGGTCGGGGAATAGCGGGATGGCGGAGCGCCGCCATCCCGCTATTTCCCGACCTGATCTGGAGTTTGTGGGGCTGGGGGGGGGAGAAGCTAGCAGGCTTGCTTCTCCAGCCCCCAGCCTCCAGTTCAGGTCGGGGAATAGCGGGATGGCGGCGCTTCGCCATCCCCCTATCCCCCGAGCTTGTGGGGCTGGGGGGGGGAGAAGCAGGCTTGCTTCTCCCCCCGCCAGCCTCCAGATCAGGTCGGGGAATAGCGGGGTGGCGGCTCTGCGCCTCCCCGCTGTCCCCAGCTTTTGGGTGCAGGCTGCTGCCCGCAAGCCTTGCGAGCCCGCGGGACATCCCGCCGGGCTTGCAAGACTTGGGATAGCTTCCTGAAGCCTGGAGAGCGAGAGGGGTCGGTGCGCACGGACCCCTCTCGCTCTCCAGGCTTCAGCAAAAGCCTGCATTCGCACCATAGGACGCACACACATTTCCCCTTCATTTTTGGAGTGGGAAAAGTGCGTCCTATAGTGCGAAAAATACGGTACCTTCCCGCCAGTAAGCGGTCCCTATTTATCTACTTGCACCCGGGGGTGCTTTCGAACTGCTAGGTTGGCAGGCGCTGGGACCGAACGACGGGAGTGCACCGCGCCGTGGGGATTCGAACCGCCGACCTTTCGATCGGCAAGCCCTAGCGCTGAGGCTCTTACCCACAGCGCCACCCGCATCCCTATACTGCGGCTACAGCCAGTTAAATTTCTTATAGGCTCTGATATCTGTAATTAATATAGTAAGCCTTATTTATCCTAAATGTTTTCCCACTCAATAAAAAAAAACACAATCTGGTAAACAGGGAGAAGGTTTGGAGGTTTGGGAATCAAAATCAATCATAGCTTAGCATAGACCCCACTTAATGCTTTTTTCTGTCTGCTGCAACAACTGCAGTGAGCAGCTCTGGTGCTGAATGATTTTAATTTGTATTTCAATTGCTTCTTTCGTTCCTTTTTTGGTGCATTGTATTACTGTACTGAAAGGCAATAAATTTCTGTAGAATTCAAATTGCAATGAAAGAAAATGCAAGGTCCCCAAGCATCTTAAAGCAGTCTGGTTCCTCAGGGGAAATCTTTCTGTCCTGACGGTGTGATAATAAAATCATCTGGGAATGGCTTGATTTTTCAGGACTTGGTAGCACCTTCAGCTAGGGCAGAAGTGGGAAGAGTCTCTTGCGGTCAGTTGGAGAGTCTTCCTTGGAACACAGATGAAACAAGATGGAAGAGGAAGACTCTGTTGTTCTTGAAGACGGATAGAGGCCCATATACAATCCAGGTTGGGAGCAGTGGGGACTTCTGGGAAAGAACAATGCAGAATATTCCGGATGAGGAGGACACCCTCAGCTCATATTTACAGCTCCACTTTGGGCATTTCAACCACACAGAAGCCAAAGGACCCCGAGAGATTTGCAGCCGACTCCACCATCTTTGCTGCAAATGGCTGAAGCCTGAGCAACACACAAAGAATGAGCTGTTGGATCTGGTGGTCCTGGAACAATTCCTGGCTGTCCTCCCCCCGGAGATGGAGAGCTGGGTGAGGGAATACGGAGCGGAGACCAGTTCCCAGGCGGTGGCCCTGGCCGAAGGTTTCCTCCTGAGTCAAGCAGAGGAAAAGAAGCAGGAAGAGCCGCAGGTGAGAGAGAGTTTCATCCTAATACTTTCAGCGGGGTCAAAATTGGAAGGGGGGAAATCTTAAAACAGCCTGTAATTAAACCTTTTTTTAAAAAATAGAAATAATTCACAGCACCATGCCCCAGGTTCCCCAAGGCATTTTGCCTCTGTTGTGGCTTTTCTAATCCTTCTCCCCATTGACTGACTTCAATCTCCTCGTCGTTTCAGGTAAAAGGTCTGTTTGCCGAACCAACCACTGACCTCCCTGCAGCAGAGAGAGCTTCGTCAGACGCCAAGCAGTGTTTCCTGCGAAGGAGGAATGTTCAGCGGAGCTGGGGAGCTGCAGCCTCACTCAGTAAGAATTAACTGCATCTCCCACGGGACGCTTTTATGTTCTCGTGAATCTTTCAGAGGGAGGCCCCCTTTCCGTAGCCTAAAGGTAAAGGGACCCCTGACCATTAGGTCCAGTCGTGGCCGACTTTGGGGTTGCGGCGCTCATCTCGCTTTATTGGCCAAGGGATCCGGTGTACAGCTTCCGGGTCATGTGGCCAGCATGACTAAGCCGCTTCTGGCGAACCAGAGCAGCGCACGTAAACGCCGTTTACCTTCCCGCTGGAGCGGTACCTATTTATCTACTTGCACTTTGACGTGCTTTTGAACTGCTAGGTTGGCAGGAGCAGGGACCGAGCAACGGGAGCTCACCCCGTCGTGGGGATTCGAACCGCCAACCTTCTGATCAGCAAGCCCTAGGCTCTGTGGTTTAACCCAGCCTTATCCACAGTTAAAAAATGAATCTATTTTCAATACCTGAGCACTGACACGAGTGCTTGGGTTTCTGGCTGAGAACCCAAATAGGGAGAATTGCAGTTTCCCACAAATGAAGCGCACAATGTTTAGAAGCATCCCAAATACAGTGGTACCTTGGTTCTCGAACTTAATCTGTGCCGGGAGTCCGTTTGATTCCTGAAACCGTTCAAAAACCAAGGCGTGACTTCTGATTGGCTGCAGGACCTGCACTCAAGCAGAAGCTGTGTTGGACGTTTGGCTTCCGAAAAACGTTTGCAAACATTTCCTTCTGGGTTTGTGGTGTTCAGGAGCTGATTTGTTCAGCAGCTAAGCCGTTCGGAAACCAAGGTACGACTTAGCGTGATGGAGAGGATGACATTTTTGTAATGTCAATATGTATGTAAAACATGCGCCGCTTAACCTCTATCTGGTTAGGAGCATTCAGAATATCTAGGATAGATGCGCCATTTTCTAATGCCAACTTATACTTGGAGATGTGTCCTTCTGTAGGACAAGCAGTTGATATTGGCTTCCCATCATTTTGTCTCTCACAGGTGATGAAATGAAACTGGCAAGAGCTTCTTGGCTGTCTCCTCTTTGTGGTGAAGGGGAAGCAGGAGCTGTGGAACCAGATCAGGTAAGGGGCAAGAAGGTTCATTGAGGAAAAGAGAGGCTGGGTGTCATCCCATTATTATTATTATTATTATTATTATTATTATTATTATTATTATTATTCCGCCATGTACCCGAGGGTCCCAGGGTAGTTCACAAAATAAAATCAAGATATAAAATCACAAAATACCTACTAAAAATAAAAGCAACCCAATAGTCCCTCCCCAAAAAAACACATTTTAAAAGGGCATAGGATGTAAATCGGATCAACCAAAGGCCTAGTTAAAAAGGAACATTTTTGCCTGGCACCTAAAGGTGTATAATGAAGGCGCCAGGCGAGCCTCCCTGGGGAGAGCATTCCACAGACGGGGAGCCACTGCAGAGAAGGCCTTGTTCTCGTGTTGCCACCTTCCGGATCGCTCAAGGAGGGGGCACACGAAGGCTTTTTCGACTGCTCACCTTCTTGGACCTGAACAAATTAATCTCATTTTCTTTGCATCTGTCAAAGCTGCCTACTGGAGGGGCTGTGGAGGCCACTTAAGAGTGCAACTCAAAATTTTCCTTGTGTAGTCTTTTGGATTCTAGTAAAACAAAATCATTATGGGCTGCATAAAAGAGCAACTACTTCCCCACCTTTCAGGGTCGAGCATCTTTTGAGGATGTTGCTGTATATTTCGCCAAAAAGGGCCCCCATGAAGTTTGCAGCCGACTCCACCATCTCTGCCGTCAGTGGCTGAAGCCAGAGGGTCACACCAAGACTCAGATCCTGGACCTGGTGATCCTGAAGCAGCTCTTGGCTGTCCTCCCTCCGGAGATGGAGAGCTGGGTGAGGGAATGTGGAGCAGAGACCACTTCCCAAGCGGTGGCCCTGGCCAAAGGTTTCCTCCTGAGCCGGGCAGAGGACAGGAAGCAGCAGGTGAGAGAGAGTTTCATCCTGGCATTTCCAATGGGCTCTTAATCTGAGGGGTGGGGGTTTCACTCTATATTAGACACACCTTTCCTGAATACTGTATCACCCACAAAGGAATGTCCCAAATTTGCCAAGGCTTTCCCCCTCTATCATGCCTTTCCTAATTCATCTGCACATTTACTGTCTTTGACATCCTCACTGGTTAACCAATATGGAATATTGTGTTTATAATAATTTAATTTCTTGTATTATTTCTTTTTCCCCAGGTTTTTGTATTAAGTATTTTTCTTTCCTTATGAACTCACTTACTATTTCAATTTTTTTACTTTCTTTCAACTTTTTCAAATACACATTCTGCTGTATTAGGTAGCTGCTTACTTGAGATTGAACTCGAAATATTAATTATTTTTGGCGTTCCATCGGATGTTTAAGTCTCCATAGATCTAGTAGATCCATGTTTTTGATATAAAAACGGAATTGGGTAATTTCCCTTCCTTTGTTTCAGTTTTACGTATTTTCCTGTCAAACTCTTAACAATGTTACCCCATTTAGATCTCCCACTAATATTATTTTGCCATCATTTTGTTCAAACATATATTTCTCTAATGTTTTTTTAAAAATCCTATTTTCTTTCATTGGGTGCATATATTCCTACGATTAAGAAATGTTCCCCTTCCCAATTAATTTCCACTGCTATTATTCTCCCCCGCCCTCATCCTTTAATCTTTGCTTAGGTTCCAATTTCTAGTTAATATACAAAACTACACCCCTTTCCCCCCTAATATCTGATGAAATGAATTCTTGGCCCCAACCCTTTGTTTACTATTAAACGTTTGTCTTGTCTCTAAAGGGGAGATCATTCCATCAGGCAAGCGGAAATGTTTGTGCTGATGGAACAAACACTTTAGTGTTACTTTTAATTTCGCCCTCTTTTATTTCAGATAAGGAGTTTGTCTTCAGAAGCGACCACTGACACAAGAGAAAGTCCCCTGCAAAGTGGTAACGATCAGGAGAGTGATGGACATCCCATCTCATTGGGTAAATATTATTAAATTGATCTCCCTGTATTGATTATGTAAGAAATTCATGGGATCCTTTTGTACTCCCTTAAATCTTTGAGGGGGCAACACTTTCCCCCAGCGTTGTTTAATCATGGGAAGACTGTTGTCTCCAGCATTTTTCAAACTTCAAAAGATAGATGTATTTTAATTACTTGAGAACTTAATTCAGTCCTTGGATTTCTGGCCAAGCACTCAAGTTGGGAACACAAGTGTTTGCACACGACTGAAATATACAATGTGTGCAGAGATGGCATGGAGAAAACGGATAGAGACAGGTTTTTCTCTCATAACATTAGAACCTACAGACATCCAATAAAACAGAATGTTGGAACATTCAGGAACGGCTATTTAAAAGTACTTCGACACCCAGCATATAGTTAAAAGATGTCCATAGGAGGCAGTGAGGGCCACTAATAATAATAATTTGTTATTTACACCCCGCCTATCTGGGCGGCTCCCAACAGAATATTTAAAAAACGATCAAACATTTTAAACTTCCCTAAGCATGGCTGCTTTCTTCTAAAAGTCAGATAGTTGTTTATTTCCTTGACATCTGGTGGGAAGGCGTTCCACAGGGCGGGCACCACTACCGAGAAGGCCCTCTGCCTGGTTCCCTGTAACTTCACTTCTCGCAGGGAGGGAACCGCCAGAAGGCCCTCAGCACTGGACTTCAGTGTCCGGGCAGAACAATGGGGGTGCTCCTTCAGGTATACTGGGCCGAGGCCGTTTAGGGCTTTAAAGGTCAGCATCAACACTTTGAATTGTGCTCAGAAACATACTGGGAGGTCTTTCAGGACCGATGTTATATGGTCTCGGCAGCCGCTCCCAGTCACCAGTCTAGCTGCCACATTCTGGATTAATTGTAGTTTCCGGGTCACCTTCGAAGAAGATAATACAAATTCATGGATGACAAGGCTCTCATGGCTGCTAGCCATGTTGGCTATGCTCTGTCTTCATGTCAGAGGCCGTATCCTTCTCAACACTTGTTGCTGGAAGCCAAAGGAGGGAAGAGCTGCTTTTGTGCTCAGATACTGCTTGGGGGTTTCCCAAGGCATCTGGTTGGCCACTGGAAGAGCAGGATGCTAGAGTAGATGGGTCATTGGCCTGATCCAGCAGGCTCTTCTTATGTTCTTAACAAGAGCCCTTTCTTACACTCTTAACATCCAAAATATACACGGTGGATGAAACGTTTTGTCATTCCAACATGTACTTGGATATGCATTGCTTAATGTGGGAGGCAAACTACTGGCTTCCTACCAACTTCATCTCTTGCAGGTGATGAAATGGCGCTGGCAAGACCTGCTTGGCCATCTCCACTTGGCAACGGATGGGAAACGGCTGTTGTGAACCCAGATCAGGTAGGGGAACTCATCTCTAGGGGAACAGAAGCTACGTGCCACTTGGGCACCTCTGTCTTCTGCTCATTTCCCTGGACCTCAACAAACCGATCACCTCGTTGCTCTGCAGGAGAATCCTCAGGAGTCTTCTGGAGTTTGGTGGTCCAATAATCTTTTACGTTCTCTATAAAGAGGCAACCGTTTCCTTTTCTTTCAGAGAGGAGAGCCAGTGTGGTGTAGTGGCTAAGAGCGGTGGACTCGTAATCTGGTGAACCCAGTTCGTGTCTCCGCTCCTCCACATGCAGCTGCTGGGTGACCTTGTTTAGTCACACTTCTCTGAAGTCTCTCAGCCCCACTCACCTCACAGAGTGTTTGTTGTGGGGGAGGAAGGGAAAGGAGAATGTTAGTCGGTTTGAGGACTCCTTAAGGGGAGTGAAAGGCAGGATATCAAATCCGAAACTCCTCCTCCTCTCCCCTTCTCCTCCTCCTCTTCTTCTTCTTCTTCTTCTTCTTCTTCTTCTTCAGGGCCCGTGTCCTTTGAGGAGGTGGCTGTGTATTTCACAGAGGAGGAATGGGCTCTGCTGGATCCGGACCAGAGGGCGTTGCATAATGAAGTCATGGAGGAGAACTGTGGGATGGTAGTCTCTCTCAGTAAGGCTCCCAGTTTGTTTAGTTAATATTATATGATTTAGACTATATTATATAAGCAACTTAAATAACTTCAGTCAGGGTTAGGCCCAGCTATGGCCCAACTGTGGTGCAACGTCTGAGAAGTAACCTTCTCCAGTCAGGAAGTAATCTAGCCTCACGCTGGCCACGTGACCCGGAAGTGTCTCCGGACAGCGCTGGCCCCCGGCCTCTTGAGTGAGATGGGCGCACAACCCTAGAGTCTGTCAAGACTGGCCCGTATGGGCAGGGGTACCTTTACCTTTACCTTTTATGGCCCAGCTTTAGTTGCCCTGTGTGATGATTTATGTCTGGAGAGAGACAGGGGGAATGTTTCCTCCTCCTCTCAGCAGCCTCTGATACGATCAAACATCCTTCTAGAGTGGTTGTCAGAGTGGGTTGCTCAGCTTTGCAGTGATTCCAGGTCTACTTGGATAGTCATTTCTAGAGGGTGATGCTAGGGGACTGCTCTTTGGTCCCCTGGAGTCTTCCATGTGGGGTTCTATTTTATCCCCCATGCTGCTTAACATCCACATGAAACCTCTGAGTGTGCTTATCAGGGGTTTCGGAATACATTGTCCACAATGTGCTCATGATACACAGTCCTACTTCCCCTTTACACCTGCAGATGAGGCAGTGGATGTCTTGTGCTGGGCCATTGTCTTGCCCAGAACCAATAAGATGGAGCTCAGTCCAGATAAGACTGAGGCACTGTTACTGGGAGAGGTTCCCTAGACTGGATGGGTGGGAGGCAGCCTGCTCTTGATGGGGTTACGCACCCTCTGAAGGCAGGGTGGAATGCAGGTTGTGGGTACTTCTGAATGCATTGCTCTGAATCACAGGGCCTCTCCTCGTTTTTGTCACACTTCTATCCCAACATTGCTCCAAGGGGTTCAGAAAAGAATGCATGGGGTTGTTTGGTGGTTTGAGTTGAGCTACTTAAAGAGGATGATTGCTGAGTACAGTGGATGCTCAGGTTGCCAACGTGATCCGTGTGGGAGGCACATTCGCAACCTGCAGCATTCGCAACCCGCGTGTTGTGATTCGGCGCTTCTGCGCATGTGCAAAGCGTGATTTAGCGCTTCTGCACATGCGCAAGTGCCAAACCCGGAAGTAACCCATTTCTGGTATTTCTGGGTTCGGCGCGGTGCGCAACCCGAAATCGCACAACCCGAAGCGTCTGTAACCTGAGGTATGACTGTACAATTCAGTGAACTTCGTGTCTCAGCTGGGATCTGAATTTGGGTCTTTTGGATCTAATCCAATAATGCATCGGACACTGGGTGTCAGTCAAGGTATTAACAGAGGCAGATAAACAGATGGGAAGATTTACCTCCCAGCTAAGACTTTTCCATTTTTGCATTCTTCCATTATTAAAAGAATTGTGTGTGGTTGTCAAGATTTGAGGTTCCGTTGTCTTAAGAGTTCTGTTTCTTCTTTGCAGTAGGCTATGAATGGAAAACTGAGAATCAGGGAGAACTACCTGGGGTGTTTGCAGAAAGAGACACATGTATGAAGAGGGAGCAGCAGAGAAGGAAAACAGAAGGAGAAAAGAGGAGGAATCATTCCCCTTGCTTCTCAGGGCACTGACTGCAATGAAATCCCAGTCCAAGAAAAAACGCAAAACAGAAGAGAAACTATTACATGTTTTGTATGTTGGAGAAGTTTCCATTCTAAATCTAAACTTAAAACTCACTACAAACTCCACACAGGGGAGAAACCCCACAAAAGCTTAGAATGCGCGAAGGGCTTGAATACAAGCACAAGCTTGGTATTCATCAAAGGGTCCCCACAGGGGAGAAACCGCATAAATGCTTGGAGTGCGGAAAGAGCTTCTCTCAGAAGAGAAATCTGACAGCACACCACAGAATTCACACTGGAGAAAAACCATTTAATTGCTTGGAATGTGGAAAGGCCTTCCGTCGGAGGACACATCTCACTGCTCATCAGAGAACTCACACAGGAGAGAAGCTGTATAGGTGCTTGGAATGTGGAAAGACCTTTAACAGAAGCGGAAGCCTCACTACTCATCTAATAATTCACGCAGGGGGGGAAACATACAAATGCTTGGAGTGTGGAAAGAGCTTCTCTCAGAAGAGGAATCTCACTAACCACCACAGAATTCACCTAGGGGAGAAACCATACCAATGTTTGGAATGTGAAAAGCGCTTCTTCCGGAAGACACATCTCACTGCACATCAAAGAATTCACACAGGGGAGAAGCCATTTAAATGCTTGCAATGTGGAAAGAGCTTTTGTTGGAAGATCCATCTCACTTATCATCAAAGCATCCACACAAGGAAAACACTGCATAAATGCTTGGAGTGTGGAAAGAACTTTTCTCAGAATTCTCTCCTTGTTACCCATCAAAGGATCCATACAGGGGAGAAACCATTTAAATGCTTGGAGTGTGGAAAGAGCTTCTCTCAGAAGACAAATCTTGCTTCCCACCGCAGAACTCACACAGGGGAGAAACCATATAAATGTTCAGAATGTGGAAAGAGCTTCTGTCGAAGGACACATCTCACCACTCATCAGAGAACTCACACAGGGGAGAAACCATACAAATGTCTGGAATGTGGAAAGACCTTTAGTAGAAACAGAAGCCTAACACATCATCAAATAACTCACACAGGGGAGAAACCATACAAATGTTTGGAATGCGGAAAGAGCTTCTATTGGAAAATGCATCTTACTTATCATGAAAGAATTCACAGAAAGGATGCACCACATAAATGCTTGGAGTGTGGAAAGATCTTTTGTCAAAATTCTGACCTCGTAACCCATCAAAGGATCCATACAGGGGAGAAACCATTTAAATGCTTGGAGTGCGGAAAGAGCTTCTGTCAGAAGATAAATCTCAGTAATCATCGAAGAATTCACACGGGGGAGAAACCCTTTAAGTGCTTAGAATGTGGAAAGACCTTTAGTACAGGCACAAACCTCACCACTCATCAAATAATTCATACATGGGAGAAACCATTTAAATGTTTGGAGTGTGGAATGGCCTTTAAGAGAAACAGAGGCCTCAGTATTCATCAAAGGATCCACACAGGGGAGAAGCCACATAAATGCGTGGAGTGTGGAAAAAGCTTTCGCCACAGTTCTGCCCTTGTTAATCATCAGAGAATCCATACAGGAAAGAAACCATATAAATGCTTGGAGTGTGGAAAGAGTTTCTGTCAGAAGACACAGCTCACTGCTCATCAAAGAATTCACACAGGAGAGAAACCACATAAATGCATGGACTGTGGGAAGAACTTTTGTCGGAAGGAATCACTTGCTGCTCATCAGAGAATTCACACTGGGGAGAAACCATTTAAGTGTTTGGTATGTGGAAAGAGCTTCACACGGAAGATAAGTCTCGTTTCTCATAAAAAAATCCACGCCGGAGAGAAACCATAAATTCTCGGGAGTGTACAAAATGCTTCAGTAATAAGAGACTGCTCTTCAAAGAATTCACTCAGAAGGGGAGCTAGAGAAATGATCAGAGTATGGAATGCGATTCTGTCACAGTTTAATTCCTATTCAGATTGGAGTTAAATTGGTGGGGGATGGGACATGGCCTTGGCAGAATCCTGAGGGCCATTTGGAGATAAATACAGATTGGAAGACTGGATCCATTGTAGAATGTGAGAAGCCTGATAGAATGGCCTGAGATATAAATCCATTTATCAGCAATAGCAATAGTATTATGTTACAAAACTGTAAAAACAAAGTCATTTCTACAAAGCCTCTCTAGGGAGAGCATCCCACAAACGAGGAGCCACTGTTGAAAAGGCCCTGTTCTCATGTTGCCACCCTCCAGACCTCTTGTGGAGGAAGCACACAAAGAAGGGCCTCAGACAATGATCGCAGGGTTCAGGGCTGGTTCAAACAGGGAGAAGTGGTCCTTGGGGTATTACGGTCCTGGCCCATTTAAGGCTTTATAAGTCATAACCAGCACTTTGAATTGGGCCAAGAAACTAACTGGCAGCCAATGCAATCGGGCCAAGATTGACATTATATGCTCAAACCGTCTTGCCCTGGTGAGCAACCTGGCCGCTCAATTCTGCAGCAGTTCAAGTTTCTGAACCATTTTCAGAGGCAGCCCCATCTATAACACACTGCGGTAATCTAACCTAGAGGTTACCAGAGCCTAGACTAAAGGTGTTGGGGTATCCCTGTCCAGATTGGGGCACAGCTGGGCCACCCACTGAAACTGATGGAAGATACTCCACGTCAAATGACAGCCTTTCTACAAAGCAATCTCTGTATAAGCCAAACCAGACCTTGCAATCATCATCTGAGGCTCAATTCAAAGTCGTCATCATCATCATCATCATCATCATCATCATCAAAACCTTTATTGGCACCGCATACAAACATTCAAAATAAATAGGCCAATGCGCCAATTCAAAGTTCTGGTTATGACTTACGGAGCCTTAAATGGCTCAGGGTCGTAATAACTCCAAGGACACTTCTCCGTCTATGAACCAGCCTGAACCCTATGGTCATTGTCTGAGGCCCTTCTTCATATGCCCTCTCCACTAGAGGTCTGGATAGTGGCATCACGAGAGTAGGCAGTTTCTCTGGTGGTTCCTTGTTTGTGGAATGCTCTCCCCGAGGAGGCCCGCCTGGCACCTTCGTTAAATATTCTTAGGCGCCAAGCAAAAACATTCCTGTTCACCCAGTCCTGTGGCTGATTAAACAATCTATGGCCTTTTAAATGTATCAGGGGTGGTGGTTATTGTGTTGTTGTTGTGTATTTAATAAATAAATAAAATAATCAGTTGAAGTATTTTACAAATCAGTTCACAGTTTTGAGGCATTTTGAAATGGTACAGATAAAATACAAAATATACAAATTGTAGACTGGAGGTTATCCAGCCCTTCAGTCAGGGAATAAACAAGAGCATTGGATTTCCAAAGCCACAATGTTGGCATCCGTCTGTCTCAGGAAACAATGGAGGAGTGCACCTTTTGGGATGAGGTCAAGCTGCCGGAAGGCTGCAGTGCCTGCTGTGGCTGTAGAGCTCGATGCAGAAGAGACATGTTTTGTTGCAGCTGGGGCAGATGAAGGTGTCCAGTCCAGTCTGGTGCTTGTGGTACTCTCAGCAGTGCCCACATCAGCAAAGTGAAGTTGCCAGGTATGGGACCAGAGGATCCCTTGGTAATTGCCCCAAACCACCCAATATCTAAGCCAGTATTGCCTGCTTTGACTGGTAGCCTCTCCAAGGCCTCGTGTCCAGCACATCCAACCGCTTTCCCCAACATCGTAACTGGAGAAGTCAGGGAGTCACCTTAGGACCTGGTGACTGAAAATGGCAAGGTCTCTTTATTTTATGATGTCGGTATCCTGCCATTGCTCCGGAAGTGAGTGGCAAGTGGTGGTTCTGTGGTTTCTTCTGCAGAGCACCTTAAGAGGTAGGCTAGCCTGGGAGTGAGTGAGTGATTGCCCAAGTCCACCCAGTGAGCTTCATGCGTGAGCTGGGATCCGAACTCGGGTCTCCAGGGACCCATGCAACAGTCCACGGCAGAGGTGCCCAAACTTTCTACTCCCAGGGTCAACTTGAGATGGCTGAAAATTATTGAGGCCCACCAGTCACAAAATGGCGGCAGATGGAGGCGGATTTTTGGCATAATTTTTGAATCTGTTCCACTTTGGCTTCAGGCCTAGTCATAATACGGAAACTGCTTTGGTTGCCCCTGTTGACATTTATCAGAAGTTGATTCCAGTGTTCTTCTGGAGTGTCTCAGGGAGGTGGGGTTTTAGAATCATAGAATCATAGAATCCTAGAGTTGGAAGAGACCACAAGGGCCATCGAGTCCAACCCCCTGCCAAGCAGGAAACACCATCAGAGCACTCCTGACATATGGTTGTCAAGCCTCTGCTTAAAGACCTCCAAAAAAGGAGACTCCACCACAGTCCTTGGCAGCAAATTCCACTGTCGAACAGCTCTTACTGTCAGGAAGTTCTTCCTAATGTTTAGGTGGAATCTTCTTTCTTGTAGTTTGGATCCATTGCTCCGTGTACGCTTGTCTGGAGCAGCAGAAAACAACCTTTCTCCCTCCTCTATGTGACATCCTTTTATATATTGAACATGGCTATCATATCACCCCTTAACCTCCTCTTCTCCAGGCTAAACATGCCCAGCTCCCTTAGCCGTTCCTCATAAGGCATCGTTCCCAGGCCTTTGACCATTTTGGTTGCCCTCCTCTGGACACGTTCCAGTTTGTCAGTGTCCTTCTTGAATTGTGGTGCCAGAACTGGACACAGTACTCCAGGTGAGGTCTGACCAGAGCAGAATACAGTGGCACTATTACTTCCCTTGATCTAGATGCTATGATCCTATTGATGCAGCCCAGAATTGCATTGGCTTTTTTAGCTGCTGCGTCACACTGTTGGCTCATGTCAAGTTTGTGGTCAACCAAGACTCCTAGATCCTTTTCACATGTACTGCTCTCAAGCCAGGTGTCACCCATCTTGTATTTGTGCCTCTCATTTTTTTTGCCCAAGTGCAATACTTTACATTTCTCCCTGTTAAAATTCATCTTGTTTGCTTTTGCCCAGTTCTCTAATCTGTCAAGGTCGTTTTGAAGTGTGATCAAAACGACCTTGACAGATTAGAGAACTGGGCAAAAGCAAACAAGATGAATTTTAACAGGGAGAAATGTAAAGTATTAGGGCACTGTGATTCTGTTCCTATCTCTGTGGCTATTTCCAGAAAGTTGTCATTGCACCTTTCTGGTCAATGCCATGGGAGTGTCTCACCGGGCTCCATCCTGTCCCCCAACTATAAGAAGATCTATATGCAGGTGACACCAAGCTTTAGCTCTCTGTTGCATCTGAATCAGGAGGGGCAGCTGAAGTGTTAGACCAGTGCTTGGGGGCAGTAATGGGATGGGTGTCCTGCTTGGACTGGTAGCTATAACCCCCCACCATCCCACAAGAGAGAACCTTAGAATTGTAGAGTTGGAAGAGACCCAAACGATCATCTACTCTAAACCCTTCAATGCTTCAATGAATCACAGCCATACAATCCCTGACACCACCTTTAGGGTCTACAATGGTTCCCAGTATGTTTCCGAGCACAATTCAAGTGTTGGTGCTGACCTTGAAAGCTCTAAATGGCCTCAGCCCTGAAACCTGAAAGAGCATCTCCACCCGCATCGTTCTGCGAGGTCCTCCTTCGAGGGTATTCTGGCAGTTTCCTCACTGAGAGAAGTGAGGTTACAGGGAACCAGGCAGAGGGTCTACTTGGTGGTGGCACCCGCCCTGTGGAACTCCCTCCCACCAGATGTCAAGGAGATAAAGAGCTGCACAACTTTTACAAGATAATCTGAAGGCAGCCCTGTGTAGGGAAGCTTCTTAATGTTTTATATGTTTTTATATATTTTGGAAGCTGTCCAGAGTGTCTGGGGAAACCCAGTCTAGATGGGCAGGGTATTATTATTATTATTATTATTATTATTATTATTATTATTATTATTATTTTGATTGATTGATTACCACTGGGTTAAATTGCTAAAGGGCAATATACTGTGTGTGTGTATATATATATATATATATATATATAGTGTGTGTGTGTGTGTGTGTGTGTGTAGACCAAATTACATTCTCTCTCTCACACACACATATACTTGTGACTAATTTGGTTTTTAATTCTGTGTTTTACATTTTCCTGACCTAGTCTGGGACCACGTGGTGAAGAGTGGGTGACAAAAACAACAATAATTAAGGCACCCAACTCGAGGTGAGGTTGGAGTGGGCCTTCTACCTCGTTTATTTACACATTATATGTTTCTAGGCCGCTGTTTCGTAAAATATTTCAAGAGTAAGAGGCTAGGCTAGACTGGTCCACCAGCCGGGCTCTTCGCCTACGTCCCACAGGGATCCTGCAGCGTGGCCTCCTAAGGGTTAAAATGACCTCAGCTGGATTCCTAGAGAGGAAGGTAAAAGGCGAGGCGGTCAGTCCTCCAGAGCAAAGGCCCCTCCCACCCAACTCTCCTTCCTGCCGGGACTTTCCCCCTGGAGGGACGTGCCTTGGCCGCCCTCCTCCCAAGCGCAGCGTCGGTGGCTCCTCGCGGGATCCGGTGAGCCCCCTTCCCCGCCCTAGAGGCTCCAGTTTGTGGGTCTGAGTCTGCAGGGCTGAAAGGCGGGTGGGGGGCGGGGACGACAAGAGGCAAGGCAGGAAAATACGACGGGAAGGGAAGGGAGATGCCCAGGTGACAACTGTTTAAAAAGGGAGGGGGGCACCTATAGGAAGAGCAAAGCTATTTCAGCCCATGGCTGAAGATGCTTGTGCATCTTTCCTGAGTGTTGGGTGTGTGCACCGCAGAAGCTCATTCAAGCTCATCGCAGAAAGCAGCTGGTTAGCAGAAAATAAATAATAATAATACAGTGGTACCTCGGGTTAAGTACTTAATTCGTTCCAGAGGTCCGTTCTTAACCTGAAACTGTTCTTAACCTGAAGCACCACTTTAGCTAATGGGGCCTCCTGCTGCCGCCGCACGATTTCTGTTCTCATCCTGAAGCAAAGTTCTTAACCTGAAGCACTATTTCTGGGTTAGCGGAGTCTGTAACCTGAAGCGTATGTAACCTGAAGTGTATGTAACCCGAGGTACCACTGTAATAATATTTATATGCCACCCATCTGACTGGGTTACCCCAGCCGCTCTAGGCAGCTTCCCACAAATTAAAACACAGCACGAATTGTCTTTACTAGCCCAACACCAATGCTTTATAGGTAAAGGTACCCCTGACCATTGGGTCCAGTCACGGACGACTCTGGGATTGTGGTGCTCATCTTGCTCTATAGGCCGAGGGAGCTGGTGTTTGTCCGCAGACAGCTTCCGGGTCATGTGAACCAGAGCAGCGCACGGAAATGTCGTTTACCTTCCCACCGGAGCAGTACTTATTTATCTACTTGCACTTTGACATGGTTTTTATTTATTTATTTATTTATTTATTTATTCAAAATTATAACAAGACATATTATCCAAAAACATATTATCCTTGTTGTCCCCCCCCCCCCCCATTTTCCCTCCCTCCCCCACAAAACCCACTCACCCCCACCCCGACTTCCCTCAGTTCCAGTCTTTGGTTTCTCTCAGACTGCTGTTTTCTGCATGTTACAAAGTTGTATATAAATACAAACTATTTAGCTGATTATTATCAATAGAAAGTTTGTGAATGTTTATTCAAAACCTGCCGAGGAGTCCGGTTCGCTTTGTTGCGTCTTCAGATACTTTGTAAAGGGTTCCCATTCATCCTTAAAGTCACAGTTATCCTTGTCCCGTAGCTTATATGTCAGTTTTGCCAGTTCTGCATAGTCCATCAATTTTTCTTGCCATGATTCTTTAGTTGGGGTTTCTTCAGTCTTCCATCCTTGTGCTACCAGAACTCTCGTGGCCGTTGTCGCATACATGAAGATGTTTTTCAACTTTTTTGGCAGGTCTTTTTTGGCACTCTTTGACGTGCTTTCAAACTGCTGGGTGGGCAGTCTTTACTAGCCCAACACCAACGCTTTATACACACATTTATTTATTTGCAATATGTTACGAGCAGCTTTCCCTCTCTGAGCCTGGACGGTTTCTTTGCTTATGAAGCCTTTGCTGCGCCAAAGTCCGCAAGGCAAGAGTTCTCTTGCAAGTCTCTTGCAATGGAGTCCTGCGACTCTTCCTCAAAGGCGTCAGTTCCAATGCTTCTCTCCAGAGTGCTCTACGCTCTCTTCCCTTGAATGCTGTAACTTGAGCCCCTTACCTACTCAGCCTGACTGTGCCAGTTCTGCCCAGCAACACTGCCAAGGCAGTCACAAAGTGCCTTGCAGCTGCATCGTGGGGAATTAGCTTTCCTTAATGTGCACATGTTTCCCGTGTGTATGTTTTCTTCAGCTCCTCTTTTTATCTTCACAAGAGCCCCATGGGGTAGGCTACACTAATGTAGCGTATGTACATAACCAACAGTTTCTTGTCTGTGTCAGGGACTGGAGCGTCTTTCCTCTCCTCTGCAAAGCCAGGAGGCCCCTGATTCGTGGGGCTTGGAGGATTTGAAGCAGGTGAGTTGATGCTTAGAAGTGAACTATCAACTGGACTTTGATTTCAAATAGAACACCCCACCACCGAAATAGAGAGAGAGAAAGAGAATTCATTAGTTACACAACCGCACAAGGTCACTTACAGACATGGAAACCCCTGAAGTGTAAAGGGGATCTTTTCACAATGGGCATTACTGAAAAATTGTGCCCTTTTAATCAAAGGCAGGAGAGAGAGGCTGATTCAAAGGAAGCAAACTGCTTTTATGAAGAGAATTGAAAACAGTACATTAAAAGTCAACAAACAGTTGCAGACATTTGGTTACAGGCTGAAAGTGGAGCCTGTAAACTCTAGCAGAGAACAGTCCTAGCCAGTGATACTTGAAAGAAATTTCGGAGCACAACTGGATAGAAATGTGGTGTGTTTTTCTCCAACGATGATACAGACAAAGAAAGGGAAAGAGAGAGAGGTGGACAAAGCCCTGGTCCAGTTAGGGAAATACTGGGACAGGGATATTGCAGTGAATAAGAGGAATAGAATATTCACATTAGAGAAGCAGTGTACTAGATCTCAGATACAGGGAAGCAATATGATTTTGTTTCCAGTAAACAATTGGAATATTTCTAAATGAATGTTAATATTTACAAGTAAATATTAAAGTAATCAACTTAGATTCAAAACAAAAAAATTCCTTCTAGTAGCACCTTAAAGACCAACTAAGTTAGTTCTTGGTATGAGCTTTCGTGTGCAAGCACACTTCTTCAGATACACTGAAACAGAAGTTGCCAGATCCTTCTATATAGTGAGAAGGTGGGGAGGGGTATTACTCAGAAGGGTGGTGGGAATGGGTGATTGGCAGACAGCTGAGATGAGCCTGTTGACGACTCTTAATGACTGCAATAGGTCTTACGGGAAAAAGCAAGGGGTGAGAAGGTGAGAAATGGCTTTGTCATGTATAATGAGATAAGAATCCAATGTCTTTGTTCAGGCCAGGTCTCTCCAGTGCTGAATTACAACTCATTACCAAACTTAAACCCATGGAGAGACCTGGCCTGAACAAAGACATTGGATTCTTATCTCATTATACATTCTTTACAAGAATATCATGGGGCACCTTGTCAAATGCCTTGCTGAAATCAAGGTAGGCTACATCCACTGCGTTCCCTTCATCTACCAGGCTTGTAATTCTGTCAAAAAACGAGATCAGGTTAGTCTGACATGACTTATTTTTCAGAAATCCATGCTGACTGTTGGTGATCACAGCATTCCTTTCTAGGTGCTCACAGACTGTTTGCTTAATGATCTGCTCCAGAATCTTCCCTGGTATTGATGTCAGACTGACTGGGCGGTAATTATTTGGGTCCTCTCTTTTCCCCTTTTTGAAAATAGGGACAACATTTGCCCTCCTCCAGTCTGCCGGGACTTCGCCTGTTCTCCAGGAATTCTCAAAGATGACTGCCAGTGGTTCTGTGATCACATCTTATCTCATTATACATGACAAAGCCATTTCTCACCTTCTCACCCCTTGCTTTTTCCTGTAAGACCTATTGCAGTCGTTAAGAGTCGTCAACAGGCTCATCTCAGCTGTCTGCCAATCACCCATTCCCACCACCCTTCTGAGTAATACCCCTCCCCACCTTCTCACTATATAGAAGGATCTGGCAACTTCTGTTTCAGTGTATCTGAAGAAGTGTGCATGCACACGAAAGCTCATACCAAGAACTAATTTAGTTGGTCTTTAAGGTGCTACTAGAAGGAATTTTTTTGTTTTGACTATGGCAGACCAACACGGCTACCTATCTGTAACTGGAACTAAGATTCATTCAGCAGAATGGCAGCTTTAATTCAAAACATTTGCTAGGTAAGAAATAAAACCAGCAGGGAACAATAAAACAACATTCATCCCAATAATATTAAAGTCCAACAACAAGAGATGACTAAAACCATTAAACCTACAAGCACAACTCAAAGGAAGGTCAGAGTGTTTTCTTTCTATAAGGGTGGTGAAATATATTCTGTAGGTGTTATGCTGAGAGTTGTGAAATGCCACGGGTTTTCTTTTGTAGTATACTGAAGCTTGCGCGGTAATAAACTTGATAACCTTTAGGATACCAAAATCATTATTTTGTGCTACCTTACTTCATGTGTTCCTTCCTGGAGGAAGGAGGGTCCCTCAGCTCCTTAATCCAACCTTGTATCTCCGCTTTTCAGGAGTCTGTAGCCCAGTTGGAGGCATCCTTGGAACAGTAAGAAAGATGGAAGACCAAGACTCAGCCGGCCTGGGTGGGGAGAAGACCCTCAGCTCAGATGTGCGGCGCCAGCAATTCAGAAAGTTCTGCTACCATGAGGCCGAGGGACCCCGAGAGGTTTGCAGCCAACTCCATCACCTTTGCCATGAGTGGCTGAAGCCAGAGCGATGCACAAAGACTCAGATCCTGGACCTGGTGATCTTGGAGCAGTTCCTGACCGTTCTTCCCTCAGAGATGGAGAGCTGGGTGAGGGAATGCGGAGCAGAGACAAGTTCCCAGGCGGTGGCCCTGGCCGAAGGTTTCCTCCTGAGCTGGGCAGAGAACAAGAAGCAGGCAGAGCAGCAGGTGAGAGAGGGTTTCATCCTGGTGCTTCCAAAGGGCCCAGAATGTGAATCAATCACTTCCTGGAAATCATCAGTGGAGGAATGTCCCAAACTCCTCTTGACCTTTTGTCCTTTTCTCTAATTTTCTGCCCATTCACTGTCTTTGATATCTTCATTGTTGTTTCAGGTAAAGGGTCTCTTTGCGGAGGTGGCAGCTAATTTCCCTGAGAGAGAGAGTTCTTCACTGGATTTGAAAGAGTGCTTCCTGCTAAGGAGAAACGTTCTGGAGAGCAGTGGAGGTGCTGCATTACTCAGTAAGAATGAACCTGAACTTCTTGAAATGTATGGGATCTTCTTACATTCTCCGAAACTTTCAGGGGAAGATGCTTCCCCCCATCATTTCCCAAAGATGAAAAACGAGTGGGTTTCAGTATTTGAGGCCTCAAGATGTGAAAACAAATAAATAACAATAATAATAATATTTTAATTGTATCCTTTCCATCTGGCTGGGTTTCCCCAGCCACACTGGGCAGCTTGCAAAATATAAAACACAGCTAAACATCAAACATTAAAAAACAAGATATCCTATGCCAGCAACAAACAAACCAATAAATCAATAAAACGAATAATAATCATAACAACAATAATAATAAACAGTTTACAGTTATATCCAAATTAAAGTAACTGCCAACCTCAACTAAACATTTAACCAACACCAACCCAACAAAAATGAAACAGAGGAACCAAAATTAGAACTGTTTAAAATATACAAAAACATTTTAGCCAGTTGCCCCAACCCAAGAGTTGTTTCAGCAATGTCCCTCCAGCCTCCCAGAAGCCTGTTAGCTGTTCAGGGTGAGTAATAATAATAATAATAAGAAGAATAATAATAATTTTTATTTATACCCAGCCCTCCCCAGCCAAGGCCGGGCTCAGAGCGGCTAACAAGCAATAATAAAAATAAGTTCAATGAATACAACTTAAAAACAAGATTAAAATACAGCATTAAAATATTGAAACATTAAAATATTAAAATGCAGCCTCATCACAGGAGGAGAATGGAAAAAGAAAAAAGAAAAGGGGGAGGGAATCAAATTGGCTCCAAGCCAAAGGCCAGGTGGAAAAACTCTGTCTTACAGGCCCTGTGGAAAGAAATCAGATCCTGCAGGGCCCTGGTCTCATGAGGCAGAGCGTTCCACCAGGGTGAGTGTGGGTCCCGTCCCCTAGGCCAGGTGGAATTGGGCCTTGCATTTTCATATATAATGTTATATAATGTTAAGACAGCCAATGTTAATGTTAATTAGATAATGTCAAGGTAGATAAAAAAATATGTACAATGGATGAGACATTTTGTAAAGTCAGTGTGTCCTACCCTGATACATGTCACTTAGCCCCTGAGACAAGCGCGTGCTACATCCTTCCCACCATCTTTGTCTCTCAGGTGAAGAAATACTGGTGGCAAGACCTGCTCAGCCGTCTCCTGTTCGCAACAGACAGGAAGCAGTTGCTGTGGCACCAGATCAGGTAGGGGGAAGGGTCATTGTGGGGAGCGACGTTAGGGGGCAGCCTAGGCTCCTCTGTCTTCTGCTCACCTCTGTAGGTCAATGTAACCTTCTCTCTTTGAGTTTGTCAAACTGCCTGCTAGGGAGGCTGTGGGTGCCACTGAAGAAGGTTTAAGCTCTACAGGATAATACTCAAGTCATCTTACTTTGAGGCGTATTCTGGATTTTGCTGGTAAATAACATAAAGATAAGGAACGCGGGTGGCGCTGTGGGTTAAACCACAGAGCCTAGGACTTGCCGATCAGAAGGTCGGTGGTTCGAATCCCCGCGATGGGGTGAGCTCCCGTTGCTCGGTCCCTGCTCCTGCCAACCTAGCAGTTCAAAAGCACGTCAAAGTGCAAGTAGATAAATAGGTACCACTCCGGCGGGAAGGTAAACGGCGTTTCCATGTGCTGCTCTGGTTCCCTAGAAGCAGCTTAGTCATGCTGGCCACATGACCCGGAAAAACTGTCTGCGAACAAACATCGGCTCCCTCAGCAAATTAAGGGAGATGAGCGCCGCAACCCCAGAAACGACTGGACCTAATGGTCAGGGGTCCCTTTACCTTTACCTTTAAAATAAAGATTACCTACAACAAGGCAACTATTTCCTTTTCTCTCAGGGTCCCGTGTTGTTTGAGGAGGTTGCTGTGGATTTCACAGAGGAGGAGTGGGCTCTGCTGGATGCTGACCAAAGGGCACTGCATAAAATAGTCATGGAGGAGAATTGTAGGAATGCTTTCTCTCTTGGTAAGGTTCCTTGTTTTCAGAGTTGATGACAATAGCATTTAGAGCCTAAAATAATGGGCCGGTTTGCACATTTCCTCTATTTTAGCACCTCAGTTCCCTTTTTTCCAGTCTAGAAGGTTTTCTCTATTTTTGACTGATTCATTTCCATTTAACAAAAAAACCACAAGGAAGCAAAATGGTAAAACGGCAACAAAATGTATATAACAGTAAGCTGTAAGAAACATCAAGAGTTGCAATGAGTGCAAATAGAGATAGAAGCCATTGCAGAAGGAAGACACCTGCCATAGCCTACCTAACCTACCTAACACCACCTAACCTAGTTTTGTCTGCTGTGGCGCAGAATCTCTCCAATGTGTGAAGCTCAGATCACTCCAAGATCCTTTAACTGTAGAATTCAACGATTGAACTACAGTTGTACCTCGGAAGTCGTACACAATCCATTCCAGAAGTCCATTCGTCTTCTGAAACATTCGGAAAGCAAAGCACGTCTTCTGATTGGTTGCAGGAAGCTCCTACAGCCAATCGGAAGCCCCCTCAGATGTTCAGGTTCCAAAAGAATGTTCGAAAACCAGAACACTTCCTGTTTTTGATCGTTTGGGAGCTTGAACGTTCGACTCCCAGGGTGTTCGGGAGCCAAGGTACGACTGTAATGAGCTTCTGCCAAATGAGAATACACGTGATTATTCCATGGTTTGCCCATTCCATAACCCTGTGAGTTAGCCTAGTCTGAGAGAGAGAGAGTGGCTGCCTGAGATCCCGCAGGGAGTTTCATGTCTGAGCTGACAGTTTTGTTCCGGTCTCCATGGATCCAATAGAACAGAGTATAGAACCCTGGCTGGCAGTTATGGTGTTAAAAGTGGCAGATAAATGGATGATAAGACCTGCTTTGCAGCTAAGATCTTTCCATTTCTCCATTATCACAAGCTTTACGTGTCACTGCCAGTTAGTTTTGGAACTCCATTTGTACCTCAGGTTCTTATTTTTTTTATAAAATATTTTTTATTGAAAGTTTTTCCTTAGAATCTCCAAACATTCAATTTACATATCACTTAGTTCACTTAATGGACCTCCCTCAATTCCCCTAGTAATCTTTCGTAATTATTCCTCTATCTACGCATTTCTTAATTCTTATATCACCTTTAAATAAGTTTTCCTATCATCCTTTTCTTTCTTGCAATATTTCTTATTTTTTTCACAAAGCTTCTTTAAAACACACTAGCGTTGTGTAATCCTCACATACAGTTTTCAAATACTCCCTAAATTTTTCCCAGTCCTCCAGAAACTTATGATCTCTTTGAAATCTGATTTTCCCCGTTAATTTGTCCAGTTCCGCATAATCTGTTAGTTTTGTTCTCCATTCTTCCAAAGTCGGGACCTCTTCTTGTTTCCATCTCTGGGCCAGTAGGGTTCTCGCTGCCGTTATTGCATACTGAAAAAGTTTTCTATCCCTCTTTTTTATTGCATTTCTAGTTACTCCCAGCAAAAAAATCTCTGGTCTCTTTACAAAACTATATCTCAACATTTTCTTCAACTCACCATATATTATTTCCCAAAACCCCTTCACCTTTTTGCACTCCCACCACATGTGCATAAATGTACCCTCCTTCTCTTTACACTTCCGTGTACCTCAGGTTCTTAATAGTTTCCTCTCTTCTTTGTGGCAGGACATGAATGGAAAACCAAAAATGAGGGAGAACCACATGGGGTGTTTGCAGAATGGGACACATGTATACAGAGAGACGGTCAGAGAAGGAAAAAAGGGGAAGAAAAGGGGAGGAATAAGTCCCCTTCTTCTCATGGCCGCGTGAGCCATCAAATCCTGGTCCAAGAAAATACGCAAAAGAGAAAAGAAGCAAGTACGCGCTTTGTATATTGGAGAAGTTTCCCTTCTAAATCAAGACGGAAAACTCATTACAAAATCCACACAGATGAAAAACAATTTAAATGCCTGGAATGTGGAAAGAGATTTTCACGAAAGACACATCTCTCTATTCACCAAAGAGTTCACACCGGCGAGAAACTGTTCAAATGCTTGCAGATTGGAAAGAGATTCCGTCAGAAGACTGCTCGTCAAAGAACTCACACAGGGGAGAAAGCATATAAATGCTTAGTGTGCGGAAAGAGCTTTCACCAAAATTATGTCCTTTTTACTCATCAGAGGATCCATACAGGGGAGAAACCTTTTAAGTGCTTAGCCTGTGGAAAGAGCTTCTGTCAGAAGATACACCTCACTACTCATCAAAGAACCCACACTGGAGAGAAACCGTATAACTGCTTGGAGTGTGGAAAGAGCTTCACTCGGAAGACGAATCTCACATCACATCAAAGAATTCACACAGGGGAGAAGCCATATAAATGCTTGGAGTGTGGAACAAGCTTTCGTAACACTTCTACCCTTGTTAATCATCACAGGATCCATACTGGGGAGAAAGCGTTTAAATGCTTGGAGTGTGGAAAGAGCTTCCGTCAGAAGAAAAATCTTTCTGCTCATCAAAGGCTTTACACCGGGCAGAAAGCATATAAATGCTCAGAGTGTGGAAAGAGCTTTCATCGAAATTCTGCCCTTGTTACCCATCAGAAGATCCATGTAGGGGAGAAATTATTCAGATGCTTGGAGTGTGGAAGCAGCTTCTTAAGGAAGACACATCTCACTACTCATCAGAGAATTCACACTGGGGAGAAACCGCATACATGCTTGGAGTGTGGAAAGAGCTTTTCACAGAAGATCCATCTCACCACTCACCAAATAATTCACACTGGGGAGAAGCCGTATAAATGCTTGCAGTGTGGGAGGAGCTTTACTCGCAAGTCAAATCTCACTTCCCATCAAATAATTCACACACGGGAGAAGCCTTTTAAATGATTGGAGTCTGGAAAGTGTAGAAGCAGTCTGAATATGGAATGTGAGTCTGAGACAGCTGAACTCCGCTTTCAGATTAGAGCTGAACTGGCAAGGAATGGGGGATGGGGCATGGCTTGAGTAGAGTCCTGAGGGCAGAAGTGATCGTACTTCAGGTGGCAGAAGCCCCCCCCCCCCCAGTTGGAACACCGAAGGCTGCCCCACTTGCCCTGCTGCTTCTGCCAGCGGTGTAAAGCACCGTCACTTGTGGCGTTGATTTTGAGCTCTCACCCCAAAATGGCACAATCATATCTGTAATCAGCACCAGTGGTGGTGATGCTTCTCTGCCAACATCAGAAGAAATAATAATAATAATAATAATAATAATAATAATAATAATAATAATAATAAATAATAATATATTATTTATACCCCACCCATCTGGCTGGGTTTTCCCAACCACTCTGGGTGACTCCCAACAGAATATTAAAAACATGATAAAACATCAAACATTAAAAACTTGCAGGTGCCACCACCAAGAAGGCCCTCTGCCTGGTAGTATATCCTGTTTCTTAGGAAATGCTGTTTTCATGTGTTTCCCCCCAAATCTGTTTCCGCTGAGCATACTCCTAGAAAGATTTTAACTAGTCCGGACAGGAAGAAGCTGAACAGAATTAGAATCCAGTCCCCACCCGCTCCCTGGTACCACTCCCAGAAAGCCTGCTTTAAGAAACATACATTGGCTTCCTCTTTTAAAAGTGTGACAACACTGGTAAAAAGGATTGTGTGATTTCCTCTGGGTTGCCAGGTCAAATGGAATTAGGACCCACCTTAAGTCCTCCCCTGTCTGGCTCTGCCATATCACACAGGTATATCTGGTTTTGAATTATGTGACATAGTCAAGTGAACCAGAGATGCTCTACGTCCACATCAAAACTCGCCCATCCTGGTGGGTCTTAGGTTAGGGCTGCACCCTGAGCTACTAATTCTCAGCCTAGCCTACCTCTCAGGGCTGTTGTAAAAATTAAAAAGGTGCGGGAATACAGTGTACACAACCTTGACCTCCTGGGAGAAAAGCAAAATAGAACGATACAAAAACTCTAAACGTGCACTTTCAGGCACAGAGAAAACATTTAGTCCAGTCTGATAAATAAAAGAACTAGCCTTGTGTTAAAGTTCAGTCATGGGACAGGATTGTGGGTACCCTTTTGTAATATGCATATTTCCTTGATAGCTGTTTGGTTAATTGATTTTATTTCTCACCAATATTGTTTTCCATCTATAAATTGTTCTCTGGTATGTCACTCATACATTCCTTATATTTCAGCTGTTGCTGAGCTTGCATATTTTCACCAGTTGTGAGCTTTGATATAAATAAATCTGTCCAATTTCTTTTATTGTTGTCCAGACTCTGCTTCTCTTTCCTTGCTGTTTTTTTTCTTTAAAAAAAAAGATTTTATGCAGAAACAAGGCAAATGTAAAAAGCACTAATAGTCAGACTACAAAAATAGAGACTGCAGAGCTTTCCAGCGTTCCACAGGTGTCTCTGGTGTCTGTATTGTCAGTGGGTCTTGTGTCCGTCTTAGAAATCTATGCCACCAGGTGGCAAGAATCGCCTTCATGGTTACAACTTGTGACCAAACCATCTTCTGCCACTCACTCGTTTAGGCTGCCCGCTTTCTTGGATTTCCGGTTTTCTGGAATGACCAAGTCAGGCATACTCTTTTTTTTACTTTAACGCTTCTCTTCCAAGACCTGTGAGTGTGTGTGTGTGTTGTTTGTTTTTGTGTGTAGGTGTGCACACTTGCCTATGCAGCTGTTTAAAACTCTCTTGACTTGCCAGTCGCTGGAATGATTATTTTGCATGGGTGTAGGCAGTGGGAGACAGCTCCCCCTAAATCAAGTAAATAAATAAAAATGCTAACTAGAAGTAGAAATTGTGAAAAGATTTTGAGAGTTTTTTTCTGAGCACTTGGGGGTCAAAAGAAAATAATTTAAAACAACTGATGGCCATCTGTCAGGGATGCTTTAATTGAGATTCCTGCATTGCAGGGGGTTGGACTAGATGACTCTGGGGGTCCCTTACAACTCCACAATTCTATGAACTGTGGTTGAGATGTTTCTTTCTGAATCTGCTAGACCTAGGAAGATTAACAGGTGGGCTTCCTGCTCTCACCCCCAACATAAATCCTGGCTACGCCCACGTTAGTTAGCACCATTTATAAATGGTGGTTTCAAAGATCACCAGTGTTGAAGCAATGATTCTTCAACATCCACTTTGTTGGACTGATCATGATGTGTAGATGCCTGATTATCATCTTCCAAAGCAACTGCTGTATTCTGAACTTAAAAATTGAAAGCGTAATGCTGGTGGTCAACGAGAGGTTTAAAGACTGTCTCAAGGCAAATCTTTTAAAAATGTAGTTATAAACACTGACAACTGGGAAACACTGGCCTGCGAGCTTCTTCCAGTACACTGATAGTAGTTCGCCTGTCCTCCCAAGTGGTGTGTAAGGTATTTCAGAGACACCGTTGATGGAATCTTTCGAGAAGTTGGAGATGGTGTTTGTAAGTGGTCCATGGTTCACAAGCATACAATAAGGTTGGTAGTACAATGGCTTTGTAAACAAGCATTTTGGTTTCCCTGCGAATGTCCCGGTCCTCAAACACTGCACTTCATTCGGGAGAAAACAGCACATTTATGTAAACACATTTATGAAATACATTTATGTAACAGGTGTTAACGGGAAAATCCGAGGGCTCCCTTGGACAAAAACAAAGACACCAACCAGGATAACTTGGAGCAAAACAGCAGCCTGTAGGCTTGGCCTTTATTGATCTGTTGCAACAGGGTGCTCCCCTCACTTGCAGGAGAGAGGAAGGACCCACAAAAATGGTGTGCAAGGGCTTATAAAGACTTTTGAAATTGCCACCCTGTAGATCAAGACCACCCCTCAGATACATCACACCTACATCACAGAAAGGAGGGGTTGAGGGAGGAGTTGTGGTGATAACCTGAGTGTCCTGTCACCTGGCTGGTTCCCTCTTTCCCCCTCCCCATGAGTACTTTCCAGGTGACAGAGGGGATTTTGCAGTTTCCTGCCCCCAGAGGGAAGAGCTGATTATTGTCCTTTGTTCCACTCCATGCTGGATCCACTCCCATATGCAAGTTCTTTGTGATCTTGGTGGTCTTCTGTCTAGGACCATCAGGGTTGGCATAGCAACTGGGCAGGATTCCTGTGTATGCTGAAGTGATTATGGCTGCCCTGTATCAAACCTTCCCCATTTTGTAGTCCTTCCTTCATGGAGTAAAAGTGGAACAGTGCCAATCCGATGTATGGTTGATTTTCTATGAATTTATAACAGACGTGTAGTGTATGTAGTGTGTGAGTGTGTGTGAAGTTTGTACAAACTGAATGATTTTTTTTGGGGGGGGGGTTTCCTGCGACACAGGCCAACCTGTTTAGGGAAGTTTTTAATGTCTGATGTTCTGTTGTGCTGTTGGGAGCTGCCCAGAGTGGCTGGGGAAACCTGGCCAGATGGGCAGGGTATAAGCAATAAAGTAGTAGTAGTAGCAGGTCAAATCTGTGTCCAGGGCAGCTGTTTACCAGCTCCATCTGGTACGTAGGCTGAGACCCTATCTGCCTGCGGACTGTCTCGCCAGAGTGGTGCATGCTCTAGTTATCTCCCGCTTGGACTACTGCAATGCACTCTACGTGGGGCTACCTTTGAAGGTGACTCGGAAACTACAACTAATCCAGAATGCGGCAGCTAGACTGGTGACTGGGGGCGGCCGCCGAGACCATATAACACCGGTCTTGAAAGACCTACATTGGCTCCCAGTACGTTTCCGAGCACAATTCAAAGTGTTGGTGCTGACCTTTAAAGCCCTAAACGGCGTCGGTCCAGTATACCTGAAGGAGCGTCTCCACCCCCATCATTCTGCCCGGACGCTGATGTCCAGCGCCGAGGGCCTTCTGGCAGTTCCCTCATTGCGAGAAGCAAAGCTACAGGGAACCAGGCAGAGGGCCTTCTCGGTGGTGGCGCCCGCCCTGTGGAACGCCCTTCCAGCAGATGTCAAAGCGATAAACAACTACCTGACATTCAGAAGACATCTTAAGTGTGATTTTACTGTATTTTTGGTTTTTATGGAAGCCGCCCAGAGTGGCTGGGGAGGCCCAGCCAGATGGGCGGGGTATAAATAAATTATTATTATTATTATTATTATTATAGTAGTGGTATCTGAGACGGACTAATATCTGAGACCTCCAGGTATAGGGCAGTATATAAATTCAATAAATAATATTGACAGACTGACTCTTGCGGCGGACAGCCGCATAAGCCAACATTTACCTGCTGCTCTTAAGTGAAAAAATCTGGAGGGGGGAAAACTGCCTTCGGCACATGACATCCCAGGATCGCATTCTGCAGCATTAAGCCTTTGCATAGTGTTTTGGACGCACCAGTCTCACAGAGAGGCGGCTCCCTGCCTAATACAAATTCCTCGGAGGAGGCTGCCTGGCAGGGAGATTCCTAGAGAGGACGCGGGGAGGAAGAGGCGGGGTTCGGGTGTCTCCAGAGCAACTCGCGAAGCCTCGCAGCCGCTTCCTGCCCCGCCTTCTCGAGTGGGGGGTGGGGGCTCTGGCAAGGGCTGCCCCGGGTGTTTTCCTCCTGGTCGGGTCGGGAGAGCTTTGGGCTGATTCCTGGGAAAGTGAGGAAGGGAGAGATCCGGTCAGCAACTGGAAGAAAGGAGGGTTTGGGTGTGCTTCACATTGGGAAGGTGGAAAGTCTCATCTACTGGGCTCTCGCCTGGCGCATTGCTGCACATTTCTGCATTTTAACCTGTATTTTAAATTGGGTCCCCCCCCATTATGTTTTACTGTAATTTTACTGTTGTTAGAAGCCCTGAGCCCGGCTCTGGCCGGGGTATAAATATTATTATTATTATTATTATTATTATTATTATTATTATTATTATTATTATTATTATTACTGAGCCCTGTCCAGAGGAAAGAGATTCACAGGATCATAGAATTGGAAGGGACCCCAAGGATCGTCTGGTCCAAGGTAGGAATATGCAGCTGTCCCAAAGGGAGATCGAACATGCAACCTTGGCATTACGTCTTAGCACCATGCTCTAACCGAGGGAGCTATCCAGGCTGACTTCTTAGAGAGTCGGTGCGAAACTTTGAATGGGACGAGAAGAAAGCAGGAGGGGGAAAATATATCTCCGCCCAGAGGAGTGGAGCCTCCATGTGTTGAGAATATATACCAGATAGCAGGCACTGCAGAGAAATGTTCTGTCTTTGCATGAAACAAATATATAACAACAACAACAAACAACAACAGCTAATTTTATTGTTTATACCCCAACCATCTGGCTGGGTTTCTCCAGCCACTCTGGGCGGCTTACAGTATATATAAAAACATAATAAAAACATCAAGCGTTAAAGACTTCCCCACACAGGACTGCCCCCAGATGTCTTCTAAAAGTTGTATAATTCTAGAAATGTACATTTATTGCACAAGTGAGTTTGAAAGTTAATCAGCTGCCATTTCATTAGTTCAGTGGCTGCTTTTCTTTTTAAAATATTTTTTAAAAAGATTTCTTAATTTACAAAAAATACATGTATTGTCTCTTTTTTCAAGTTGCGTTTTCTACAGATCAGTTTCATTTGCTGTGAGGCATTAGTGTTGTGTACAATGTTAGGGTAGGAAGAAAGGGGGGAAAGGGGGAGGGGCATGGTGAGTGGGGTCGGTGGTCGGGTGTTAATGCTTCAGTTCTTGTGTGGGGTTTTGTGTCAGCGTTGTGGCTGCTTTTCTTTAAACTAAGCTTCATGACAGTTGACAGTTGACCAAGGTTGCCAGTTTGATCCCTGTACAGGACAGCTGCATATTCCTGCACTGCAGGGAGTTGGACAAGATAATCCTCAGGGTCCCTTCCAACTCTGTAATTCTATGATTGTATAAAGCTATATCACCTCCAGCGCCAGGGACTGGATGCCTCTAGATACCGGTTGCTTTTGTGCTCATGTGGTGCTTGCAGGCTTCCCATTGGAGAGAGCCAGTGTGGTGTAGCGGTTAAGAGCGATAGACTCGTAATCTGGGGAACTGGGTTTGCGTCTCCGCTCCTCCACATGCAGCTGCTGGGTGACCTTGGGCTAGTCACACTTCTCTGAAGTCTCTCAGCCCCACTCACCTCACAGAGTGTTTGTTGTGGGGGAGGAAGGGAAAGGAGAATGTTAGCCGCTTTGAGGCTCCTTCGGGTAGTGATAAAGCGGGATATCAAATCCAAACTCTTCTTCTTCATCTTCACTGTGAGAACAAGAGGCTGCACAAAATGGATCTTTGTCTTGACCCAGCAGCCAGGCTCTTCTTAGCTTTAGAGGACAGACCACTGAGAGGGAACTTCTGAGTCTCAACCAGAACAAATACTTCAAGGAAATTCGCCAACAAGTCTAATTTTTCTCTGGGTCTTAGCATTTAACTACATTTACTTCTGGGGGATGTCCTGGTTGATATTCAGACTCATCTACATTTCCAGGGGAAATCTTCCTGTCCAGGAAGGTATAATTCACTCACCAAACCATTTGTTCATTTTGCAGGACTTGGTAGAACCTCCATTTTGGACAGCCTCTAGCAGAACAGGGAGAGGTCTTTTGGGCCCAGTCAGAGACTTCCTTAGAGTAGAGATCAAGGATGGAAAAGGAAGATTCAGCTGCCCACGAAGCAGGAAGAAGTCCTTGTACAAACCAGGCTGGCAGCCCCAGGGAATTCTGGGAAAGAACAGTGCAGAAGGTCCTGGGGAAGGAGGACACGCTCGGCTCAGATGTGCAGCGCCAGCGTTTCAGACAGTTCTGCCACCAAGAGGCCAAAGGGCCCCGAGAGGTTTGCAGCCAACTCCACCATCTCTGCTGTCAGTGGCTGAAACCAGAGCGACACACAAAGAATCAGATCCTGGACCTGGTGATTCTGGAGCAGTTCCTGACCATCCTCCCAGAAGAAATTGAGAGCTGGGTCAGGGAATGTGGAGCAGAGACCTGTTGCCAGGCAGTGGCCCTGGCTGAAGGTTTCCTCCTGAGCCAGGCCGACAACAAGAAGCAGGCAGAGCATCAGGTAAAATATAGTTTTGTCCTGGTACTTCCAAGGGACTCAGAATCTGAGGGATGGTGGGCTAACGCTCTCTGTAATTGTCAAACCTTTTCTGGGATTCATCCACGTAGGAATGTCCCAACTACTAAGACCTTTTATTTCTATTGTGCCTTTACTAATCCTTCTCCCCGTTTTCTGTCTTTGATCCCTTTATTGTTATTTCAGGTAAAGGGTCCATTTGCAGAAGTGTCTGAAGATTTCTCTGCACCGGAGAAGGTTCTGTCAGAGACCAAATGCAATCTCTTGCAAAGGGATAATGTTCAGGAGATAGACAGACATGCCACCTCACTGGGTAAAGACTAACTTCATCTCCTTCTATTGATTATGCTATAAATTCCTAATTAAAGCAGTAAGATAAGTGATGCCTGTTTTGGACTCGTGCAGAGCTTGATGTATGGGTACCCCCAACAAAATTTAAAATTTGGCTGTATAATTTGGAACTAATGTGATCTGGTTAATGTGATGTGATTGGCCTGTTAATAAAAATTATTTAAAAAAAAAAGATTATGCTATAAATTCTTGGGATGTGTTTTTGTTCCTTGGAAACTTGGTTCAAAAGTGAATTGGCATCCAATACTTGAGAACTTAAACCAGTGTTACTGGCTTCGCACTTACGATTGTCTTTCACAGGTGATGAAATGAGGCTGGCAAGACCTCCTCGGGCTTCTCCTTTTTGCGATGGTCAAGAAGCAGCTACTGTGGAACCGGATCAGGTAGGTGGATCGATCGGTGTTGAAAGAGGCTTGGAACCACTAGGGACCTTATTCTTCTGCTCACCCCTAAACAGATTTCTCTCCTCCTCTTTTCTTCTTTCAAAGCAGCCTGCCTAGGAGGCTGTGAATACCATTAAAGAATGTTTAAGTTCCTCAGGATAATAATAATCTTTCTTTGGAGAATGTTATGGGTTTTGGTAGTCCATTAAGGGAACAAAAGAGAAGGCAAGTTGCACAACAGTACTGGCCATGGCATGGGGGCAAGAAGTGAAGGACGCTGAGTGGGGTGTTTGTAAACAATGACAGAGGTTTGAGTAAAGCAGGGATGGAGTACTACTGTGAGGAAAATTGTGGTATTTAACAATAGTAGAGGTTTGAGTACAGAACTGTGGGATATTTGAAGTCTCCACATCCTTTATCTCTTCTCTCTCACATGAGGCAGCTGAAGAATGGGAGAGGGAGAAGTTTGAGTACAGCAAGAAGGAAGAGACACTGAAAGAGGCGGGGGAAACAATGACAGAAGTTTGAGTAAAGCTGGGGGTGGAGGGACAGAGAGGAGAATGATGGTTTTAAACAACAGAGCTTTCAGTAAAGTGGAAGTAGAGGACTCACAGGAAAATGACAGTTTTAAACAGCAGAGTGAGCAAAAAGTAACACTGAGGGCGGGGAAAGTGGCACTTTAAAGAATAATTCAAATACAGCGAGAAGGGAGTTGGGAACAGATTTGTTGTGTTAGCTTTTTTGGTGTCAGTGTCTGTGTTGTCCCCATCATTGATATTTCTCCTTGTTAAAACTGGTTTGGGTTTTTTAAAGGACCAACTGCTCTTTGTCTTTCCACCAGTGCTTTACTCAAACTTCTGCGTGTTTACCCCGCCCCCCTTTTATTTCTCTATCTGTCCCTCGACACCCACTTTACTCAAACTTCTGCTGTTGTTTGAGTACGGTGAGAAGGGGGAGACCCTGAATGAAAAAAGCTGGCTCTTTTAAACTTCTCCCTTTTCCATTCTACAGCTGCCTCATGTGAAAGAGATAAAAGATGTGAAGCCCTCAAATATTCCATAGTACCTTCAAACAATGTATTTCACTCCTGGTACCATGCATTCCGTGGGATGTGGGTGGCGCTGTGGGTTAAACCACAGAGCCTAGGGCTTGCTGATCAGAAGGTCGGCGGTTCGAATCCCCGAGACAGGGTGAGCTCCCGTTGCTCGGTCCCTGCTCCTGCCAATCTAGCAGTTCGAAAGCACGTCAAAGTGCAAGTAGATAAATAGGTACCACTCCAGCGGGAAGGTAAACGGCGTTTCCGTGTGTTGCTCTGGTTCGCTAGAAGCGGCTTAGTCATGCTGGCCACATGACCCAGAAGCTGTACAATGGCTCCCTCAGCCTATAGAGCGAAATGAGCACTGCAACCCCAGAGTCGTCCGCGACTGGACCTAATGGTCAGGGGTACCTTTACCTTTACCATGCATTCCAGATTCAGTGTAGCTATTTAAAAGAATTTTTTTATTAAAAATAACTACCCATATATGTTCAACATCCGTCAACTGAACTAAACTTTTCTAACTGAACAAGCTGACTGACTGGCTTGCTCTTAAGATTCTATCCATCTTAAAGATGCAGTAACACATTTTAGCGTGGGGTGTGTGCGCAAAGAGGGCTGCACAATAGAAGAGGGGATAAGGCATGGACATGGGAATGTGTAAGAGAGAGTTGAGAAACATAGGAAGGAGGGTGGAGGGGGGGAAAGTGAAGTTGAAGACAGGGGTGCAAAGGGAGTTGCAGTAAATGAGGGAGTGGAAAGGGAATTGATGGTGAAATAAAGGGCATGAAAGGATCTGAAGAACAGGAAGTGATGGTGGCTTCATAATTGGGCAGAAGCTGGAAAAGGTGCTTAACAGTTGCAACATGTGGGAGGAGGAAGATACAGGAGATTACCATGAGAGTGTTTTTTGTCATCTTCTTTTGGGAATAAGAACAGTGAGTCTGTAAGTGACTGTGGAGGCCAATTCTGGATCCACACGTCCTTCCACAATGGGGACATAGGTTTCTGGGCAGGAGTTGATCACAGTGAGGGTTTGCCAAGTGTGCCTTCCTCTTAGCATGTTTCTCCCTTTTGTCCTGAGTTTGAATGTCTTCAAAGTCCATGACACCTTTGGTAAAGGCTGTTCTCCAACTGGAACTCTCACAGGCCAATGTTTCCCAGTTGTCGTCATTTATACTACATTTCTTAAGATTTGCCTTGAGAGAGTCTTTAAACCTCTTTTGTTGACTACCAGCATTGCGCTTTCCATTTTTAATTTCGGAATAGAGTAGTTGCTTTGGAAGACGATCATCAGGTGCTTTTTGTGCAACAGTAGTTGCACACTATAGCTAACTTAGTAGTTGCTTGAGGTTAGAAGGAGAAGCTCTAGGGAGTTAATGGGGCGAATGGGAAGGGAATTCATGAGTGGAATGAGCATAGACACTGCTCCTAGCTATAATAATAATAATAATAATAATTTTTATTTATACCCTGCCCTCTCCAGCCAAGGCCGGGCTCAGGGTGGCTAACAAGCAATAATAAAAACAAGTTGAATGAATACAACTTAAAAACAAGATTAAAATACAACATTAAAATATTGAAAAGTTAAAATATTAAAATGCGGCCTCATCACAGGAGGAGAAGGAAAAAGAAAGAGGGAGAGGGAATCAAATTGGCTCCAAGCCAAAGGCCAGGCGGAACAACTCTGTCTTACAGGCCCTGCGGAAAGAAATCAGATCCTGCAGGGCTCTGGTCTCATGAGACAGAGCGTTCCACCAGGCCGGAGCCAGTGTTGAAAGGCCCTGGCTCTGGTTGAAGCTAATGTAACTTCTTTAGGGCCCGGGACCACTAGGGTGTTGCTATTTATGGACCTTAAGGTCCTCCGTGGGGCATACCGGGAGAGGCGGTCCCGTAGGTACGAGGGTCCTAGGCCGTGAAGGGCTTTAAAGGTCAAAAGCAGCACCTTAAATCTGACCCTGTACTCCACCGGGAGCCAGTGCAGCTAGAAAAGCACTGAGTGAATATGCTCCCATGGCAGAGACCCCGTGAGGAGCCTCGCTGCAGCATTCTGCACCCGTTGGAGTTTCTGGGACAGCTTCAAGGGCAGCCCCACATAGAGCGAATTACAGTAGTCAAGCCTGGAGGTGACCATCGCATGGATCACTGTGGCCAGGTCAGGGTTGGAAAGGTAAGGGACCAACTGCTTGATGCGGTGAAGGTGGAAAAATGTCGCCTTGGCTGTTGCTGTAACATGCACCTCCATGTTTGGGCGTCAAGGATTATACCCAAACTCTTAACGGAAGGTAATAGCACCTATTGGGCCCCCGCAAGAGAAGGGAGTTGGTCCCTCATCCCCATAGTTATCTATAAAGTAGCAACTATTTTCCTTTCTTTCAGGGTCTAGGGCTGTTTGAGGAGTTTTCTGTGTATTTTACTGAGGAGGAGTGGGATATGCTGAATCCTGACCAGAAAGCTCTGTATAAAGAAGTCATGGAGGAGAACTGTTACAGAACCCATTACAAAATCCACACAGGAAAGAAACCATACAAATGTTTAGAGTGTGGAAAGAGCTTTTGTCAAAGTTCAGACTTCATTACCCATAAAAGGATCCATGCAGGGGTGAAACCATTTAAATGCTTGGGATGTGGAAAGGGCTTCTGTCAGAAGACACTTCTCGCTACCCATCAAAGAGTTCACACGCAGGAGAAACCGCATAAATGCTTGGATTGTGGAAAGGACTTTCGTTACAGTTCTGCCCTTATTACTCATCAAAGGATCCACACAGGCAAAAAACCGTATAAATGCTTGGAATGCGGAAAGAGCTTCTGTCAGAAGATAAGTCTCATTTCTCATCAAAGAATTCACACAAGGGAAAAACCACATAAATGCTTGAAATGTGGAAAGAACTTTCGTCACAGTTCAGCCCTAACTACCCATCAAAGGATCCATACAGGGGAGAAACCATATAAATGCTTGGAATGTGGAAAGACCTTTCGACACAGTTCTGCCCTAACTACCCATCAAAGGACACACACAGGGAAGAAACCATATAAATGCTTGGAATGTGGAAAGGACTTTTGTCAGAAGATAAATCTCACTAGTCATCAAAGAATTCACACAGGAGAAAAGCCATTTAAATGTTTGGAGTGTGGAAAGAGCTTTGGTCAGAGGGCTTACCTTACTTTCCATCAGAGAATCCACAAGGGGGAGAAACCACATAAATGCTTGGAGTGCGGAAAAAGCTTCATGCAGAAGAGAAGGCTCACTTCCCATCAGAGAATACATACAGGGGAGAAACCGCATAAATGCCCAGAATGTGGAAAGAGCTTCTGTCAGAAAGCAGATCTCACTATTCACCAAAGAATTCACACGGGGGAGAAACTACACAAATGCCTGGAGTGTGGAAAGAGCTTCTTACGAAAGACACATCTCACTACTCATCAGAGAATTCACACTGGGGAGAAACCGCACACATGCTTGGAGTGTGGAAAGGGCTTCAGTCAGAAGGCGCATCTCACTACTCACCGAAGAAGTCACACGGGGGAGAAGCCACACAGATGCTTGGAGTGTGGAAAGTGCTTCACAGAGAAAGAGCTCTTACTTCTCATCAAAAAATCCACACGGGGGAAAAGCCACATAAAACTTTCAAGCGTGGAAAGGCCTTTCCTCACAGTTGCGACCTTATTACTAGGCCTACCCAAGGCAGAATGGCTGGCAGTAGCAACAGCTGCAGCAACACAGTCCAGACTGATTTGCCCCCAGTCGTATTAGTCCATCTTCCTCCTAGTACTGCTTGTGTTGGACAACATCAGCCACCTATCCCGATTCCTAACTTTCCTGAATCTTCTGGTCGCGGGGACAAGCCTTCTCCTACTGCCGGGATGTTGTTTGAGGAGGCAGGAGGCCCTGGCAGCAGCAGTCTTGCAGAGTCATCCACTTTAGTGAGCGAAGGGAGACAGCTCAGCCCACTGGTGGACATCAGTTTATCTGAGGAGGTGTCTGTATTAGATGCCCTCAGCTTGATTGAAGGTGAAGATCTCTTCCACTCCTCTTCCCTAGGCAGAGGTGCTTCTGTCTGGAACCCTGTGGAGCAGGAGCAGCAAGAACACACCCCACCAGTGCCGCGAGGGGGTACCTCCTATGGTTCCCCCACTGCTCCTGGGGTGGCTGTGACCCCCCAGACCGAAAGCAGCCAGCCCGATTCACCACAGAAGCGGCAGAGCATCGTGTGGGACCACTTTGAGGTGGGAGTGGATCCCAGCACCGCCGTCTGCAGCCACTGCAGGCGGGTCATGAGCAGGGGCAGAGACGCAGCACATTATAGTACCAGCAGCCTGCGCTTGCACCTACAGAGGCAGCACCCGTCCATCGTGCTAGGAGCACAGGAAGCCAAGTCCCAGCCGTCGGGGAGCAAGGGCAAATGGGTGGCAACCTAGTGCCAGGAGTAAGGTCAAAGTCCTCTGCCAAATCTCTGTCTCCCCTCAAGCCAAGAAGCTTAGGCCGGCAACGGTGGGGAGGAGGTGGAGCAAGGGAGGTGGGCCGCGAGGTGGAGGTTTTGAATACCAGACCCAATCGCAAAATGCATGGAAGACGGTTGTGATGAAATGGATTGGCATCAGAACTAAAACCATATGCACATAACCAAGTGTTTGGTAAGAGCGATTTAAAGTAGTTCATAGGTAACAATAAATAATAAACATGGAATTAATAAATAAACCTAATAAAACAATTTAGCCAAATATATGCAACGTATCAAAACGCTACTTGGCGTCAAATGCTTTTTGACCTTTAGGTCTTCAGTGGTCTTCATTACATATCTGTATGTACAGCCACTTTTTGGCTTGAATATCTGATGCTGGGAAACAGTTTACAAATAATGGCAAATATATGTATCTAATAGCGTTTATTATATCGAATAATATTGATTCTATCTTTGCAGGTGTTGCACTGCATGGGTGTTGTTTTTTAAAATTATTTGCTACGTTAAATTATTCTTATCAGATAATTGGTTATGTGTATATGATTTTAGGTGTTATCCCAAACTGTTGTTTCAGAACAACCTGATGGCTCTTGTGGTCTTATTTTATGCACTATTGTGTCACACTACCTTAAACGGGAGAATGGTGCCCTCCCAGTGGTAGGCATGCAGGGAGAAAGTGTGTTCCCTTGTAGGCAGGGTTGCCTTTCTCATATAAGCCCACGGGACTGCTTCGGTCTTCAGAATGGGCGCTGTTCCCAGTGCCACATAATCCTCAGTTGTGAAAAATCAATATTTCAGTGCAGCAGCATCTACACATTGGAACTCCCTGCCTATTGAGACCAGACAGATGCCTTTGCTGTACTCTGTTTTGCTCCTGCTTAAAACAATTTTATTTAGGCAAGCCTATCTAGACACGTGGACGTTGATGTCTTTGAATCCTTTTCACTCTTAATTTCAGTGATCTGTAAATGTTTTCCGTTGTTTTGAACTGTTTTCATTGATATTTCTTGGAACCCACCAAGAGGTTTTACTACAGTTATACGGTTTTTGTTAAATAAAATAAAAACCAGCCCACATGCCACATGGCCGGAGACAAAAGTGATGTGAGTTTTGTATTCCAGCCACAAAACAAGCCAGAGAATTCATAGAATCATAGAATCCTAGAGTTGGAAGAGACCACAAGGGCCATCGAGTCCAACCCCCTGCCAAGCAGGAAACACCATCAGAGCACTCCTGACATATGGTTGTCAAGCCTCTGCTTAAAGACCTCCGAAGGAGGAGACTCCACCACACTCCTTGGCAGCAAATTCCACTGTCAAACAGCTCTTACTGTCAGGAAGTTCTTCCTAATGTTTAGGTGTAATCTTCTTTCTTGTAGTTTGGATCCATTGCTCCGTGTCCGCTTCTCTGGAGCAGCAGAAAACAACCTTTCTCCCTCCTCTATGTGACATCCTTTTATATATTTGAACATGGCTATCATATCACCCCTTAACCTCCTCTTCTCCAGGCTAAACATGCCCAGCTCCCTTAGCCGTTCCTCATAAGGCATCGTTTCCAGGCCTTTGACCATTTTGGTTGCCCTACTCTGGACACTACTCCCACTTGCGTCCATCTTGGCATACGAGGGGCACCAACACAATTTAGTGACCTATTCCAGCCAGGCAAAAGCACTTGAGGGGTATGTGTGTGGGAATGTTGTGGATAGTAGGAGAGGATAGACTGATTATATATTATTCTTCCACACTCCCGCTAGTGGGTTACATATAGCAGAGCTCATTCCCCATTTTACACAGCAAGAAGCTAGTTTGCAGATTCATATGAATCTCTAAGCTATCCAATCTGGCATGCCCAGATTGGAGTATATTCCTGGTAAGACCCCTTTGATTCCCGCCTAAAAGAATAAAGACACAAGAGTCTTCCTTATAAGTAATGAATAGTTTACTTACATTCAGTTCACAGTATGCTCTCTGAAGACATGCTTTAGCTTGTAGTTACAAAAGACGACGTGGATTTATCCCATATGGGGATTTATTCCATGTGCTGCTGGCCAAGATCCCATTTTAATTTTGGGGCTGTGTGTCCGAGACAGTCAACCCTTGGGCTTGAAGCTTTGGGGGGCTTTGGATCATAAACACAATGTTAATAGATAATAATAATAAACAACTTGAATCAGATCCTGTTTTTGTAGCATGCATGCACAAACACATATATAATTATATCTATATGTATGTGTATATAATTTATTGTTTAATATTCTTGCTTATTCCCAGGTGGGGTGCCTACTTCCCCATTTTCATTTTCCAGTTTTTCCTACACATCTTTGTTCTTCCGCATCCGTCCCATAGGATATGACATTCATCTCTCAGGTCTTTCCAGAAGCTGCAAAACACAGAAACGTTCCTTATGGTTGCTATGCTGCAGATTGTTTTCCTGAGGAGAGTTAGATTTACAAATACAGAGTTTATTTCCTTTGGCACATAAAACATTCCTTTCAATTAGCATTCCGTATTTTGCACTTACGCATCAGGGTAATAATTTTAAGGGGTTTTCCCTAAGGAAACTGGAGATTTTAAGGGCCTAAGCTGATTTTATTTGAATTTTATCGTTCCTACGCTGTTCATTGTAGATATTAGTCAAACCAAACCCTGTGGAACGCCCTCCCACCAAATGTCAAAGAGATAAAGAACTACACAACTTTTAGAAGACCTCTCAATAAATAATAATAATAAATAATAAACCATTAAAAAGCTCCTGTGTCAGGAGGTTTTTAATGTTTGATGTTTTATTATGATTTTATATGTGTTGCAGTTTAAAATAATGCATCCGATAGAAAAAGTGGACAGAAAAGCGTTTCTGTCCCCCAGTCATTAACTCCGGAACTTGAGGAGATAAGATACTGCTTTTTCATATAGAACATGAACTACAGAATCTGCTCCCACAGGAAACATGGTGGCTTTAAAAGAGGATGAGGCCCATTCACAGAGTATGAGGCTAGTCCTAGATTTTGCAACTCCTGCCCTAGAGAAGCCATATTGGCTGCCAGCAGGTGAAGACCTCCATATGCCCACAAGCCTCTGGGAACTGGCTGTTTTTGAGGAAAGGGCTGGTGTTGCTGCCGTTTTATTACTGTTAATATCAATACTTTTAATAATTCTTTATATCCATGTATATTTTAACTCTCTTGGAGTTTAATCACTTCTTTTTCTATTTTATCGGTAAGCTGCATTGACTTCCAGTCCTGGAAAAAACACAGGCCATAAACATAAGATTAATATAAATGGTGTGGCAGCCATATCCTGTTGAGCAGTCAAACACGTAGGCAGCAATCCTATGGTTACCAGATTTTTTTCAATGAATCCGGGGACACTTTTTTTTGTTTTAAGCTGAGTAGCAACAGGGAGTCAGTAGTGGGGATGGTGAGGCAAAAGACCCTGGGCCCAAGCACACATGCATATTGTATAAAGGTGCAAAGCCCTTCTTTCGCACCCTGTGAAACATCAATGCGCAGAGTTTTTTAAAAATTTGGGCAACGGCCAACCACCCGCAACTCCTGAGCCTCTCCTATCAGTCAAAACAAAGGGGGAAGGGGACAGGGAGATCTGTACCGCTGGACATCCCTGGTTCCCCTTCGGCAGTGGCAGCAGCAGCGACAGTCAGCAGCCCAGAGTCAGCCTGGTAGCGCAGTTGGCTGCCATGGCGCCCGCCATTTTTCCTCGCCGTATGTTCCAGCAAGGAAAAATGGCGGGCGCCATGGCAGCGGGGACAGTGAGCAGCTCCTGAAGCCAACCAGAGCCAACTGCGCTACCAGGCTGGCACCCAACAAGATTTGCCCACACTGGAAGAATGGCAGACGCAACTGATAGATTACATGGAGTTGGCCGAGATGACTGGCAGAATCCGAGACCTGGGAGAAGAGGCGGCAGAAGAGGACTGGAAGAAGTTTAAAGACTATTTACAAAAACATTATAAGCTGTATGAGTGTTAAGAAAGTGCACGAAAGGAAATAACATGGCGTCAGCAGTTTAGATGAGAAATATATGAGAATAAGTGGAACGATAAAGATGAAATTTGAAGTAATGTTATGTCTAAACTAAGCAGTTAAGTATTTGATGAAAGCACTTAAAATATGAGGCATAATATATGAGAATTAGAAAATAAGAACAGAAATAAGGTAATAAATTGCGGTTTATAACTTTTTTATGGAGAACGCAGGAAAGGGAGATGTGAGGAAGTCTAGATAGTTATGAAAAAACAATGTATGAACCGTGGTGACCCTTTTTGTATATTCTATGTTTATGTTTTTGTTTATTCATGTGTTCTTTGTTTGTTATTTACTGGTGATGGTGTTTTATATGTTTGGTGATTTTCTTCTGTTAAAAACTTGCAATAAAATATTTATTAAAAAAAAAAATACCAGGCTGGCTCCCAGCTGCTGAGCCTGCCGCTGCCACGTTTCCCGAGGACAGATTTGCACATCTGGGGACGGAATTGGTCCAGGGACAGATGTGCAAATCTGGGCTAAGCAAACCCACCCCATTGCTTAAGCTTACATTGCAATATCCCCGAAACGCTGAAAGCAAGAAAAGGAGAAGAAGCCTTGTATGAAAATTGCAGAGTGCCTAACAGTTTCTGTGCAATGCTGAGCTCTTTGCAATAACAGGAAGTAAGCTTAAACAAAATTTTAAAAAATTCCTTCCAATAGCACCTTAGAGACCAACTAAGTTTGTTATTAGTTGGTCTATAAGGTACTACTGGAAGGAAATTGTTTTTATTTTGTTTCGACTACGGCAGACCAACACGGCTACCTAACTGTAACAGGAAGTAAGCTTATAAGGAATAAAGGAAGGGTGCTGTCCCAAACGATTGGTTAAAATTTTGCTGCAGTATATGAATATTCAATGCTAGATGCTGAAAGGCAAAAGGGTATAAAAGCCCCTGGAACCTGTTGCTCGAGGCTGAGACTTTGGAACTCACTGTTCTGAGCCACTTTGCTGCCGGTTACAAATAAAGGAACTCTTTGTTTTCTCTATTGCTGCATGTGAGTTTTCAATCAGCCTAGCAGTTTTGCAACAATGGTAAGGAGAATGTCCATGGGTTCTGGCCAAGCTGGCTCTGCTTCAAATATGTGTCCCTTTTTTTGGGGGGGGAGGGTTCTAGATGTCACTTGCTGGAAATCAACCTTCTTAAAGTCCAGAGTGCATCTCTGACTCCGCTCAGCATGAACCCCAGGAGGACAGGGTCACTCTCTACCGGGAAATGGTCACTTCCTCACAAAAATCCCAGTACAGTGGTACCTCGGGTTAAGTACTTAATTCTTTCCGGAGGTCCGTTCTTAACCTGAAGCTGTTCTTGACCTGAAGCACCACTTTAGCTAATGGGGCCTCCCGCTGCGGCCGCACCGCTGCTGCATAATTTCTGTTCTCATCCTGAAGCAAAGTTTCTTAACCTGAAGCACTATTTCTGGGTTAACAGAGTCTGTAACCTGAAGTGCCTGTAACCTGAAGCGTACGTAACTAGAGGTACCA